ATGGGTGACATGTCTGGTGAGTATGCAGGCCATGGAAGAACTGGGACATTTTCAGCTTCCAGGAATTGTGTACAGATCCTTGCGACATGAGGCCATGCATTATCATTTTGAAACATGAGGTGATGGCGGCGGATGAATGGCACGACAATGGGCCTCAGGATCTCGTCACAGTATCTCTTTGCATTCAAATTGCCATCCATAAAATGCAATTGTGTTCGTTGTCCGTAGCTTATGCCTGCCCATACCATTACCCCACCGCCACCATGGGGCACTCTGTTCACAACGTTGACATCAGCAAACCGCTCTCCCACACGACGCCATAAACGCTGTCTGCCATCTGCCCGGTACAGTTAAAACCGGGATTCATCTGTGAAGAGCACACTTCTCCAGCGTGCCAGTGGCCATCGATGGTGAGCATTTGCCCACTGAAGTCGGTTATGACACCGAACTGCAGTCAGGTCAAGACCCTGGTGAAGACGACGAGCACGCAGATGAGCTTCCCTGAGATGTTTGACAGTTTGTGCAGAAATACTTCAGTTGTGCAAACCCATAGTTTCATCAGCTGTTTGGGTGGCTGGTCTCAGATGATCCCGCAGGTCAAGAAGCTGGATGTGGAGGTCCTGGGCTGGTGTGGTTATACGTGGTCTGCGGTTGTGAGGCCTGTTGGACGTACTGCCAAATTCTCTAAAACAACGTTGGAGGCTGCTTATGGTGGAGAAATAACATTCAGTTATCTGGCAACAGCTCTGGTGGGCATTCCTGCAGTCAGCATGCCAATTGCACGCTCCGGTGCATTGTGTTGTGTGACAAAACTGCTAATTTTAGAGTGGCCTTTTATTGTCCCCAGCACAAGTTACACCTGTGTAATGATCATGCTGTTTCATCAGCTTCTTGATATGCCACACCTGACAGGTGGATGGATTATCTTGGCAAAGGAGAAATGCTCACTAACAGGGATGTAAACAAAGTTTTGCACAAAATGTGAGAGAAATAAGCTTTTTGTGCGTATGGAAATTTTCTGGGATCTTTTATTTCAGCTCATGAAACATGGGACCAACACTTTACATGTTGCATTTATATTTTTGTTGTAGAAAAATGCTTTGTTATTATTTTTCTCCATGAAGAAATCCAACAATGTGTAAGCCGCCATCTTGTCTATTTAAAATCTTCTCATTGATCAAGACAGGTGAGTGTTATCATGACATGCGGCACATTGGGGTGGACACCCACCTATCTCAATCAATGAGAGACGATTTGAAATAGTTTGTCAGTGTGGAAGTACTCCCAGTACTTTGATTTGGTAGAAGGATAAAATGACAAGAATATAACTGTAAAATGTCAACTGTGCCCAGGAGAGAAACACCTCTCCACTGCAAGAAACACAACTTCAAATCTGTTGAAGCACCTGCAAAAGCAACACGCCACGACAAAACTCGTAGCGAAAGTCCCCCGAGGCTTGACCACTGCTGCTGAAGATGACTGTAGGCCTACCTCCTCCAAACAACCAAGGCTTGATTTGAATCATTCAGGAGGACAGGCTGTAACCCAGGGAGAGCTGAACAAGCTTGTAGCTGGGTATGTAGTAGAGGAAATGCTGCCATTATCCAGTGGTGTGTAGGCCTACGTAACGTAACGTTGAAATTGTTTACATTGAGTGAGGACGCGCAAGGGAGTAATAAGTAAAGGAATTTGTTACGGTTGAAAGAAGAAACAAGTAATAGGTAATATATTACTTTTTTTGAGTAATGCTCCCAACACTGGTGAGGGTGATGCTAATTGACATTGAGCCCCCCCTCGCCCACTCCCCCCTCTGTGCTTGCTGATGGGGGAGTTTGTTATTGCCTCTCAGCAGGGGAAACCATCGAGCTCAGGGGTGGCCAAATACAGCCTATGTCACAACAAAGGTAGGCTACTGTCTGTCCACACAACTATCAAGGGGAAAGGGGAAATTACAGATTTAGCCATTTAGAAATATGTATCATACAGTTTTGTTCACCTCTTTTTAGATTGGAGTGACTGTGCTGTTCAGGATTCAGGCTCATATTCTGACTAAGACCTGGGCAGCTGATGGAACATGGCTGGGTCTGTGCTGACATGGCCTGCCCCAAGTACACCAGGAGCCAGAGTGTGCAAAGCTGTCATCAAGGCAAAGGGTGGCTAGGCAAAGGGTGGCTATTTTAAGAATCTCAAATCTCAAATATATTTTGATTCGTTTAACACTTTTTTGGTTACTACATGATTCCATATGTGTTATTTCATAGTCTTGATGTCTTCACTATTATTCTACAATGTAAAAAATAGTAAAAATAAAGAAAAACCCTTGAATGAGTAGGTGTGTCCAAACTTTTGACTGGTAATGTATATGTAATGTCGACACCTGTTGTATTTGGCGCATGTGGCAAATAAAATGTGATTTGATTTATATATAATAATGTCTGAGATAGTGATTTACTGGGAACCCTTGTCCAACGCTGTAACTTTGTTTATTGAGTCAAGCCCCTAGAGGGCATCAAAGACCAATCAGACATTGGCCTAGAAAGCCTCAAATAATATTGTCTGAAAAGGCAGCCTTTATTTCTTACGGCCATGCTTCAAAATACATTTGACTAGTAGATGAACTTTAGACTAATTTAGCATATTGTGGAGACCTGGGTGTCTCTGCATTCAGGTGGAGAAGATGAAGTTATTTGCCATGTGTTCACCCCTTACGATGAGAGAGACCCTTTTCAGTCAAGCTACTTTATCTTCCTCCCTCTTATCCACTTGTATTGTGTATATCACCTTCTGACTGCCTCCCAATGAGGGAGTGGTACTGTATTTCCACCAGACGGAATGCACTGTGGAGAGGGAAACATGAAACGTGGGCCGCAGGTGTCTGCAAGCACAAAGACTCTCACATGCACTCAACCTTGAGTGAGAGCCAACCAGCACTATCACATCGACCTGACATACCATCACAGAGAGTCAGTCAAGCAGCCTGTTAACTTATTTATAGTTAAAGACACACAGTATCTACAAATTATGTAAACTGTTGGTCCAGTAGGCTTAAACATAAATATTTTCTTTTTTTTATTACCTTTTTACAGTATTTCTTGAGACTTAATGAGGGGTGTGATGAAGATACATTCATTTAAAAGAGATGAATGACACAACTATTAAGAGGAAGTTCATGCTATTGTACATTCAGTATTTAGAGTAACAGTAGACCCAAACAAATCCCTGTTTCCTTCCTCTATACTTCCTGAGGAAGTGCCCCAGGGAGCATACAGGTGATTCGGAAAGTATTCAGACCACTTGACTTTTTCCACATTTTGTTACATTACAGCCTTATTCTAAAATTGATTAAATAAATAAAAATCCTCATCAATCTACACACAATACCCCATAATGACAAAGCAAAAACAGGTTTTTAGATTATTTTGCAAAATTTTAAAAAACGTTTTTTTCCCGTTTTTTTTCAGGTCTCTCAAGAGATGTCCGATCGGGTTCAAGTCCGGGCTCTGGCTGGGAAACTCAAGAACATTCAGAGACTTGTCCCGAAGTCACCCCTGCGTTGTCTTGGCTGTGTGCTTAGGGTCGTTGTCCTGTTGGAAGGTGAACCTTCGCCCCAGTCTGAGCAGGTTTTCATCAAGGATCTCTCTATACTTTGCTCCATTCATCTTTCCCTCGATCCTGACTAGTCTCCCAGTCCCTGCCGCTGAAAAACATCCCCACAGCATGATGCTGTCATCCCCATGCTTCACCGTATTGATGGTGCCAGGTTTCCTCCAGAAGTGATGCTTGGCATTCAGGCCAAAGAGTTCAATCTTGGTTTCATCAGAGAATCTTGTTTCTCATGGTCTGAGAGTCCTTTAGGTGCCTTTTGGCAAACTCCAAGCGGGCTGTCATGTGCCTTTTACTGAGGAGTGGCTTCTGTCTGGCCACTCTACCATAAAGGCCTGACTAGTGGAGTGCTGCAGAGATGGTTGTCCTTCTGGAAGGTTCTCCCATCTCCACAGAGGAACTCTGGCGCTTTGTCAGAGTGACCATCAGGTTCTTGGTCACCTCCCTGATCAAGGCCCTTCTCCCCCGATTACTCAGTTTGGCCGGGCGGACAGCTCTAGGAAGAATCTTGGACGTTCCAAACATCTTCCATTTAAGAATGATGGAGGCCACTGTGTTCTTGGGGACCTTCAATGCTGCAGACATTTTTTGGTACCCTTCCCCAGATCTGTGCCTCGACACAATCCTGTCTCGGAGTTCTACGGACAATTTCTTCGACCTCATGGCTTGGTTTTTGCTCTGACATGCACTGTCAACTGTGGGACCTTATATAGACAGGTGTGTGCCTTTCCAAATCATGTCCAATCAATTGAATTTACCACAATAACGCTCTGACCTGAGTGGGTGGGTGCAGTGTCCAGATGCCCCTTTCCAAGCACTCTGATTGGTTGGGAATGGCAGGGCTATGATGGGTGAGGGATAACTTAGGTAGGTTGAGCAGCCAAACTAACGGGATTTAAGGGAAACTGAAGGGACTGTGAGGGGAAGTTAGGTAGAGTGGAGAGGAGCGGGACGGCCTTTTTCTTTACAGGTATTGTGTGTAGATTGATGAGGAAAAATAATAATTTAATCAATTTCAGAATAAGGCTGTAACGTAACAAAATGTGGAAAAAGGGAGGGTGTCTCAATACTTTCCGAATGCACTGTAAATACTGAAACACAATGACAATAAGACAAGACTATTGACACACCCAGGACATTGGAAAATCTAAAGAACTATTTAAAGAACTTCATAAACCACTATATATATATATATATATAAAAAATAAAATAAAGACATCCACAAATCATTGAATAGGGAAATCCTCTGCTAGGAAACATGTCAAATAATATTATGAACCTTTGGAAATTATGTCTTGACTACATCCAGATTTTTCCCTAGGACCGCTCATCCACTTTTTGTATCTCCATGAGTACAAGGAAATACGATGAATAAGAAAATGGAGATATATGTAATTCTAGCTACACTTGCAGGACTTAACAATCATATTGGACAACTGCTCCACCTGTGCAAAAAAAGAAGAAAAAAAGTGTACATTCAGTGGATAGACACTGTTAAGAAACATTTAAACCAAGCAGCTTTGTTTACTATGATTTCAATTCAGTGAGGATGTTATGAGAGTTTGATCTGATACTTCTATCAATACAGCATTCACTGACCTTGTGTTGTCTACCCACATAGTAGAGAATGGGTAGGGGCTCCAAGACCTGTGGAACACAGCAGGGTTGGGCAGAGGCTCCAGGATTGTGGTGCTTATACAGAGCCAGTACCTGTGGTTAGGTAAACAAAAGGTTACTAGATATCTCATTGAACAGTTACAGACCATCTTGTTCTGAATATAGTCTCAATCTCACCCCGTGGCAATACAGTGTCATTACTGAAAGCCCCAACTGTACAGATCCTTTATAGACAGTAAACAATAGAGAGGCTTACAGGTACATGACTGGTAGTATTACCTGGGAGTACTTGTTCTCTGTGTTCCATATATAGGTGCATGGGGCCCATGCAGTAGTTAGCAAAGTAGCCAGTGGGTTCATGGATCCACTTCCAGCCCAGGTCCTTACGGAAGTCAATGTAAAGCCTTCGCACACAGCAACTCTCTGAATTGCTGGGGGTACACACACACCTGTGAGTTATACATCTTACAGTGAGGGAAGAAAGCATTTGATCCCCTGCTGATTTTGTACGTTTGCCCACTGACAAAGACATAATCAGTCTATAATTTTAATGGTAGGTTTATTTGAACAGTGAGAGACAGAATAACAACAAAAAAATCCAGAAAAACGCATGTCAAAAATGTTATAAATTGATTTGCATTTTAATGAGGGAAATAAGTATTTGACCCCCTCTCAATCAGAAAGATTTCTGGCTCCCAGGTGTCTTTTATACAGGTAACGAGCTGAGATTAGGAGCACACTCTTAAAGGGAGTGTGCAAAACCCTCTGCAAAACATGACTTAGTACTTGGTGGCAAAACCCTTGTTGGCAATCACAGAGGTCAGACCTTTCTTGTAGTTGGCCACCTGGTTTGCACACATCTCAGGAGGGATTTTGTTCCACTCCTCTTTGCAGATCTTCTCCAAGTCATTAAGGTTTTGAGGCTGACGTTTGGCAACTCAAACCTTCAGCTCCCTCCACAGATTTTCTATGGGATTAAGGTCTGGAGACTGGCTAGGCCACTCCAGGACCTTAATGTGCTTCTTCTTGAGCCACTCCTTTGTTGCCTTGGCCGTGTGTTTTGGGTCATTGTCATGCTGGAATACCCATCCACGACCCATTTTCAATGCCCTGGCTGAGGGAAGGAGGTTCTCACCCAAGATTTGACGGTACATGGCCCCGTCCATCGTCCCTTTGATGCGGTGAAGTTGTCCTGTCCCCTTAGCAGAAAAACACCCCCAAAGCATAATGTTTCCACCTCCATGTTTGACGGTGGGGATGGTGTTCTTGGGGTCATAGGCAGCATTCCTCCTCCTCCAAACAAGGCGAGTTGAGTTGATGCCAAAGAGCTCGATTTTGGTCTCATCTGACCACAACACTTTCACCCAGTTCTACTCTGAATCATTCAGATGTTCATTGGCAAACTTCAGACGGCCCTGTATATGTGCTTTCTTGAGCAGGGGGACCTTGCGGGCGCTGCAGGATTTCAGTCCTTCACGGCGTAGTGTGTTACCAATTGTTTTCTTGGTGACTATGGTCCCAGCTGCCTTGAGATCATTGACAAGATCCTCCCGTGTAGTTCTGGGCTGATTCCTCACCGTTCTCATGATCATTGCAACTCCACGAGGTGAGATCTTGCATGGAGCCCCAGGCCGAGGGAGATTGACAGTTCTTTTGTGTTTCTTCCATTTGCGAATAATCGCACCAACTGTTGTCACCTTCTCACCAAGCTGCTTGGCGATGGTCTTGTAGCCCATTCCAGCCTTGTGTAGGTCTACAATCTTGACCCTGACATCCTTGGAGAACTCTTTTTTATTGGCCATGGTGGAGAGTTTGGAATCTGATTGATTGATTCCTTCTGTGGACAGGTGTCTTTTATACAGGTAACAAACTGAGATTAGGAGCACTCCCTTTAAGTGTGTGCTCCTAATCTCAGCTCGTTACCTGTATAAAAGACACCTGGGAGCCAGAAATCTTTCTGATTGAGAGGGGGTCAAACTTATTTCCCTCATTAAAATGCAAATCAATTTATAACATTTTTGACATGGGTTTTTCTGGATTTTTTGTTGTTATTCTGTCTCTCACTGTTCAAATAAACCTACCATTAAAATTATAGACTGATCATTTCTTTGTCAGTGGGCAAACTTACAAAATCAGCAGGGGATCAAATACTTTTTTCCCTCACTGTATCTCTTACAAACAGTGCGTTAACAAGGCGTCTAAGTAGGCCTACAGTATATCAATCAGCTAAAAGAGATTAACTTTGTTAGTACACATTTAAGAGACATCAATTGATAGTTATAAACGTTCTCTTGGGCCGGTGGAATAAAGGATAGTCTCACTCTGAGCAGATCTCTTCAGTAGTGGTTTGTCTTTTCTTCCGAGAGCTAAGCTGGCTGTGGCGTTCCACAGGAAGTGACATCAGCAAAATGTGAGGCTTTGGCATGTTCGTGAAGAGAGTTTCTTTATCTCCCCTTCGCTTGAACATCCCTATTGTATAAAACATTGACACATCTGTCAGTAAAGAGATTCACAGTGGAGGCTAGTCAGAAAACGCATGGCTTGAGTTGATTTCAATATGGTGAAAATAGCTAGTAGACTGCAAATACCTGATATTTCGAAGAGGAATTCTTCCATTTGTTTCCCACAATCACAAGGCAACTTCAATTGGAATCCTTGCTCCTCTCCTGGAAAATGTTGTAAAAATCAAAATATAATGGTGTATCAAACTTATTTTTAAACCTGAAGGAATAGGTCTGCTGTTTTAGGTGTAAAATTCTGTTGAACAGTTCTTACACATGCTTTGCTATGGGCCTTCTTTGTAGTGCCACTTCAATCAGACACAGATTTGTAACAGGATATGATTGTCAGTGTTTCAACATACTATTTGTGTTATGCAGTTATAATTACAACCCTAAAGGAAATTGTAACTTACTAGCCCCTTGCAGCCACTCCCTCAGAGTCTCTGTAACATCAAAGGACACCCAGCGATTGGCCCATTCCTTGGAGACAAAATGGGACTTCAGGTAACGTGCCTCATCTTCAACGCCTCTGTAGAGTTCCAGCCTCTGCTCACTGCTGTCGGACATGCCACGGTTCTTGATGAGGAGACGGAGCTCAGCTTGAGAGAGCAGTCGATCAGTCCCCAATACTGACCGCATCTCTGACATGTTGAAGAGCATCTGGTGCTTACTGGTGTTCTCACCTGGAAAAGAAGGAGAGTCAGTCTCCTAGTGATTGTTAGTTATTTCTACTACTGGACCTGTCAGTGCCATAGAGGGCATAGAGAAAGCATTTTACCATAGTACCAGTAATAAAACTATTGTGGATTTTGTTATATAAAGACACGATCAGGGAGAGGCAAATGCAGTTTCAGGTTTGGCTTTGCCTCAAATACTATCCACTGGAGCCAAATTACCCCTGTGAGTCTGTAACAATAATTACACATTGGAAGGGCCGCTGAGGAAGTGAGCCTGCTCTGGGGGGCAGATCATACCATGCTGTAGTCTATTCATAGACGCTAGATAACTCCTCTAGCATCTATTCACAAAGGTATCTTCTGTCCGGGGGGGTTTGTTAAGAGCCCCGATGCTCGGTCTGAACATTAACGCGCATCGCTTGAAGTACAGTTTTGGAAACATAAGGAAATAATTTTCTAAAAACAAAAGGTTAAATTACTAGAACCTTTATAAGGTTCCCAAACAGACATATTTCCATGTTACAGCGGTTGTTTACGGAAGACAGACAGGAAACAGAGGCGACCACCTGTGCTAATCAGCTATTTGGAGTGCTCTGAATACCTGTGTGTAACGAAATAAGGAAGCCAGAAAAGTGTTATAACTGAAAAATAATGTCCGCTGCAACTGGTTAAAACAGTGTACAGTAAGTGTATATTTTGCATTTGTGACATTATTTTGATGTGACAGGAGAGGGCTTTATGTTTCCAAAACCTTATTGCAAGCGAGGATTATTAACGTTTCTAAACATTAAAACAGAGTGTGGGGATTGTAGTTCACATGGTCCCAGCCTCTTGGCGATACTTACGCCTGAGAACTCTAGGGATAAGGCAGAATGCCACCTTGGGTTCTCAAGAGCAAACCATGCTGCATCGCCACATAGCATTACACTAAACCAGCAGCATAAAAAAGGAGCTAATCTGAGGTCACGATCCTGAGAGCTTCTGGGGCAAACCTAACCTGCTCAGAGTGACTGCCTGGACAACAAGTTTATACTGCAGAGATTTATACTGTCTTTTAGACAGAAAAAGGGGAAGGATCCAGCAAAGGGAAGGAAACATATGGTAGGGAGGTAAAAGGTTGAGGCAGGCCGTGGTTTTAAACACAGCAGACAGGGCAATTGCAGTCAGTTCAGTAAACCAATGGAAGAAACACCCATTTCCAGTCAACAACCTTATCTAAAGGACATAATTATACACATTTACATCCTAAAAATGTTCCACCAACTGCAGTTTGCTCAGTCAGAAACTACAGCACTATTTCAAATTCATCCTATTTACAACATAAGACAAGGTTGAAATAGCCTTGCTTTGCTTTGCTTAATCATTTGCCTGCTAACCCTATCTGCATCGCTCAATCCAGTGTGGTGAAAAGTTTGACAGATGCTTCATGGTATACAGGGATAGAAGCCACTTTATTTTCAAGGGCACGACTTGAGTCATTTAACAGCATGTATCCTGAAGTGTTCCTTCCTGCCAGCTGTTCAGATAAGCACACGGTAATCAGTCAGAGGAAACCTCCCTTGCCCCATCCATCTGTCTCACCCTCCACATTCTAGGTGACAATATGGTCTAACATTATTTCACTCCTTTACAGTTCAAGATGGAAGCTAGTCCATTTCCTAGACCAGAGTGTAGCTGTATAACATTTAGCCACCTTGCGAGATATTTGCCGACCCGTACCTGTGCCTGTTTGGCTACACTTTTCCCTCATCGGAGAGTATATCAGAAATCGGTTGACGGTTCTGATAAGGAACTCGTTGTTTGCGTCACTGAGAGGTGCCCAGGAAATAATTACATCCAATTGTTAGATGTCCCCCCCCCCCCCCCCCCCCCCTCTCTAAATCAAAACAAACATGGATTCCATGTTGTGTCTAGCTTAGCACACACACCGGTGTGTTTCACACATTTGTCTAGATAATCAGACTATTGGGCAACATGCTGCTGCAGACGGGAAGTAGAACGGAGCGTGTACGCGCAAACATTGACATCCATGTTTGGTTTTGATTTCGAGGGGGGTGGTAGCATCTAACAATTGGACTTAATTCATTCCTGGGCACTGCTCAGCGATGCAAACGTCAATTTCCTTATCAGAACCGTCCACGGATATACTTTCCAACTTGGGAAAAGCGTTGCCAAACAGGCACAGGTCTGCAAATATCTCGCACGCCTCTCCAATGGTATGCCCTAAGATGAAATGTTACTGTTAAAATAACTGTACATGCCAGCCAGCCTTGATGAAAGATTATGACAAAAAACATATACTCCTTACTTTTTTTTGCATTGCTATTCAATTACCATGGTGAAGGCCTGTGGTTAGCTAGGCTTTATATCTTAATCAACCTTTGAAGATCCCCCTACACACATCAACCATTTAACAAGCCTATACCTGACTGAAGTGAGGCTAGAGAAGCATCCACTTTAACCTGACAAGCCAGAGCCTGTGTAAGCAGCAGGAAGTGTATGCATGTAGTCAGCATGCATGGGTATACAGGCAGGTCCATAATTATTGGCACCCTTGATAAAGATGAGCAAAAAAGACTAAGTCATACAAATACTGAGCTATATTGTATGCTTCAAACATTTGGAAATTCTATTATTTTATACTAATACAGTTGCACAGAGAAATATTTTTGTTACAAGTACTCAAATCTATTTTGTTACTTGCAATGGTAAAATATGGTGGTGCATCTTTGATGTTATGGGGCTATTTTGCTTCCACTGGTCCTGTGGCCTTTGTTAAGGACAATGGCATCAGGAACTTTTACCAAGTACCAGGACATTTTAGCCAAAAACCTGGTTGCCTTTGCCAAGAGGCTGACACTTGGCCGCAAGTGGATCTTCCAGCAAGACAATAACCCCAAGCACACATAAAATCGACAAATAAATTGTTAATTGACCACAAAACCAACATTTTGCAATGGCCATCTCAGTCTCTGGACATGAACTCCAATGAAAACCACTGGTTTGAATTGTAGAGGGCAGTCCATAAGCGCAGACGAAGGATATCAAGAATCTGGAAAGATTCTGTATGGAGGAATGGCCTAAGATCCCTCCCAATGTGTCCTCTAATCTCATAAAACATTTTAGAAAAAGGCTCAGTGTTGTTATACTCACAAGGGTAGTGTGCTAAGTGTACTCACTTTGTTTCATGTTGAACTTGTGGACCTCCTTTGCAAAGTATGCCTCCTCTTCTGCATCCGGAGTGGGCGGTATGTATGTGTGCACCTGCTCCTCACTCAGCTCCACTGTGCTGTTGTAGATGGACATCAGGGAGGTTGGGACCTCCTCAGTGTCTCCCTCCTGGTCAATCTCTGGCTCCTTGGGCAGCCGCAGCTTGCTCAGTATCTGTCCACGAATGGCCTCAATGCGTTTCCTCTTCACCAGCTCCAAGTCCAGCGACTTACAGGTGGACATGGCTTCACTCCGACACACATATTCCAGCACCAATAAGGCAACCAGCATCAAACATTCTACCCTCATGGCACACTTTAAAGAGGAACAATGTCTAAGACAGCAGACTTTCAGAGTTGACTATTATGTGGATTTACCGTCCTGTTTGAGCTCGCCGAGTCCCGTTGCATGAGCTGATTTCAATGCGCTTCTCCTGCTGCTGTCACAATCCTCACTGAAACACAGGAGGCTTCAGGATCTCATGTGGAGCTCCTCTGAAACTGGCACATGCTCTGGAGCCGAGGTCAGACCACGGAGAAGCACCACAAGAGCTCAGCCTAGACTGAGTCACTGTCTCACTGGTATGGTGCCTCACAGACTCTCAGTGCTCCCTAGAGGCAGCCTCAATTCATGAATGAATGAACTACAGCACTCACCACATTACTACCTGTCCCTGGGAGCCAAATACACACAAGTTAAAAAAAACAAATAAGCTCTGGAAATAGGAGACCCTGTGTAAACTGTGAGATTTGGAAAGTAACATCATGAACTATAAAGGGAAATCTCAATGGAAATTGTAAAGTTGTCTCAACTTTCTTCTCCACTATCTATAAACTTTAATTTGTTAAAATCAGTTCCAATGCAATTTTTTTTGCAAATGTGACAGTCTTCCTACAACATTACTGAATAAGTTTTAGTCAGCTGACCCAATTCCCATTGCAATCTGATAAACTGCTTCACAGATTAAGCCAAAGCAAAGGGGCGTATCATTAGTGTAAAATCATAATATTGAGAAATGTAAATGTCTTAACCAGTTATTCATAAATACATGCACACAGCATATTGCATTAAGCAAAATAAAACTACTGCCTAGCTTCAATTACTTAACCATTTCAAATTCTCCAAGACTGATGCTGTCATTCACTAGACCAGTAGATGCACTTTCCAATCCTAAACTTGCCAGAGAACACTCAAGACAAAGGTCCACCACAGCAAATGAAAGAGCAGAGACATCCTAACAGCAACAACAAACTCACCCTCACATAGTTTACAGCTCCTTCTCTTTCTCTAGTATTTACTATATCCAGATCCAGTTAGTTAAAACATTTCAGACTAAAACCAAAATAATAAGAAAAAAACACTGTACACAATAATCTTTCCTATTAGAACCTACTGTTCAGACATTGATAGTGCTGTTTGTTTTACTAGCCATCATCAGCCACTGATCTTTTTCTCCATTTCCTTTGCTTTTCTGTCCTAGTTCCTCTCTTGCGCTAAAACAATATGAAGCTCTAAATCCAGGAAGTGAGCAGCATTGTGAAACTTCTACCGTTTCAAAACACAGGGCTGCTTGTTCTGTTAGCTTTGCCGGAAGGCAAGACACGTTAGAACTTAAATAACTGGTTGATTTGCTAAATTGAATCCACCTGCAATTGCTAAAAACGTAGCATCATCCATAGTATCATCTAAATAGACTAACATGGCTACAGTATATTTATAGTTCATATACACTGAGTATACAAAACATGAAAAACACCTGCTCTTTCCATGACATAGACTGACCAGGTGAAAGCTATGATCCCTTATTGATCACTTGTTAAATCCACTTTATCAGTGTAGATGAAGACGAGGAGACCGGTTAAAGAAGGATTTTTAAGCCTTGAGACAATTGAGACATGGATTGTGTATGTGTGCCATTCAAAGTGTGAATGGGCAAGACAAAAGATTTAAGTGCCTTTGAACGGGGTATGGTAGTAGCTGTCATGCGCACCGGTTTGTGTCAAGAACTGCAACGCTGCTGGGTTTTTCACGCTCAACAGTTTCCCATGTGTATCAATAATGGTCCACCACTCAAAGGACATCCAGCAAACTTGACACAACTGTGGGAAGCATTGGAGTCAACATGGGCCAGCATCCCTGTGGAACACTTTCGACACCTTGTAGAGTCCATGAAACTCAGTATTAGGAAGGTGTTCCTAATGCTTGGGATATTCAGTGTATTTTGTCTCTTCCCTGTGTTTCTATCAAATGTTGACAACTACTGCATATTATTCAGAAAAAAATACATAGTTGAAAAGTGAGTTAATTGTGTCAGTAGATATGACACTTGCAAGGTAATGATTTATTTACATAATTCTACTATATAAAAACAAGAAGTTCATAGAAAAATATAAAATTGAAATTAAGTACAGTTTCAAATCTGGTTTGCATTGGTTAACATTTTTAAACATGACCTCAGTTATATAAAATGTTCTCAAAATATTGACAATCAGGAAGGCAGATGGTGTTGAAAGGCTGGTTTTGTGCACAGGTGCACCGATTTGTGCACAGGGGCATTGTCATGCTGAAACAGGAAAGGGCCTTCCACAAAGTTGGAAGCACAGATTCATCTAGAATGTCATTGTATGCTGTAGCGTTAAGATTTCCCTTCACTGGAACTAAGGGGCCTAGCCCGAACCATGAAAAACAGCCCCAGACCATTATTCCTCCTCCACCAAACTTTACAATTGACACTATACATTGGGGCAGGTAGCGTTCTCTTGGCATCTGTCAAACCCAGATTCGTCCATCGGACTGCCAGATGGTGAAGCGTGATTCATCACTCCAGATAACGTGTTTCCACTGCTCCAGAGTCCAATGGCGGCGAGCTTTACACCACTCCAGCCGCCAATTGGCTTTGCGCATGGTGATCTTAGGCTTGTGTGCGGCTGCTCGGCCATGGAAACCCATTTCATGAAGCTCCTGACGAACAGTTCTTGTGCTGATGTTGCTTCCAGAGGCAATTTGGAACTCAGTAGTGAGTGTTGCAACCGAGGACAGATGATTTTTTACTCGTTACACGCTTCAGCGGTCCCGTTCTGTGAGCTTGTGTGGCCTACCACTTCGCGGCTGAGCCGTTGTTGCTCCTAGACGTTTCCACTTCACAATATCAGCACTTTCAGTTGACTGGGGCAGCTCTAGCAGGGCAGAAATTTGACGAACCGGAAAGGTGGCATCCTATGACAGTGCCACGTTGAAAGTCACTGAGCTCTTCAGTAAGGCCATTCTACTGCCGATGTTTGTCTATAGAGATTGGATGGCTGTGTGCTTGATTTTATACACCTGTCAGCAACGGGTTTGGCTGAAATAGCCAAATCCACTAATTTGAAGAGGTGTCCACATACTTTTGTATCTATAGTGTATGTATGCCACATCAATGCATCTCACAAGGCAAAATATCTAATCTGACCTGCTCAGTCTTTATGTACCCGTTGCAGATATGGTCAAAATCCCCACCTTCCCCACCTACTAACAATACAGTGCTCCATTCAGGCCTCTCTCCATTCACCCTTCACTCTGTCCCATCTCTCAACATTTCAGCTCTCTACACCATATCTGTCAAAGTGTCGCATGATGATGCCTAGCTCCAGCTCTACAGTGCCCATAGCCACCGTGTGCAGTCTATATCTGTCCGCCCCACTGTATATGATGTTTGAGGAGCGCAGCTGGGGACCTCCACCCACAAAGGTTTGAGCTATCTGCTCCTGCCAGGATCCCAGTGGTCTCCAGGTCACACAGCGTACATGGTGGTGCCCTGGGCTGGAGGGCACATGGCAATATCCATAACCATATAGCTGACAGCGCCCAAATGCATCCTGGTGCCAAACCTGCAGGTGAAGCTTGGGCCAGCCTACAAGGGAAGAGAAGTCAAATTAGTCAAATAAAATAACATTTTGTCAAATGCGCCGAATACAACAGGTGTAGACTTTACCGTGAAATGCTTACTTATGAGCCCATTAATGCAGAGTTAAAAAGTGCGAAATTGAGCAAATAAAAATAGAAAAGAGTAACACAATGAATAACAATCACAATAAATAACAATAGCGAGGCTATATACAAGAAGTACCAGTACTGAGTCAATGTGCAGGGGTACGAGGTAGTTGAGGTAATATGTACATGTAGGTAGGGGTAAAAATGACTAGGCAATCAGGATAGAAAATAAACAGAGTAGCAGCAGCGTATGTGGAGAAAGTGTGTGTGAAAGTGTGTGTGTGTGTGTGGCGTCAATATGCATGTGTGTGTTTTGTGTGTGTGAGCGTACAGTGCCTTGCAAAAGTATTCATCCCCCTTGGCATTTTTCGTATATTTGAATTTCATGTAATGGGCATACACAAAATAGTCCAAATTTGTGAAGTGAAATTTAAAAAATAACTTGTTTCAAAAAATTCTAAAAAATTAATAACAGAAAAGTGGTGCGTGCATATGTATTCACCACCTTTGCTATGAAGCCCCTAAATAAGATCTGGTGCAATTAATTACCTTCAGAAGTCACATAATTAGTTAAATAAAGTCCACCTGTGTGCAATCTAAGTGTCACATGATCTGTCACATGATCTCAGTATATATACACCTGTTCTGAAAGGCCCCAGAGTCTGCAACACCACTAAGCAAGGGGTACCACCAAGCAAGCGGCACCATGAAGACAAAGGAGCTCTCCAAACAGGTCAGGGACAAAGTTGTGGAGAAGTACAGATCAGGTTTGGGTTATAAAAAAATATCAGAAACTTTGAACATCCCACGGAGCACCATTAAATCCATTATTTAAAAATGGAAAGAATATGGCACCACAACAAACCTGCCAAGAGAGGGCCGCCCACAAAAAATCACGGACCAGGCAAGGAGGGCATTAATCAGAGAGGCAACAAAGTGACCAAAGATAACCCTGAAGGAGCTGCAAAGCGCCACAGCGGAGATTGGAGTATCTGTCCATTGGACCACTTTAAGCTGTACACTCCACAGAGCTGGGCTTTACGGAAGAGTGGCCAGAAAAAAGCCATTGCTTAAAGAAAAAAATAAGCAAACACGTTTGGTGTTCGCCAAAAGGCATGTGGGAGACTCCCCAAACATATGGAAGAAGGTACTCTCGTCAGATAAGACAAAAATTGAGCTTTTTGGCCATCAAGGAAAACGCTATGTCTGGCGCAAACCCAACACCTCTCATCACCCCGAGAACACCATCCCCACAGTGAAGCATAGTGGTGACAGCATCATGCTGTGGGGAAGTTTTTCATCGACAGGGACTGGGAAACTGGTCAGAATTGAAGGAATGATGGATGGCGCTAAATACAGGGAAATTCTTGAGGGAAACCTGTTTCAGTCTTCCAGAGATTTGGGGCCTGGACGGAGGTTCACCTTCCAGCAGGACAATGACCCTAAGCATACTGCTAAAGTAACACTTGAGTGGTTTAAGGGGAAACATTTAAATGTCTTGGAATGGCCTAGTCAAAGCCCAGACCTCAATCCAAATGAGAATCTGTGGTATGACTTAAAGATTGCTGTCCACCAGCGGAACCCATCCAACTTGAAGGAGCTGAAGCAGTTTTGCCTTGAAGAATGGGCAAAAATCCCAGTGGCTAGATGTGCCAAGCTTATAGAGACATACCCCAAGGAGACTTGTAGCTGTAATTGCTGCAAAAGGTGGCTCTACAAAGTATTGACTTTGGGGGGGGGTGAATAGTTATGCATGCTCAAGTATTCTGTTTTTTTGTCTTATTTCTTGTTTGTGTCACAAGAAAAAATATTTTACATCTTCAAAGTTGTAGGCATGTTGTGTAAATGAAATGATACAAACCCCCCAAAATCATTTTTAATTCCAGGTTGTAAGGCAACAAAATAGGAAAAATGCCAAGGGGGGTGAATACTTTTGCAAGCCACTGTATGTAGTGTGTTTGTGTATGTGTTGGCGTCTCAGTGTATGTGTGTGGGTAGAGTCCAGTGAGTGTCCATGCATAGAGTTAGTGTAAGAGAGTCAGTGCAAAAAAGGATCAATGCAATAGTCCGGGTAGCCATTTCATTAAAAGGCTGTCATGTGCCTTTTACTGATGGGTGGCTTCCGTCTGGCCACTCTACCATAAAGGCCTGATTGGGGGAGTGCTGCAGAAATGGTTGTTCTTTTGGAAGGTTCTCCCATCTCCACAGAGGAACTCTGGAGCTCTGTCAGAGTGACCATCGGGTTCTTGGTCACCTCCCTGACTAAGGCCCTTCTTCGTCGATTGCTGGTTCCAAACTTCTTCCATTTAAGAATGATGAAGCCACTGTGTTCATGGGGACCTTCAATGCTGCAGAAATGTTTTGGTACCCTTCCCCAGATCTGTGCTTTGACACAATCCTGTCTCTGAGCTCTATGGACAATTCCTTCCACCTCATGGCTTGGTTTTGGCTCTGACATGCACTGTCAACTGTGGGACCTCGAGTCTCATAGCAACAGGTCTCTATACTTATGTAAATAAGGTATCTGTTTCTATTTTGAATACATTTGCTAAAATTTCGAAAAACCTGTTTTCGCTTCGTCATTATGGGGTATTGTGTGTAGATTGATGAGGGGGAAAAAATATTTCATACATTTTAGAATAAGGCTGTTAACATAACAAAATGTGGGAAAGGTCAAGGGGTCTGAATACTTTTCGAATGCACTGTATGTAGCTTTCAATTTACGTCTGTGATGAACTGCTACTTAGAAATTGTCAGGAAGCTAGCTAACTACCTTGCAGTCCTTTAGTGGTGTAGTGCAGATCAATGGGATGACTCCAGTATGCCATGTACCCTGTCTGAGGCAAATCCACTTGGGTTTGCCCCTCCTTCAAGCCAGAGAGAAGTCTCCATGCACCCCCTTAAATAACAAAATTGACGTGTTGTCGTAAAACAGTATCACAATCACAACGGATGAGTTGCAGTAAAATGCTCAATAAAATAATCTGAATATAACAAAAGACACCTGTATGAATTCCCCACTTGCAGAAAAGACTGTTCTGAGGGAAGCCGCTAGCCCCGACGATCTGACCGATAATGTGCAGCTCTGCCATTACTGGTATATGTGCAGCTCCTTTGCCTGCAGGTAGAGCACATAATAAGGCTGAATTGAACATCTGTTTACAGTGTCAGCGGCTAGCTGGGATTAGCTAGCTAATTAGCTATTGTATATGGCTAGCTAACTTCGTAGGTTCAAATGATAAATTTGTCAACATAGCTGGCCTGAAATATGGTTGTTAGTTAGCTAGCAAGCGAGCACATTTTATTAACGATTTAATACATCACTGTATAACAAAAATAATAATGTCAAAAACACAGCTACCGCTTGCATTCAATCAGATGAAAATGCCGAAGCCACCATGATCCTAATTTCCTTGGCAACCAAACAGGAAACTACGGAAGCTGACGTCGAGAGAAAGCGGCAAAAGCGCGAATTCAAAATCCACAAGTGGTTTTGACAGCGCTGTTCCCTTCCTTCCACAAGGGAATCAAATATTTATGTCCATAGAGGGAATTTGCCTTTATAAACATTTTTTTAAAAATGAATAATTGGTGTTTACCTAATGCTTTTATGTTGGTACTCCTTGCTTGGATGACCTTGTAGGAAACTAGGGAAATTGTGTACTACCTTATTGCAATGGAAGACTGTTTTCAGCCCCCTTTAAAGTCAAAGTTGTGGAAGTGAGGAGAGTCAACAGTCTGATTGCAGGAGTGGTACAGGTCAGAGAAGTCTGTGGTGGGCGGCAGGTCAGGAGGCCATACGTCAGAGTTAGCAGAGCATGCACCTAGGTAAGCCATGGCAGAGGAAGCAGCGGCCCCTTCCATCAGTAAATACAAAGCCCTCACTGCCCGGGCATCATGGCTGGTGCCATGGCACAGACAGTCCACTGAACGATTAGTCCCTTTGTACCTCTTCATGTGAGGATATTGCATGCCTGTAGTGGACGGTAGAGAGAACATCTATGTCATGCACATCCTTAATTGCAATCTACACCACTACACCACTAGACGTCACATAAAACTCTACTTTTATCAAAAACTACAGATTTCAGCACCCAAAGAAAAGCTTGCATTTATACAGGACAAACATTGGTACAAAGAAAGCATTAAATAATAAAAACTTTTACAAGTATCGACGGACAGAGACTCGATGTTGTCAGGGGTGCAGTCCGCCCATACTCGTAGTCGCTCAACTCCATCGTATGTTGTGGAGTTGAGTTTATGGTCCTTTCAAGACAACTGGGAACTCAAATTTTTTGGGGGCCAAATCATGAAGTCAGTGATCTTCAGGTCCAGTTTCCGACTTGGAATTCCGAGCTGGATGACCGTTTTAGAACTGTATCACGTGTTGGGCTAATATGTTGGATAGATGTCTGAAGAGGTTACAGAAGACGGAAGTGCAAAAAGTGTCCCACCTTTCTGTATTCACTCAAATAATAGTACAATTAACAGTACTAATAACATTACTACAAGAAACAATTAAACAGATATAGTACTTCAAGAACCAGAGCCCTGCCTAACCTAAGTACTAATGTAAACTGGATCTATTTTCTCCATTGGAAAAGCCTATAAGACTGTCCCACTTTAGCTACTCCATGCTGTCCTACTTTAGCTATTTATTTAAAAAAGACTGAATTACAAAGTTGAAACATAATATTGGCAACTTTTTATATATATTTTGATGCACCAGAACATAGTATGCACATTTACATCACAATTTGGCACAGTGCCTTATTTATGACAGTTGTATAACCTTAACGTCAAAACAGAAAAAAAGCTGTCACTGATTTTACTGTGTGCTTCGTGGGTTGAGCTTCCTGTTTGAAGCTTGTGCTACCCCCCTCTGCGATGTCACACCAATTAAGTGATGGGATTTTTATCATGTGGTTTCTCTGCAAGAGTTTAGTAACAATAGTTTAGATTTTCTCTTGTCAGAACAAGAAATAAACAAATCAGGATTAAACTGAATTAAACTGTCCCAGTTTACACACTTTTCAAATTCACCCTACCCCAACATACGATGAAACATCCATGTCTTCATCACTGAAAAAGATAAACGGTTGTGTTTGATATCATTTAAAAGCATACAAACAGTCTTGTCAAACTATTTGATCATTTCTTGAAAGAAAATGTTTTTGAATGAAAATTATGACATTTTTTTTTAAACCTCTAACGACAATTATCTAAAAATGCTTAAACTCATTTTTTTTTTTGTGTTGTGCCAGCCATCGGTTGAGACACAACATGCTCTTGAATACAGGATGGGTGTCATTTTAATCATAGAAATATAATTAATAGAATGGCCCTTCAGACCATTGCAATTTAGCTGGTACACAATTGACATTTACATTTAATTGAAATTTTAACTTCTAATTAATTTAAATGGTCATGTCTATTCTATTGTCTATATTTCTATGATTTAAAAATGGAGGATTGACGGTATAATTTAAAACAACAAATATTCCCATCCAAGTCAACATTCTCTGATGTGTGGACCTCCAACAACCATGTTTGTGGTGCCATTCGAAAGTTGACATTTAATTTCTCCCATTTTAGTTAATTTATCAGCCAAAACATAACACCCACCCTGTATTCAAGAGAATGTTGTGTCAACCAATGGTAGCACAACAACAAAAAACTCAGATGATGTAAAATAGGGTCTAAGCTACAATATATGCAAATATGAAAACAATCAGAGTTTACTGGTTTTTAGATCATTGACGTTTAAGGTTAAAAAACATGTATTTAAAAAAACTAATTATTAAATAGTTTGACAACCCTGTTTGTAAGCTTTTAAATCATATCAATATCAACCGTTTATCTTTTCCAGTTATGAAGACATGGATGTCTCATGGTATGGTGGGTTATGCAAAATAGGTGAACTTTGAACACCTTTAACTGTTGAATGTTTTGTCATTCAGGTCCAAAAAGTCACTTTCTGAGCACTTCTACAATGGGCAAAATCTGTATGGAAGGTTTTGTACAAATCAAATGGGGTGCTGTCAAAAAGTGATTGAATTCAAATGGATTTACCCAGGAGGGACATTTGCATCTTAAATTCTATTTATTTTATTGACATAATGCTTGTTTTCCATGAACAAATCAGCGTTTCTCAAAGAGTTCAGAGCATTTTCAATGCATCCAACTGGTATTTACGACTTCACAACTGGTAAATTCCCATCCTTCACAACTGGTAAATTCCCACCTCCCACTTGGTTACGAACGCAGCATACTTTCCAACGTCATAAATACAAAAAGTATTTCTTCATAGTATGTAATGTATGCTGGGGGAACACGTTCTCTAAAAGTATGCACTATTCTCAATTTACTGTTTCTTCAACGGTTGAGTGTGCATGAAAGTCAGAAAAGTGTATGTAGAAGAGGGAATAATGGGGGGAAAAAATGTCAAGAGCTTGCCCAACCGGCCGCAAGAAGGCACTATTTTTCTTTGGAATAATAGTGCCATCTTGCGGCCGGTTGAGCTAGTCAAGAGCAAAAGTTTTCCCTATGAGTAATTCAATCGTGAGAGACATGCCTAATACTCGCGGACTATTTGCCTATTAAACTAAATTCAGTCTCGAAGATAGGCTACATCATATCCAGTAGTAGTACGTTATCTTGTGAATTCGACTTCTGGAAGAAGCAAAACTGTTTCAATAATTTCCATGAATGGCATAGTCTACTCTCAAGGATAACTTTTTGGAAAGCGGCTGAAACCTTCAAGAAATAGAGTCTAACGTGGATATTGTGCGAGGAAGAAGATGACTCATTTCTTGCCAGGAATTATGTAAAGATGTCTGTCTGAGGCATAATTTTAGTCGTAGTAGAGACCAATCTTGTTCTTCAAGAGCAAACCTGAACGAGGATGAAGGGCGGCAAAGGGTGTTTGCATTTATTTGTTCTTCTGTTGATGGATATAGGTACAGTGGTCCCTGTGCCAGGTGAGTCAGCATGGATGAAAACAGAGATTCTGTTAACATTTTAGCAATATAAGTTACCTCTCAGAAATGATCATAACGTATGTTTTATTATTTGAAAAACTTTCTAAGAAAATGCTTTTCCTTCATTATGGTTTATCTTACTTATGAACGTTTTAGGCAGATATACAGTGAGGAAAAAACCTTTTTGATCCCCTGATGATTTTGTACGTTTGCCCACTGACAAAGAAATGATCAGTCATAATTTTAATGGTAGGTTTATTTGAACAGTGAGAGACAGAATAACAACAACAAAATCCAGAAAAACGCATGTCAAAAATGTTATAAATTGATTTGCATTTTAATGAGGGAAATAAGTATTTTACCACCTCTCAATCAGAAAGATTTCTGGCTCCCAGGTGTCTTTTATACAGGTAACGAGCTGAGATTAGGAGCACACTCTTAAAGGGAGTGCTCCTAATCTCAGTTTGTTACCTGTATAAAAGACACCTGTCCACAGAAGCAATCAATCAATCAGATTCCAAACTCTCCACCATGGCCAAGACCAAAGAGCTCTCCAAGGATGTCAGGGACAAGATTGTAGACCTACACAAGGCTGGAATGGGCTACAAGACCATCGCCAAGCAGCTTGGTGAGAAGGTGACAACAGTTGGTGCGATTATTCGCAAATGGAAGAATCACAAAATAACTGTCAATCTCCCTCGGCCTGTTTTCTGCTAAGGGGACAGGACAACTTCACCGCATCAAAGGGACGATGGACGGGGCCATGTACCGTCAAATCTTGGGTGAGAACCTCCTTCCCTCAGCCAGGGCATTGAAAATGGGTCGTGGATGGGTATTCCAGCATGACAATGACCCAAAACACACGGCCAAGGCAACAAAGGAGTGGCTCAAGAAGAAGCACATTAAGATCCTGGAGTGGCCTAGCCAGTCTCCAGACCTTAATCCCATAGAACATCTGTGGAGGGAGCTGAAGGTTCAAGTTGCCAAACGTCAGCCTCAAAACCTTAATGACTTGGAGAAGATCTGCAAAGAGGAGTGGGACAAAACCCCTCCTGAGATGTGTGCAAACCTGGTGGCCAACTACAAGAAACGTCTGACCTCTGTGATTGCCAACAAGGGTTTTGCCACCAAGTACTAAGTCATGTTTTGCAGAGGAGTCAAATACTTATTTCCCTCATTAAAATGCAAATCAATTCATAACATTTTTGACATGCGTCTTTCTGGATTTTGTTGTTGTTATTCTGTCTCTCACTGTTCAAATAAACCTACCATTAAAATTATAGACTGATCATGTCTTTGTCAGTGGGCAAATGTACAAAATCAGCAGGGGATCAAATACTTTTTTCCCTCACTGTATAGGGTTAGGCTAATATTAATGTTAATTTTACACTATTTAATGGTCAACTTAACTCATGCTTCCCCAAGTGAACAATATCTACTGAATATCAGTTTAACATTCAGATTAATGGGTGTCCTTTGAATCAAGTGTTTCAGTTTGTGAAGAGCCCGGCCAATGTAACCTCATCCCTGGGTAAGCCGGTGCAGGTGCTCTGTACTCTCCAGGGAGATGGAGGTGGAGAGGAACCTCCAGATGTGGTGTGGTTAAGGGACGGTCAATCCCTGGATTACGCTGACACCAATCAAGTCCAAGTGCCTGTCACTGAAGGAAGTTGGCTGACCATCAGTGAACTCAGGTCATTCTCAATTATGACTCTCTCTCTTGCTCTCGCTCTCTGTTTACGTCACATAAGTCAGACCAAGAAGGTATCTTTTTTTTTCAGTGATAATAATATGTCTGTCTGTGTGTCCTCAGAATTGATCATGTGGAGCTGTCAGACATTGGGATATACCGTTGCATGGCAACAGTGGGGAGGAAGGACTTGATGTCTCAGGAAGGGCTCATTCAGCTAGAAGGTAGAGTTTCTGTCTGTCTCTTCAATAATCTGACTTTTTATTTTCTACAGTATCTTACTTACAGTTAATCTTTTCCAGGAATCCCTCATTTCTCAGTGGAGCCTCATGACGTGACAGTAGTGGCTAATGTTAGCCTCAGCCTGCAGTGTGTGGCCCATGGGCCTCCAGAACCTGTCAGGATCATCTGGCTGCAGAACGGAGGATCACTCAACACGCTCCAGGACCCGGTGTCCCACTCTCCCTCCGCTCTCAACATCACAGGTAAAGACTTTTGTCTTACTTTTGCATTTAGCTTACAAACAATACATTATACAGGCTTAAAATTGAAACCGCGTTCTGTAACTGTCTATTTGCTTTTCTCTCAGTCTTTCCTCTGACTGACCACCTCCTTGAATCTCTGTTGTTAGGCCTCAACCATACCAGCAGCTTTTCCTGTGAAGCCCACAACAGAAAAGGTGTGGCTACCTCAGCCTCTGGAACAGTGACAGGTCCGTACAAACAGGGCAGGAGGAAATGACTTATGATTATGCTGATTGGTTTGGTCTTATTCATGACTATCCCTCCTGTCTTGGTGTAGTGGTTCCCTCCCAGGCACATAAAGTCCAGGCTGTAGAGGTCACCATCTCTTCGCTGCTGATCTCCTGGGAGCCTGGCTTTGGAGGGGTGTATCCTGTCTCTGTATGCTCTATACAGGCAGCTCCATCAGGTCCTGACCGCACTGCATTGCTTAATCACCTGATCCATAATCAGAATGTAAATGTACCACCTGCTCGACACCTGATCCCAGACCTGGAGCCCTACACCAACTATGATGTGAGGGTGGCTTGCCGTAGCAGTCAAGGTGCTTCCCCCTGGACACCATGGGTAACACTACGCACATCTGAAGGAGGTAAGCTGTTTGCCACAATCCTCTACCCACGAACCATCAGTGTGTGTTTATAACATTCTATTACTGATCATGCATTTTGTTATTTGTATTCATCTACAACTCTTAGTCATTTTAGCAGATGATTTAATCCTAAGTGATTTACAGTACAATAAGTGAATTTAAAGTGCGATACCTATGTAGTAGAGGTCAGTGACTTACAGGGAATACAGGGGGAACAATGAGAGTTGAGTGACTCGCTGTGAAACTAGGCTGGTTATGGGCCAAAGATTATTCTGGGAAAAAAACGTTTTGAATTGGTTAAGGATTCTCAAGTGTTTTTGATAGAACAGACAGAAGAGATACAGGTTTATGGTTTTGAAAAGCAGAGGGGTCAAGCATTTAATTCTAAAGGTTTTTCTGAGAAAGAGCCAGATGGATGGAACCCGACGTTAAATCAAGATTTTCAGTGCTATTCCTCTGAGCTGGCAACAGACAGTCAAGTTTGCCAGTAAGAACACCCTTCTCTCCATCCTCAGTGTTTTAAATATAAACTTCTATATTGAGAAAGTTGCCTGTGTGAAGGAGGAGGTACTGAGGGCAGGAGGAAAACAGATGAAACATTCTCTATTCATGGTTTGGCAGAGGTGGGTCAATCCTGCTGTATCCATATAATGCTGCAGTGTGTTTGAATTATGGCTAGTGGAGAAGCGGTTTTTCCATGCCAACTCATGCTTTCCACAGTCTGCAATGTAGATATGTTTGTGTAAAAGGGAAATAGAAAGAGAGACTTTCAGAGAGAGGAGAAAAAGGGAAACTGACAATTCCACAGTGGTGTAGTGCACATCAACACACCATCAACTGGCCAATAAAGAATTTTCCTCAATAAAAAAATAGTCAGGGAAAATGGCCTGATTCAATCAAATCAGTAACCAGATGTCAGGCTTAAAAGAAAACACCCTTCTTGTGCTGTGTGAATGCATGTTTGGATTCATTTGATTCGATTAGCTAAACGATGTTGACTGTGTGAAGCAAAAATAAGTCATCATCATATTGATTCATTTCAACCATGTTTCTTGTTGCATGCAGTAGATGGCTCATGATTCTTAGTTCTTTGCGTAACCTAACCATTTAGACTCTACTTTGTCACTCCTCTTTATCTGAAAATAACATGCACACATGAGGTAGCACAGACCTTTAAGGTGAGTGTGTGTGTGAACTATATTCCTGACCTCCCCACAAAGTAAAAGTATCTTATCCCGCTCATCTACATCTCTCACCACTGCTCCTTGTGTCAGAGTTAGAGGGGAGTGAGAGGGGCGCGGGCTGAGGGAGAGAGAGAGAGAGAGAGAGAGAGAGAGCCGGGTAGATGGAGGGAGAGGGGAAGGTGCTTGTGTTTTTGTTGGCCGAGGTGGAGCCACATGTGGAAACTATCAACAGTGGAACACTCACTGATGACATCACCAGGCTGGGTCCAGTAAAGGCCCCAGTTGCAGCCCACGCTATGACTCACAACGTGACAGACAAAGATGCCTTTATTTACATTGTTGTCTTAATAAGATAAATATTATGCACAGACCTTTACACACTGGTTTTAACAACATGAGTCTGGTAGTGTATATTACAGATCATTTGGTATGTTGTACACATTATTCCTTTTTTGTGTGTATCTGACAGTGCCAGAGGCAGCACCAGACAATGTGAGTGGACTGTTTAATGGAACAGATGTTATTGTCAACTGGACCAAGCCACCAGGCAGATCGAATGGCCAGATACTGGGGTACAGAGTGGAGTACAGAACCCCTAACATGTCCAAGGTAACCCATGTTACAGTTGTCAAAGTAAACATATGCTGTAGGCATTCTCTCTCTCTCTCTACCCTTTACACACACAGAGTGTAATGGCATCTTTGCTGTTGTTTTGTTTTCCTGTTTCAGGCTGTTATGGAGTCAGTTCAGTCCTCTGAGCTAGCTATCCCGCTCTCCAGCCTCCTGGACAGTGTGTCCCTGAGTGTGAGTGCCTGTACTGTTGCAGGGTGTGGCCCCTGGAGCCCTGTCCAAACCCTCAAACAGAAACAGCCTGGTGAGTCTGGACATAACAGCGGGAGACAACAGGATGGCTGGGATGGGCCAAGGAGAGGAAAAAACCGCAGGGATATTCCAAATGTTCTAGGTTGATTCATTTGGTAGCATATTCTAGTGTCTGTGTAATAGCTGACATACCTCTCTTTCCTGCATTTTAGATTTCTCCCCACATCAGGCATTTTCCTGGCATTGGTGGTATGTGATCATGGGGATTGCTGTCAGTCTGGCCTTGATAGGGTTCATCGTGGTATATGCAATCATATTGCGTCAAAGAGAGACATGCTTTGGGTATGTACCTATGGGTCTCCCTGTATCACTTTGTTCAATTTTTTTGTCATTGCTGTTAGATGATCAATTAAAAACACCTGTGTGTTTGTGTGTGCGCAACAGGAAAACATTTTACCCTATGAGAAACGGTGGTGGGGATTTCGTAGTAAGATACAGCGCCCGACGCACCTACAATCGCCAGTCAAATGAAGCCACATGTGAGTTGTCATGCCAGTGACGTAAGAGAAACAGTGAAGGGTGAGGTGATAGATTAGTTATTAACACAAGTAAATGCCTTGGAACCAAATGATGCGTCATGCAGTGTGAGAGTTCAGGAACAGATGTTGAAGCTCAGATTTCATCTGTTTTCTCAATGTTGTTCTGTGCTAGATGTGGTGGGGCAGAATGGTGTCATGATCTGGCTGTTAACACAATCCTCTGGAGAACACAGAGCAATTCAATTGAGAAAGGAGTTCAAATCTTTGTAGAGTCACTGTTATTATTCTTAGGGGGCAAGGCGCCTAAATATTTTATACATTTCTTTCAATACAAATGAAAAATGTTCTAAATCATAGTTTTGTGATATGTTTGCTGATACAGCATTTTGTTTCACCACACATTGTTCTGGAAAGGCAAACAGGAAGAGAAAACATATACTGTAATTCTAGAGCAGCTTAACAATAATGGAATAATGTTTTTCAAAACAGGATTTCTCAGTTGTGGGGGATGATTCATACTAAAGTTATTTTCCTATATTTAATGTTTTAAGAATCCCTGTTTCTGTGTAAGAGATGGAGTATTAACCCTTTCCACAGTGAACAGCCTGGTGATCAGTGATGAACTGAAGCAGAAGTTGCAGGATGTGATGGTGGACAGACACAAGCTGACCCTGGGCAAGACCCTCGGAGAGGGTGAGCTCGGACTAAAGCCTTTATCATACATTATATAACGTAGTCAGTCATTAACTACTACATCCCAGGCCCTTAAGAGGCTTAGATCCCCAGCTACACCCACCTACCTGACTAACAACATGTCCATGTCTTGCTCTGCAGGGGAGTTTGGCTCTGTCATGGAGGGGCTTCTGGTGCACGAAGAGACTGTCCTCAAAGTGGCTGTGAAGACCATGAAGAGTGAGTGATCAGACAGTATCAGATACCCCCATGTGTGTCTCCCATCGTACAGTATGTGTCAGTTTGATCTCAGCCACCCTCTCCTTCTCCCTCTCATAGTTTCCATCTGTACTCGCACTGAGATGGAGGACTTCCTCAGGGAGGCTGCTTGTATGAAGGAGTTTGACCACCCCAACGTCATGAGACTCCTTGGTGAGAGACTGGGCTGATTTGTTTTGTCACTTATCAATCTACTATTAACATGCAGTCATTTTGTCTCATAAGAGTCTGTTACAAAGTAGATCTGACTAGATGAATTCTGTTATTCCCCGTCCTCCCTGTAGGAGTGTGTCTGCAGACGGTAGAGAGAGGAGGCTACCCGTCCCCTGTGGTCATCCTGCCCTGTATGAAACATGGGGACCTGCACAGTTTCCTGCTTTACTCTCGACTTGGGGACAGTCCTTTGGTCAGTTCCCTCCCACGAAGTTCGGAAAAGTTTTTGCTACACAAATAAAATGTAGCGCCGTGGTCTTTCTCCTTTCATGCATGTTCCATTTGTGCTGCTGTATAGCACCGCCCGTCTGTATCTAATCATCTCCGTCTCCATCCACCAGTCCCTGCCTTCTCAGATGTTGGTGAAGTTCATGACAGACATCGCACGGGGAATGGAATACTTGAGCAACAAGAGGTTCATCCATAGAGACCTGGCAGCGCGAAACTGCATGTGGGGATTCTCACCTCTCTGTTCTGTCAATGTGTCCCCCTCTTTCTCACACATACTCTTCAATATTCTTCTGTGATAGTCTGAGAGAATGATTGTAAAACAAGTTGAGCATGTTGAGTGATACGAGTAACAGTACTGTTTATTATGTTGCTACTATGTTGTCTACATAAACACAGTGTACAAAACATTAAGAACACCTTCCTAATATTGAGTTGCACCCTCTTTTGCCCTCAGAACAGCCTCAATTCGTCGGGGCATGGACTCTACAGGGTTTCGAAAGTGTTCCACAGGGATGCTGGCCCATGTTGACTCCAGTGCTTCCCACAGTTGTGTCAAGTTGGCTGGATGTCCTTTGGGTGTTGGACCATTCTTGATACACACAGGAAACTGTTGAGCGTGAAAAACCCAGCAGCGTTGCAGTTCTTGACACAAACCAGTGCGCCTGCCACCTACTACCATACCCCGTTCAAAGGCACTTAAATATTTTGTCATGCCCGTTCACCCTCTGAATGGCACACATACACAATCCATGTCTCAATTGTCTCGAGGCTTAAAAATCCTTCTTTAACCTGTCTCCTCCCCTTCATCTACACTGATTGAAGTGGATTTAACAGGTGACATCAATAAGGGATCATAGCTTTCACCTGGATTCACCTGTCAGTTTGTCACGGAAAGAGCAGGTGTCCTTAATGTTTTGTACACTCAGTATATATCTGTCCTGCAGGCTGAACGAGAATATGACTGTGTGTGTGGCTGATTTTGGCCTATCTAAGAAGATCTATAATGGAGACTACTATAGACAAGGACGCATTTCAAAGATGCCAGTGAAATGGATCGCCATCGAGAGCCTGGCAGACCGAGTGTACACCACCAAGAGTGATGTGGTGAGCTATCCTTACTTGGTCCAGCTACATTATGTGATCCATGTCTGCTACTGTATTTGGGTTTTAACATCCTGCAGCAGAATTCAAAGCAAAGAGTAAATACAAGTACATTATTTTTGTGACTGTGCTTATTTCCCTCTCTCGAAGTGGTCGTTTGGAGTGACTATGTGGGAGATAGCCACTCGGGGGCAGACGCCCTACCCTGGAGTGGAAAACAGTGAGATCTATGACTACCTTAGACAGGGCAACCGCCTCAAACAGCCCCCTGGCTGCCTGGACACCATGTGAGTGCCTATTTCTGGATCAGAACACATGAATCATTGAGTAGTTTGAATTGTATTACTTATCATTATTTAGTGGTATATAGTAGAGGCAACCAATGTACCTTTCCTGGAGTATCTGGATTTTTGGGAATTTTGTTGTATGAGCCTCTCCTCTATATTGTAGCTACTCCCTGATGTTCTCCTGCTGGCTACTGAGTCCTAAGGACCGCCCGGGGTTCCCCTCTCTGCGCTGTGACCTGGAGAAAGCCCTGGAGGAGATGCCCGAGCAGGAGGAGGCAGATGACCTACTCTACGTCAACATGGAGGAGCCCTCAGGCTCTCTGCTGGGGGCTGTGGGGGGCTGGGAGCCCTTTGGAGTGCCTCGCCCATCCTACCGGAAGAACCTAGACCCTCTAGAAACCATCCAGGTGCATCATCATAATCATCATGATCATGCTGAACGCTATGTACTCTGCCCTCAGCACGAGGCCCAGCCCTATCTCAATGACTCTATTGACAGCCTGAGCTGGATGGCCTCCTCGTCGAGCCCCACTCTGCAGCTCCAGGCCTCCTGCTCCTCCTCCCCCACCTCCTCTCTCCTGCTGGACGGACAGGACAACAGGGAAGGAGGATGGGACCGGAGGGTCTTTAGGCAGTGAGGTTAAAAGAAGGCACATAGAAGAAATACTGAAAAAGTAGACAAATTCACTACAATACTGTAGTGTAGTCAAATTAACAAGATCTAAACAAATAATTGATTTGTTGTGTTACGGACGGTTCAACAGTTGTGTACATATACACTGTAGTCAATTGTCACTAATGTGCAGCCACCAATCACATGCTACATAAATATTTATCTTCCCAATATTAAGAAACCAAATCAACTAATCCATTGGCACTGACTGTGTAATAAATTGGTATAATCCTTTACTGAAAGAAAAGTTCAGCATACTGTAAGTGCATCAATGCCTTTATTTAATAAATCAATGAACAAACCCATTAATAAACCAGTATTTTTTGTTTTAAGAAAACAAAGTAGCGAGTTCCCTCAAACTAAACAATGTACTGGATGCATTCATGGTGTTCACAGACTAGTCAGCCTCAAATTACATTCAATAAATTAAAAACAAATAAATACACAAACCCTAGTTACTACCTTAACAACACAGTAACCCTTATCAGTTCTGTTGAGAGAAATAGTAATAATTAAACAGATAAAAATAATATTTCAGGAAAAGCAGCAGTCGAAGAGCATTTAAAGCCAATACTGTACTCTGAATACATTCAATGTATGGGTAGTGGTTGTAGAGCTGTTCCAGTGGGCTGGTAAAATATGATCTAAGAGACTGTTGTGTCATCAGTGTAAATGGCTTTAAAGGATAAAGTACCATCAACTATACTCCAGTTGTGTTTCCAATAGATCTGGTACCGGTATCTCTTGCTTTAAGAGTAGGAGGAGATAGCTGGGAATCAAAGTACTATACCAATAACGACAGTTTTGGTACAGTATCAATAGTTGCTGCTGTCGCATGCAACTATTAAAGTTTGTTCCAATAATAGAGGGGACTGAAGTTTTACTAAATTAACATATGCATATGCACTTCATTATTGTGAATATTTGTGTGTTGGCAAAACAGAGTATTTTTCCACATTCATTTCCACAATGACATTTCAAGAATTACTTTCACTGAATGTTTCACCCTGACATTGCTACAAACACTTGTAAATGCAGTTTAGTTTGCATGTGTTTGAGCTATTGGAAGGAGAGGGTAAAGAGCCCTCTATTGGTCTTGCACTGTAAATGTGCCTTCACCCTGGCCCAACTCACTTCCATACAGGATAGTACAGCTATTTCAGTATGGTTTACTTAAGCAATAAGGCCCGAGGGGGTGTGGTATATGACCAATATACCATGGCTAAGGGCTGTTCTTATGCACGACGCAACGCGAAGTGCCTGGATACAGCCTTTAGCCGTGGTATATTGGCCATATACCACAAACCCCCAAGGTGCCTTATTGCTATTATAAACTGGTTACAAACGTAATTAGAGCAGTAAAAATAAATGTTTTGTCATACACGTGGTATACGGTGTAATATACCACGGCTGTCAGCCAATCAGCATTCAGGGCTCGAACCACCCAGTTTATAATATGTTATTAATCCTATTAATTGTAGTAGTATGGCTATGCAAGCTGATCCTCATATTGCTTCCTGAAACAGTCCCCAGCAGGGAAGAAGTCCCACGCTCGCTCCTGGTACATCTTCCACACATACGACTCCTGGAACAGAGGAGAGGAGGAACCAGGGCAGAAGGAGAAAAGACGAGACAGCCAATTGAAATGAATGGCTACTAAATGTGAGGCATTTGGTGCCACAAACAGAAAGACTGACAGACTCACCTGGCCAGTATGCTCCGTCTCATCTTTGTTGATGAGGTACATTAAGAAGAACCTGCAGAGGACAGACAGACAGGCAGGTCAGTGTGATGGCAGCTGGTCATGGACACACACTGATGACTGATTACAGGGAGAACACCCACATGTAGTTGGCCAAGTTGTGTTCCTCTAGGGTGTGGGTCTCGAAGCCATGCGGCGTCGTATCAAAGTAGTCGCTTCCAATTCCACAGATGAAGCACTTGGTCTACAAGAATCAAATAAACAGAAACAGTAGGCAAGATGGTGGTATGTGCATAACTATCTGACTGACTTAAACTCACCTAAAACTGATGAATGCCAAAGATACAATAAATAAATAAATATATGTACCTCCATGTCTTCCTTAACCTGCTCCTGTTGGTCTCGGAGCTCTCCGAAGGCGTCAATGATCAGACCTGTAGGTAACACACAAACTCACAGCCATCACTTCCCTTACAGTAGAATGGAAATATAACTAGATAGCTAGTCATAATTGTTTTAATTATGACTAGATATCTGAAATTGCCCTTGCTTGAGGTACTGTATAGTGGTGGGTAGTGTTTTGGAATGCATAAGAGGGACGGTGCTGTACCCTGGATGATGGCCAACAGGATGACAATGACAAAGAAGAAGAAGGTGATGTCAAAGACGACCCGGTAGAGTTCGTACACGTCTCCCGCCGGGTCCTCGATCTCATCCCCTATGCCACCGCCAGCACGCACGCCCACGTACATGTGGAAGAGGTAGCACTGACAAAAATGGAGGGAAGCAAGCACATCGAATATAGTGAAGTAGTATGTAGACTCACACATACTGTACGACTGTAGAGCATTGAGCTGGCCAGAGACAGAAAACATAACACCGACTCACAGTCATCATGTCATCACATTTCATGTCCGGCTCATCCTCATCTTCACTCTTGTTGTAAAACTTGCGGAAGAAGATAAAGGCCACTACAGTGTAGAGATACACCACCACTGCCAACAAGCCCAATGTCATCATGAGCTAGGAGGGAAACAGGGAATGAGTAGAATCAGCAGCACATTCACTACACATTTTACATGACATTTTAGTCATTTAGCAGATGCTCTTATCCAGAGCGATTTACAGGAGCAATTAGGATTAAGTACCTTGCTCAAGGGCACATCGACAGATTTTTCACCTAGTCGGCTTGGGGATTAGAACCAGCGACCTTTCGGTTACTGGGACAACGCTCTTAACCACTAAGCTACCTGCCGCCCCATGGAGGCTGGAAGAGTGTTACTGGACAGGTCCTACCTGTTTCCCATTGTGGGTGACGGAGGACAGGATAGTACGCAGATCCTTCACACCGATGGCTATGTCCAGCAAGTGACAGGCATAGAAGAAGTTGTTGTAATGTCCAAGCAAGGACATGATTGTGTACCAACACAGATAGAGAAAAGTCTGGGGGAAAAGATTGAAATAATATTAAGTTTGTCTTCAACCTACAGTATGAAAACTAACATTATTATAACCAATACATCTATAGCACAAATATAGAAAATACTATTAATCTATAATCCCTCTTACCCCATCTGTGAACACAACTCCAAATTTCCAGATCTGGTACTTAAAGTCAATAGATGTACACCTGAAAAATATATGATTTTACTTCAATAACAAAATGTTCTAATATTCATGTAGGGTTAACAATATACTGTTAATTTAAGTGGCCATGAAAAGCTCCCCTATTCGATTGGAGAAGTGTTTGTATAACAGCATTGGTTAATACCAGGCCAATGTGGAATTGTCTGGTTCCTCCTGCTTCTTATCAGTTTGTTGACTGACATCCAGTGAGGCTAAATCCATGCCAAGGAGCTCTGCGATCCTCTCTCTGCCGTAAATGTCTCCATACTTTTCCAGGACCTGGGTACACAGACATACCATGGACCATTCCATCCAGAGACCAACTCAACCAACTTCATACAGTGCCTTGCAAAAGTAGTAATCCCCATTGGCGTTTTTCCTATTTTGTTGCATTACAACCTGTAATTTAAATTGATTTTTATTTGGATTTCATGTAATAGACATACACAAAATAGTCCAAATTGGTGTAGTGAAATGAAAAAAATAACTTGTTATAACGGAAAGGTGGTGCGTGCATATGCATTCACCCCCTTTGCTATGAAGCCCCTAAATAAGATCTGGTGCAACCAATTACCTTTAGAAGTCATATAATTAGTTAAATAAAGTCCACCTGTGTGCAATCTGTGTCACATGATCTCAGTATATATACACCTGTTCTGAAAGGCCCCAGAGTCTGCAACACCACTAAGCAAGGGGCACCACCAAGCAAGCGGCACCATGAAGACCAAGGAGCTCTCCAAACAGGTCAGGGACAAAGTTGTGGAGAAGTACAGATCAGGGTTGGGTTATAAAAAAATATCCGAAACTTTGAACATCCCACGGAGCACCATTAAATCCATTATTAAAAAATGGAAATAATATGGCACCACAACAAACCTGCCAAGAGAGGGCCACCCACCAAAACTCACGGACCAGGCAAGGAGGGCATTAATCAGAGAGGCAACAAAGAGACCAAAGATAACCCTGAAGGAGCTCACAGCAGAGATTGGTGTATCTGTCCATAGGACCACTTTAAGCCGTACACTCCACAGAGCTGGGCTTTACGGAAGAGTGGCCAGAAAAAAGCCATTGCTTAAAGAAAGAAATAAGCAAACACGTTTGGTGTTCGCCAAAAGGCATGTGGGAGACTCCCCAAACATATGGAAGAAGGTACTCTGGTCAGATGAGACTAAAATTGAGCTTTTTGGCCATCAAGGAAAACACTATGTCTTGCGCAAACCCAACACCTCTCATCACCCCGAGAACACCATGTTTTTCATCGGCAGGGACTGGGAAACTGGTCAGAATTGAAGGAATGATAGATGCCGCTAAATACAGGGAAATTATTGAGGGAAACCTGTTTCAGTCTTCCAGAGATTTGAGACTGGAACGGAGGTTCACCTTCCAGCAGGACAATGACCCTAAGCATACTGCTAAAGCAACACTTGAATGGTTTAAGGGGAAATATTTAAATGTCTTAAAATGGCCTAGTCAAAGCCCAGACCTCAATCCAATTGAGAATCTGTGGTATGACGTAAAGATTGCTGTACACCAGCGGAACCCATCCAACTCGAAGGAGCTGGAGCAGTTTCGCCTTGAAGAATGGGCAAAAATCCCAGTGGCTAGATGTGCCAAACTTATAGAGACATACCCCAAGAGACTTGCAGCTGTAATTGCTGCAAACGGTGTCTCTACAAAGTATTGACTTTGGGGAGGGTGAATAGTTATGCACGCTCAAGTTTTCAGTTTTTTTGTCTTATTTCTTGTTTGTTTCACAAAACAAAATATTTTGCATCTTCAAAGTGGTAGGCATGTTGTGTAAATCAAATGATACAAACCTATTTTAATTCCAGGTTGTAAGGCAACAAAATAGGAAAAATGCCAAGGGGGGGTGAATACTTTCGCAAGCCACTGTACATACATAGCCTCCAAAACCCAAAAGTAGCTTACCTTTCGCTTAACAAACTTGTCCCAGTAGTTGTTTGGAAAAGAACTGTGAATAAACAATTGGAAAGATGTGCATCATTTAAGCTGTAATTCCTCAAGTTTTCTGAAAGGATATAATATTAGTGGTATAGGTAGACTTCTAGGAGCTTGCTTACGGTGTGTTGAGGACCAGTCTGTCCCATTGGCCTTTGATGTCATCATCCTCAGGCTGCTCTGTGATGTAAAGACCATCAAACTCCAGCTTCCTGGCCAGCTCCTTCTCTCTCTTAAAGATCACCAGAGGGATCTGAGAGGAACACACATTCTCTGTTGTAATTGAGATGTTTATGTCATGATACAGATCACTCGTGTTCTTGATGAAAAAATCCCACTAACTGTTATGGGGCACAGATACACTTGAGGTTTGTTGTTGTTGTAGTATGTAGTATGTATGTATTAGTAGTAGTATGTAGTAGTATGAATTAGTAGTATGTAGTATTTACTATTGCATGAACCTCACCTTTAGACAGTTGTAGCCGATGATGCAGAGGAAGGCGATGACTGTGTGCAGGGCGGCCAGAAAAGTGAGGGTGGGCTGCATGTAGCCAGTGCTCTCCTCCAAGAAGAAGTAGACTGGGCCCTCCTCCTCCTCCTCGTCTCCTCCTTCCTCCCCACCAGATCCCTCCATCTCTTCTGCCGAGCCCTCAAACAGCCCACTGCCCTCAAACAGCGCCCCCACCCCCGAGCCCTCAAACATGCCAGAGCCCTCCACCTCATCACCTTCTCCAGGGGGGCTGTCCGACACCTGCACAATGGACACAGGCAGAGACACAACAACACAGATACATGTGAACATTTAACACTTGATGTGTTATGCAGGGTTGAGGTCAATTCCAAATGAAGGCAGTCAATTCAGGAAGTGATTTGAATTTAAAGTTCTAAAACCGGTTATATGTAATGTTTAGGTCAGAACACTGTACAACCACATGTCACTTCCCACCTGGAGATGGTATTACACATAAAACAAATCAAATGATGGTCAGATACACTACATGAACAAACAGTATGTGGACACCTGTTCGTCTCATTCCAAAATCATTACATTCACATTTAATAATATAATAATATAATATGCCATTTAGCAGACGCTTTTATCCAAAGCGACTTACAGTCATGCGTGCATACATTTTTTTTTTTTTTTTTGTGTATGGGTGGTCCCGGGGATCGAACCCACTACCTTGGCGTTACAAGCGCAGATGCTCTTACCCAGAGCGACTTACAAATTGGTGCATTCAACTTAGGATAGCCAGTGGGATATCCTAGCCATTAATATGTGTTGGTCCCCCTTTTACTGCTATAACAGCCTCCACTCTTCTGGGAAGGCTTTCCACTAGATGTTGGAATATTGCTGTGGCTGGGGACTTGCTTCCATTCAGCCACAAGAGCATTAGTGAGGTCGGGCACTGATGTTGGGCGTTTAGGCCTGGCTCGCAGTCGGATTTCCAATTCATCCCAAAGGTGTTAGATGGGGTTGAGGTCAGGGCTCTGTGCAAGCCAGTCAAGTTCTTCCACACCGATCTCGACAAACCATTTATGTATGGACCTCGCTTTGTGCATGGTGTCATTGTCATGCTGAAACAGGAAAGGGCCTTCTCCAAACTGTTGCCACAAAGTTGGAAGCACAGAATCGTCTAGAATGTCATTGTATGCTGTAGGGTTAAGATTTCCCTTCACTGGAACTAAGGGGCCTAGCCTGAACCATGAAAAACAGCCCCAGACCATTATTCCTCCTCCACCAAACTTTACAGTTGGCACTATGCAGTCGGGCAGGAAGCGTTCTCCTGGCATCCGCCAAACCCAGATTCGTCTAGTGGACTACCAGATGGTGAAGCGTGATTCATCACTCCATGGAACACATTTCCAGGAGTGAGCTTTACACCACTCCAGCCGACGCTTGGCATTGCGCATGGTGATCTTAGGCTTGTGTGCGGCTGCTCGGCCATGGAAACCCATTTCATGAAGCTCCCGACGAACAGTTCTTGTGCTGACGTTGCTTCCAGAGGCAGTTTGGAAATCGTTAGTGAGAGTCGCAACTGAGGAGGACAGATTTTTACGCGCTACGCACTTCAGCACTCGGTGGTCCCGTTGTGAGCTTGTGTGGCCTACCACGTTTCCACGTCACAATAACAGCACTTACAGTTGACCGGGGCAGCTCTAGCAGGGCAGAAATTTTACGAACTGACTTGTTGGAAGGTGGCATCCAATGGCGGCGCCACGTTGAAAGTCACTGAGCTCTTCAGTAAGGCCATTCTACTGCTGATGTTTGTCTATGGAGATTGCATTGCTGTGTGCTTGATTTTGTACACCTGTCAGCAACGGGTGTGGCTGAAATAGCCGAATCCACTAATTTGAAGGGGTGTCAACATACTTTTGTATATATAGTGTATTTCAAGTAACAGTCATTTTTATATATAATGTAAGCATTTGTTCACCTTGTAGAAGAGTAGTATGAAGTTTAGAGCAAATGCAATGAACAGTGCCAGAAAACGCAGATTGTAAAAGTTCCGAGAGAGGTAGTTCTGGGAAAGAAAGAGACAAAATAAGTCGTATTAATCCAGGTGGACAGAGGAACTGACAGTATCCAAATTGCCACATCAGCAAAAACTATTAGAGGAAAGCAATTATTTAACTGCCATATCTAACCAAGAATTTGTTTCTTTGGATGTCCAGCTCAGTCCAGAGTTGGAACCCTTGCTCCCTGTGTTGTTTCTTATCTTTCTTAGCCTTGGTCTTCTTTTCCTTCGGTTCCTCCTGCTTCTCCTCCTCTTTGGTCTCAGCTTCTTTCTCGGCCTTCTCTCCGTTTTCAGTGCTGAAAATTAAGTAATAGGATGTTTGGTTTTTAGCACGTTCCAACAAACACCACAACATTAACGCGTGTACAGTATGGTTCATACAGGGGGATGAGAGAGTGTAGGGGAGGCAAGACAGGTAGGAAGATGGCCTGATGTACTCACTCTGCCTTCTCAGGCTCTGGAGGGGGCTCCTCTAAGGCAGGAGCAGGAGCAGGCTCAGCAGCTTGGCCATCAGCAGCTTGGCCATCAGCAGCTGCAGCAGCACCCTCCTCTGGTTGCTGCCAACCACAAGAAAAGGTCATTAGTATAAGTGAATGTAGACATACTTTACTGGAAAGCTCACCATGCACTTTTTAGTCTCTGCATTAAAAAGGAAAGGTGCCTCACTTGTTTCCTCCTGGTCAAAGGAGTACCCTCGGGAGTAGGAGGCTCAACAGTGGCCTCAATTCCCATGTCACCAAGTCCTCCTGGAGCATCGATGCGTGGTGGCCCCCCACCTTCCTTGTCTTGGTTGTCCTCCTGCTCCTCCTCTCCACCGCCTGTGTCCATTTGGTCAGTCACCCCTCCTGCCTCCTGCTCCTCCCCAGCCCCAGGCTCCCCTGGCAGGTCCCCATGCACCTCGTCCTGGGTGGGGTCGGGCATACTGGCCAAGATCTCTGTCACTGTGATGTTCTTGGCTCCCTCCACCAGGCCTCCTCCAAATAGAGTTTGCCAAATGAGCATGAAGAAGCCCTTACATACACTGTAGATGAAGTGCAGGATGCCAATGAGGATAGTCCAGAAGAAGGTGGCCAGACCTACCACTATCTGCTTGATAGTCATCTTCCTCACCCTGCGGTACTGCCTGCGCAGGTTACGGAAGGTGAAGATACTCAGGAAGTTCAATAAGCTGTTGATGAAGTCTGCAAAGGCAGAGCTGGACTCTGGCTCTCCTTCCTCTCCATTGCCCTCTTCATCTCCCCCTCCTCCTGCTGCCTCAGCTCCTCCTTCAGCCGGCTCATCATCATCATCCTCCTCCTTCTCCTCATCCTGCTCTGAGATCTGGGAGGCGATGTTCATCTCAAAGATGGTGTCCTCGCAGAAGTTGACAAACATCTCCATCTTCTCAGACTCGCCCCCCTCATTGACAACATCAAAGATGAACTGTCGTTTAGACTCTCTGACCTGAGGCATCTCCCACTGTGTGCGGTTGACCTCACTGATCTCAAAGTAAATACGTTCTATCTTCCTGCTGGCACCCATGATCTCTATACGTCCCAGGAAGGGGCGGAAGTAGTTGAGTACACTCTCTGCCTGCTCTAGGAAGTTCTTCAGCCTGAGGTCATGAGGCACATGTTCAGACAGGTTGGTCAGCAATACTGCAATGTTAAAGCCAATGTCTTTAGCTGGCTCCTGGAACCGGTCGGCAAACTCCTCAAAGTTGATCATGTCATTCTCATCGGCCTCTGAGCAGGACAAAAGGAATTGGATCTCAGAGGGAGAGTACTGTTTCTGGCTGTCCATTGCCTTCTGAAAGTCCTTCTTAGAGATCAACCCTCGGGGGTCGGTCACGTAATCACGGAAGGCGTCTGACGCCACAATGTCCTTCAGTTTGAGGAACATGTCAAAGAATTTGAGGATCATCTCCACGTTGCTGGAGGACTCCACCAGCATGTCCACCATCTGACGGGCAATGGTGCCATTCACAACATTACCTGAAACATGGCATAAAATGGAAGCAAATAATGAAGGAGGTGAGAGAAATGAAAGAGAAAAGGCAGAAACAGCAGAAAGATTGTCATGAAAATGTATTTTTACCCTCCAGTAGAGAGAGTAGCATAACCACCATGTCTTTCTGGAGGTCCAGTAGCTCCTTCAGCAGGTCAATCTGGCTGGAGTCCTACGAGCACAAACACATACAGTGCCTTCAGAAAGTATTCACACCCCTTGACTTTTTTTGTTGCGTTACAAAGTGGGATTAAAATGGATTTAATTGTCAAGTTCAACACTAATATATCTTGATTAGATAAGTATTTAACCCCCTGGGTCAATACATGTTAGAATCACCTTTGGCAGCGATTAAAGCTGTGAGTCTTTCTGGGTAAGTCTCTAAAAGCTTTCCACACCTGGATTGTACACTATTTGCCTATTATTATTTTAAGAATTCTTCAAGCTCTGTCAAATTGGTTGTTGATCATTGCTAGACAACCATTTTCAGGTCTTGCCATAGTTTTTCCGAAACAGAATTAAGTCAAAACTAACTCGGCCACTCAGGAACATTCACTGTCTTCTTGGTAAGCAACTGCAGTGTAGATTTGGCCTTGTGTTTTGGTTATTGTCCTGCTGAAAGGTGAATTCATCTCCCAGTATCTGGTGGAAAGCAGACCAAACCAGGTTTTCCTCTAGGATTTTATAATATAATATAATATGCCATTTACCAGACGCTTTTATCCAAAGCGACTGACAGTCATGCATGCATCCATTTATTTTTAGGTATTGGTGGTCCCGGGGATCGAACCCACTACTATGGCGTTACAAGCGCCATGTTCTACCAATTGAGCTACAGAGGACCACACATTTTGCCTGTGCTTAGCTCCATTCCGTTTATTTTTTATCCTGAAAGACTCAGTCCTTAACAATTGCAAGCATACCCATAACATGATGCAGCTACCACGATGCTTGAAAATATGGCGAGTGGTACTCAGATTTGTCCCAAACATAACACTTTGTTTTCAGGACAAAAAGTTAATTGCTTTGCCACATTTTTTGCAGAATTACTTTAGTGCCTTGTTGCAAACAGGATGCATGTTTTAGAGTATTTTTGTTCTGTAACTGCTTCCTTCTTTTCACTCTGTCAATTAGGTTAGTATTGTGGAGTAACTACAATATTGTTTATCCGTCCTCAGTTTTCTCCTATCACAGCCATTAAACTCTGTAACTGTTTTAAAGTCACCATTGGCCTCATGATGAAATCCCATGTTTTTTTGTTTGTATTATCTTTTACCAGATCTAATGTGTTATATTCTCCTACATTAATTTCACATTTCCACAAACTTCTAAGTGTTTCCTTTCAAATGGTATCAGGAATATGCATATCTTTGCTTCAGGTCCTGAGCTACAGGCAGTTAGATTTGGGTATGTCATTTTAGACGAAAATTGAAAAAAAGGGTCCGATCCTTAAGAGGTTAAGCACATTTTTACTCCTGAACTTATTTAGGCTTGCCATAACAAAGGGGTTGAATACTGACTGAAGACATTTCAGCTTTTCATTATTTATGCTGAAAAACATAATTCCAGTTTGACATTATGGGATATTGTGTGTAGGCCAGTGACAATAACTCTCAATTGAATCCATTTTAAATTCAGGCTGTAACACAACAACATGTGTAAAAAGTAAAGGGGTGTAAATACTTTCTAAAGGCACTGCACAGAACACTTCACAACAATTACATTTAGTGTTACAACTGTGCATTTCAGGCCTGTAGACTTATAATGATAGTGAAGATAATTCTTATGCCAATGGAATCTCACATTGCTAGAGAATCTAGAAGTATTCATGCAGTATGACAGTAATGGGATGGCCTGAACCCATATGGTTTGGATTTCAGTGTAAACACCTTTCATTAATGAGTATTCAATGAGTTCACCAGCACAATGAGTCTCCAAATCTATATGAATCTGCTGATAAAATGTCCTTTGCCACTGACTATGTGCTCTACCACTCCTAAGAGCCATCCTGTATCTTCTTTGATAAATTCACCCACAGTGGTTAAATAACTTATCCTGTACGTCATCTGAGGTCTGCTCTGTATATACAGATCACTGCCAAAATAAAGGAAACACTTGACTAAATGAGGGATACAAAGTATATTGAAAGCAGGTGCTTCCACACAGGTGTGGTTCCTGAGTTAATTAAACAATTAAAACATCCCATCATGCTTAGGGTCCTGTATAAAAATGCCCAGTTGCCCATTATTTTGGCTACAATGGGTAGAAGAGATCTCAGTGACTTTGAAAGCGGGGTCTCACAGGAGCATAGGGGGTTTAAAGTGTGTGTCTGTGTGTGTCTCAGTCACCAGATCTCAACCCAATTGAACACTTATGGGAGATTCTGGAGCGGCGCCTGAGACAGCATTTTCCACCACCATCAACACCAAATGGTGGAATTTATCATGGAAGAATGGTGTCGCATCGCTCTAATAGAGTTCCAGAAACGTATGCGAAGGCGCATTGAAGCTGTTCTTGCGGCCAACGGCCTTTAAGACACTATGCTGGTGTTCCCTTTATTTTGGCAGTTACCTGTATGTACTCTAAGAAATAGATGATGAACTGGTACAAAACTGCCATTCGAGTAAATGCTTATGTCTCCATGGTAAGACAGAAGGAGCTGAAGGTTAAAAGGATAACACCTTACCCTTAAGATGATCCTTTGCTTGCATTTTATTGAGATACACATTTAAAATATTTCATTGTAAACAATTAACAAATCAGGGATTTTGTTTTACCACACACATCAACTTACATTTTACATGTATGCAACTTACAATTCAAGAGAACCTGTATGTTCACTTGGTTTTTGGCCAACAACATTAGTTTAAATTATTAAAAATGAAAAATAATATTCATTTTACACAGAAAGACTGGAGAGTAGCATGCATCTCCAACGTTATGCTGGAGCAATGTTAGAATTAGTGAGAAAGCATCATGTCAGAAGTGAACAGCATACAGCCAACCATACATTACTGTGTATAATGAGTGCACACGGAGTGGCAGATTAATACAGTGTAGGCTCCATCAGGGATTGTTAAAGGGCTGTCCCTTTTTTCAGTTAGCTTTACATTCACCTGCTTTTAAGAATTTCACGTTACTATCCCTAACGCAGACCATTAAAGGGGCAATCGGCAGTTGCTACATCCATTTTTGGACTTAAATTAAATTAATAAATTAAGGATATGTACCCATTGATTCTTGAAGAATATCACTTATAAATGCCTCATGAGCTTAGTTCAACTGTCGTACCCTATCAGAACCCAAAATATAAGCTTGTTTTACGCCAATGTTTGTAAACAAAGTACATGTAAACAAAAACATGGTTAAAACTGTCATTTTGATATAACGTATGGTCAGTCCTTGCATCTATAGCTCTGTCTATGAATTTGAGAGGGGTTACATTTCTCCAGCCCCATCCCTCAGCTTTTTACCGAAACGGGGCGTGGGAAAACGCTTTGTTATTGATTCTACTGCTGATTGCCACTTTAAAGAAGTTGAGTAAAGTCTGGAATGAGAATCCAATATACAGCAGGTAGGTTAGTAATGGAATTTTATAAAGCACTTGACGTTAACCAAATAAAACAATGTGGACCTCTGCCTTTCATTGTTGCAGTAGGTTGTTTTCAGTTGTTTTAATTGTTTTGGATGTTGACATACAATATTGCATGACAAAAAATAAGTACTTTTCTAGTTCTTATTCCAGCTTTAAAAGGCAGGTGAGTATAAAACAAACCGAAAAAAAGGAAACCAGGGATGAATCAGGACAAAACTGGTAAAAACTCAATCACGTCAATAATAGATAAATAAAATGAATACATACTTTACCCTGCATAGACCATGTGAAAGACAGTTTACATAATCAATATCTCCTAAGATTTGTAAGCAGAGTAAAAACGTAAAGACAGTGCTACATTTCAAAATACTTTGTCCACGTGGTTTTTACTGTTAAACTTTTATCAAGGTGTTACGTACTAACATTACAACACTAATATATGTAATTATAAGTACTGTACATATCATTTATCAATCTACTAACTATTTACTCGTAAGTAACTAACATACTTACAGTATGATACAAATATGCCGTTAATTTCTTCAATTACCACTGTTCAATAGTGTGCCATAGTCATGTATTTGGTGTGTCTGCAAGCCAGTGCATTTGTGTGAATGTCAGTTAGAAAGACAGTGTGAGGAGATATCTGTGAGGGGGGTTGCTTTATGCATGGGAGTAAGAGCGGACGCTTTCATCACAATACGATTTAGTTCACCATTCCAGATTCAGTTTCTACAAACTACTTCTACCGTAATTATATATTTTTTTTTAGAAATTACAGACTTATCAGTCAAACAATGCAACAAAAGTGTTCAAGTTGTTGGCTTGAAAAGTGTTTGTTAAATGCAAAGTTGGCAGTCAAGTGTAAGTTCATAGCAAATTCTCACCCCTGCAATGGTAACACGGATCACTTAGATCGTGAAACCACAATGCTCTATTATAAAGTGCAGTTGCAAGTTGATACTGTATTTTGTGCACAGCAAGCAGTGTATACTAGCTACAACACATACAGATTTGTATGTTTACATATCAGATACGTGTGTGATATACAAGTTGTCATTTCCTCATGCACAACCAATCAATGTTTGCTTAAGGTAGATCATTTGTGGTTTCTAAATGCTGCTCGCTGTGTTTTGTATGGTGAGAGATGTGTATGTGTTGAGGCAGGTAGCTTGTACCTGTGCCAGCTTCATCATCATGTGGGCAAAGACGTGAAGGAAGCCCACCACTGCATCCCACAGCCTGCTATGGGTCAGGGACTGCTGGTTGCCTGTACACGGACCCTGAGGGAGAACACCAGGTACGGTCACACACATACCATACCCAGTAACATCCAGTCATCTACATACTGTACAGATTCATGGGTTTATACTCACCTGGATGTACTCAGTCAGACTGTTGAAGATCTGTTTAGCCACTGTCATGGCCTTGGAGAAGTTCTTCTTGCCTGGCTCATCAATGATATCTTTCCCAGAATAATACCAGTAGAAATCACTGATTGACTCCTAGATAGATTTGATAGAGAGATAGAGAGAGAGATAGAGAGATAGAGAGATAGAGAGATAGAAGAGAGGAGAAAGAGAGAAGAGAGAGCGAGAGAGAAATACGTGCATGGTGAAAGGGATAACAGGACACCTCTTTAACAGGTATGTGTTTATAGTCAGAGTGCCAGTACCTGCAGTCGGAGTAGGTAATCCACAGTGCAGATGATGATGTTGATAGTGGTGGTGCTGCCTGTCTGTGTCCGCAAGTAGTTCTGGAAATCTGAGACAAAACATACAGTAAGAGTCCACTCAAAGACCGCCAACTTTTGATTAGCATTACAGCATCGTTATTCAAGTCACGATTCAATGATAAATCTGTCATTCCCTAAATAGAACACCATTGGCATAATTCCTCTCACCGTTATTGTGGCCCTCACAGAGCAGCTGCAACATGCGGAACAGATCACAGGTAAACTCATCATCCGACATGACTTTCTCACCTGGAGGGGGCGAGACAAAGGGAGAGAGCATCACACTAGTTCTAGGAGTACTGGACATCTTTAAGAGTAGGGGGGTTCAGTCAGGCTACCTCTATCTGTGTGCAGCGTAGGCTGGAGGCTAACTAGAGAATTTGAGCCATTCATCAGAGTGTTAGCCTGTGTGTGCCATGGTCAGCAGCAATAAGGTGAGTGTGATGAGCATTGCACAGCTCTCCATCACGTCTGCGTAATCGTATTAGTAAGAGCTGCAATAACCTCCTTACAGACTGTCCATCTTTCTGATCACCTTGGCAACATAGATGAACAACAGTTTTAGTTGATACTGGGTTGTTTACTGTAAATACAAAATAGAAAACCTCTTGCTGAATCATAGCCAATAGGTTGGCATGTACTGTAAAAGCACATTCACAGCAGCAAGCTATGATAAAAAACCTCTGCACTTTTAGACACACAATCAAACACCATTATGTCACATACACAAACCGTTGTCCATAAACACTGAAAACACAGTATACTACATACACAGTATACACACATAAAAGTACATGGTCACATCAACATGTATAGATACAATGGACATCACGGTATACAGACATACAACGTATGGAGAAGTTCACTCCCTCAGTTCCTTAAGTCAGTGCATGCAGACACACAGTCATGCATCACAGACCTACTGCACTCCTAACTCCACTGAGCGTAGGTTAGGGCCAGAGTTTGGAGTTCTGTCCAACCAAGGTAAATAGGAGGAGGGTTGATGTCATTGTGGGGGGGATTACAGTGTAAGTCATGTGATGGTTCACAGAGTTGGGTGGGGCAGACACAAAGGGCTTATAGGGGATCATGGCCAGGGACCAGGGTTAGCGAGGATGAATTTGAGAGATCGATGGATTCAGATATTGATTCCGTGCTTCGGAGTTTCAGTAGATCTGTGGTTAGACACTCAAGGGGAAAGAATGCTTTTCAGTCATTGTCTGTTGCTAGTGCACATTACTCTTTGAGAGTTGAATAAGTTTGCTATGTATACATAGAAATGTATTTACCTGAAGAATAAAATGGCATTGGCATTACTTGACATGACTGAAAAGTTATTTCATAAACTCCTTGAGTGTGAAATTGAATAGAGGTGGGCTCCACAACACGAGATAATTAAAAAGAGAGAAAGAAGATGAAGGTGACAGGGAGAGCAAGAGAAAAGAGAGAAAAAAAGAGAGACAGAGGTATCATTTACCCCGTTCTGACTTCATGTCTGAGGACCAGCAAAGGAGGGAATGGGAGAGGGGAGGGAGAGACGCAATGATGGCAAGGTAGGGAAAGAGAGGGCCAGTGAGTTGACAGACAACAGTAGAATACTTAGGAGTTGGGAGGGGTGGTTAACAACATTCTACTGTCAATAATTCTAAAATTAGTTTACAAGAATATTACACTTACAAAATATTCTACAAATAAACAGAGTGTAAACAACACAAAATATTAGCGAGTCAAAATACAGTACTAGACAGACACTCTGTAAATTCAAATCACCATCTGACAAAATTACACAGTTAGATCAAAACATTTAATCATTCAATCATTATTGGACAGCAGAGTTTATGGATGTTACTACAACTGAACATTCATAAGATGGAGGAATGAAGTGGAGGAACTATCCCTCAGTGACCATAGGTCCCTGATACTGAACGTGTGTGTGATTGCCTGGACAGGACATGGATGCAAAGGTGGTGCAAGGTGGGGCAAAGGTGGTGTACCAGTGTCCAGTATGGTCAGAGGTTTAAAGACTTACTTGTTCCCTCCTCCGACACCATACCCAGCCCCTCTGCCTTGTTCTGTCTCTCAAAGGCATTCAGGTCCAGGACACTGTCATGAAAAACAACACTTTTCTAAGCATACAGTCACCTTTTATCAAACTTCATAAGCTGTTGACTCCATTTTCTAGTATGTAAGTTCTACTCTATACTTGAGTAATTCAGGGGTGAAGACAAAAACCTGCATGTCTGCATTAGAGCCTGGACACTCAAAAAGAAGCCAACATCCTTCTTATCCTTCAGGTATTCAAGCATTTTCTGCAAACAGACAGTGAGACCAGTCAATAACTTCTATAAACTCAGGTCAGATGGATAGAGCCCACTGGGATGATACTTACCTGTTGAACCTCAACGTTACCACCGTTTAGGATGGAGATGCCCAGTTTAAGAGTGGAGGACACCATGCAGCCAGTCTCACCTAGATGGAGCAAAAAGTACTCTTTACCATTCTAGATGACGGGTATAAATAGTATTTGTAATGTGTCGACCATGACAGGTATCCTTCAAACACATGTACTGTGACTGAGAGACATTGACTTGTAGGGTTAGCCTGTAGGCAGCCTGCAAGATGTTCTGTATGGGCCGGGGAAGTACCTTTGCAGGCACTGATCATCTGCAGCACCATCTCAGCCGCCCCACGGTTGTGGAGACGGGACTGCTGGTATAGGAGTCTCTGCTTCTCCATCTCTTTCTCCTGCGATGGACACAGATGCTGTGACTGTGTCCTGATGGTCACACATTTACATTTACATTTACATTTTAGTCATTTAGCAGACGCTCTTATCCAGAGCGACTTACAGGAGCAATTAGGGTTAAGTGCCTTGCTTAAGGGCACATCGACAGATTTTTCACCTAGTCGGCTCGGGGATTAGAACCAGCGACCTTTCGGTTACTGGCACAACGCTCTTACCCACTAAGCTACCTGCCGCCCCGCAGTCACTCCGCATTCACACAGATTGTCCCTAGCTGGCTAGACGTTCTCCCTAACCTCCACTGACTTGCAGCCCTAAATGTTGAAATAGTGTAGGCCTATAGCTTTATATGCTACATATCACAGGCGGCTGGTGGCACCTTCATTGGGGAGGACAGGCTCATCGTAATGGCTGGAATGGAATAAACGGAACAGTATCAAACACATCGTTTCCATGTACTTGATTCCATTCCATTGACTCCATTCCAGCCATTATTATGAGCCATCCTCCCCTCACCAGCATCCTGTGCTACATACTGTATCGATCTACATTTGAAATAGTTTCTCATTCTCAGTATCTACTCTCTGCTCTATTTCTTGTCATTTTCCTAGTATTGTATGGGAAAAACCAATTCAAACCTGCATGCTTCATGTGCTTTTTGACTCGTTTTCCACACATTTCATTATCTTTATATCACCTGTCTGTCTCATTCTCTCTCCCCAGTTAATTAGTCATGTAGTCGTTAAACTAGTTCTTCACGTTTGCTGACTGGAGCAAACGTTAGACTACAGCAAACAGCCCTGATGACCTTGCATGCTGCAGTGCTATTCAATGCAAAGGACCATACAGGATCTATTGAATAACCACAGTGTCTCCCCTGGTGTCTTATATCACACATTGAACTTTACACAGCCCTCAGAGTGGAGCAGTTCTGCTGAAAGGAATATTATGACATTTTTATTTTTAAAAGCCCAAACATCTCTTTGTCACAGAACCACATTTACTGTAATCTTGCTGTAATGCAGTTAAGCATATATAAGGTATAAAAACTAACCAGATTTAATACTGTAACCAACATTTTCTTTAAACCAAAATGTAATTAAAAATACTAACATGTTTTATCAGTTCCCCCCCACCCACAGCATCCCACCCTCCTAACCCACCCACACCCACCCAAAGCACCACCCACCACCCGCGTATGCCTGACCATGGTCTACCCAGTAAGTGTGGTGAAGGTGTACTTGACATTACTTACTGAGAGTTTCCATGGAAACTATAGGGATTTTTGGATACAGTTTGTCTACCAGTGAATGTGTTGTTGCTGTAACTATGTGTACACATACTGTTACTGTACGTGTCAGTCTATGTCTGGGAGAGAAGACTGGCTTTCACTGTAGTTTATTTGTCAATACGCTAAGTAAGTATGGAAAGGAACAACATTGATTAGTAACATTCAGTTAATAGAAATGAACGTGTTATGCCAGAGTAAGTGGAAGAGCAGAAAGAGAACATGGAACTGCCACAGACAGAGGGGGCAGAGGTCAGTCAAAGGTTTATTAGTTGGTTACGGTGTGAGAAACAGACAGGATCAGTTCTGTTAGAGATTCCCATCTGAGAAACAGACAGGATCAGTTCTGTTAGAGATTCCCATCTGAGAAACAGACAGGATCAGTTATGTTCGAGATTCCCATCTGAGAAACAGACAGGATCTGTTCTGTTAAGAGATTCCCATCTGAATCTACATGAAAGACCATACAGTACACAAGGGGTATGAGCCGACAGTGATAGGATAGACTTGGGACAATGTGTGGTAGTATACATGTGACTTACAACATGGCTAATGGCCTCCTCCACTCTAAAGGTAACTATTTACAGAACTCCTATTCATCCAAATATACCACTTACATAAATATTGAAATATACCGATATACACTCAGTTTATTAGGTACACCCATCTACTACCGGGTCGGACCCCCCGTTGCCACCAGAACAGCCTGAATTCTTCGGGCATGGAAAGTTGCTCAATTGGTATCAAGGGACCTACCGTGTGCCAGGAAGACATTCCCCACACCATTACACCACCAGCCTGTACAAATGACACCAAGCAGGATGGGACCATATAATATAAAAGGTAATACTGCTTACGCCAAATCCTGACTCGACAGAAACTGGGATTTGTCGGAACAAGCAATGTTTTTCTACTCCTCAATTGTCCAGTGTTGGTGATCGCGTGCCCACTGGAGCCTCTTCTTCTTTTTTTTAGCTGATAGGAGTGGAACCTGGTGTGGTTTTTTGTTTGTCGTACCATTCTCGGTAAACCCTAGACACTGTCGTGCGTGAAAAGCCCAGGAGGCCAGTCGTTTCTGAGATACTGGAACCAGTGTGCCTGGCACCAACAATCATACCACGCTCAAAGTCGCTTAGGTCCCTTGTTTTGCCCATTCTAACTTTCAATCGAACAGTAAATGAATGCCTCGATGCCTGTCTGCCTGTTTTATATAGCAAGCCACGTTACTCACTGTCTGTAGGAGCGAATAATTTTTGTGAATGGGGTGGTGTACCTAATAAACTGGCCACTGAATGTATATACAAACTACGGAAAATGTAAAATGTATTTCTGGCGAAAAAAATGGAGGAGCCATTATATCTTGACAACATTAATTTGACCCATGTAAACACATTCTGCCTGCCAATTTGAAGGAATACACATCAGTGGAACTTTGTGCTTAGCAGGTAGGTCAATACTTTAGGATGGTCCATATGATTTTTGTATGGTCTACAGCAGGGTTCCTGAACTGGCGGGCCGAATTTGGCCCGCAGAATTTGGCCCGCAGGTGGTTTCTGAGCAAAAAATTATAATATATACAGTACCAGTCAAAAGTTTGGACACACCTACTCATTCAAGGGTTTTCCTTTATTTTTACTATTTTCTACATTGTAGAATAATAGTGAAGACATCAAAACGATGAAATAACACATATGGAATCATGTAGTAACCAAAAAAGTGATAAACAAATCAAAATATATTTTATATTTGAGATTCTTCAAATAGCCACCCTTTGCCTTGATGACAGCTTTGCACACTCCTGGCATTCTCTCAACCAGCTTCACCTGGAATGCTTTTCCAGCAGTCTTGAAGGAGTTCCCACATATGCTGAGCACTTGTTGGCTGCTTTTCTTCACTCTGCCGTCCGACTCATCCCAAACCATCTCAATTGGGTTGAGGTCGGGGGATTGCGGAGGCCAGGTCATCTGATGCAGCACTCCATCACTCTCCTTCTTGGTCAAATAGCCCTTACACAGCCTGGAGGTGTGTTGGGTCATTGTCCTGTTGTAAAACAAATGATAGTCCCACTAAGCCCAAACCAGATGGGATGGCGTATCGCTGCAGAATGCTGTGGTAGCCATGCTGGTTAAGTGTGCCTTGAATTCTAAATAAATCACAGACATTGTCACCAGCAAAGCACCCCCACATCATAACACCTCCTCCTCCATGCTTTACGGTGGGAACTACACATGCGGAGATCATCCGTTCACCCACACCGCATCTTAGCAAGACACAGCGGTTGGAACCAAAAATCTCAAATTTGGACTCCAGATCAAAGGACACATTTCCAGCGGTCTAATGTCCATTGCTCGTGTTTCTTGGCCCAAGCAAGTCTCTTCTTCTTATTGGTGTTCTTTAGTAGTGGTTTCTTTGCAACAATTCGACCATGAAGGCCTAACTCACACAGTCCCCTCTGAACAGTTGATGTTGAGATGCGTCTGTGACTTGAACTCTGAAGCATTTATTTGGGCTGGTACCTCTAATGAACTTATCCTCTGCAGCAGAGGTAACTCTGGGTCTTCCATTCCTGTGGCGGTCCTCATGAGAGCCAGTTTCATCATAGCGCTTGATGGTTTTTGCGACTGCACTTGAAGCAACTTTCAAAGTTCTTGAAATGTTCCGTATTGACTGACCTTCATGTCTTAAAGTAATGATGGATTGTCGTTTCTCTTTGCTTATTTGAGCTGTTCTTGCCATAATATCGACTTGGTCTTTTACCAAATAGGGCTATCTTCTGTATACCACCCCTACCTTGTCACAACACAACTGACTGGCTCAAACGCATTAAGAAGGAAAGAAATTCCACAAATTAATTTTTAAGAAGGCACACCTGTTAATTGAAATGCATTCCAGGTGACTACCTCATGAAGTTGGTTGAGAGAATGCCAAGAGTGTGTAAAGCTGTCATCAAGGCAAAGGGTGGCTATTTGAAGAATCTCAAATATAAAATATATTTTGATTTGCTTAACACTTTTTTGGTTACTACATGATTCCATATGTGTATTTCATAGTTTTGATGTCATCACTATTATTATACAATGTAAAAAATAGTAAAAATAAAGAAAAACCCTTGAATGAGTAGGTGTGTCCAAACTTTTGACTGGTACTGTACATATTTCTTACATTCTTTATATTGTTGGACATAAAAGACTGTAGAAACACCAGGAAATCAGCTCCAGGTGATTGTAATTTTGGAAATCTGTTCCCAAATATTCCCACGCATAATAGAGACACATGATTGTATACAAATGTAAGGAAGGTTTGAAATGATTATGTTTTCGTCAAATATTATATCTGTTTGGGCTTCTTACAATAAATTTGCATTCTACAAATGATTTGTAATTATGTTCCAGCCCACCGACCATCCGCTCAAGAAAAAAACAGACCCGTGGAAGAATCTAGTTGATGATCCCTGGTTTACAGAATGTGTTTTTTTCTGATCACTTTGTCATGCAACATCTCCAGAATGTTAACCACGATGTTAACCACAACGGCAAGGTACAATCCAGAAACATTTGGGTTGACGCAAAACACACATAAGGAGAAAGAGGGACCGAACAGATAACATTTAGGATGAAGCAACACACATACAGTATAAAGAGAGACGGAACAGACAGGAGAGACAAAAGAGAGATGAGGGAGAAGAGAGAGAAGAGAGAGATGTGCAGTGGATGATGTGGTCACTCGATGCGTTGAGAGCTACCGCTCCAGTGTCTCCCCGGTCCCCTGTCCCTGGTCGCCCCATACCAGTTCTGTCTGTCGCACCTCAAAGGACATCTCATCCTCAGCCCCTTCCTCCACCTCCTCTCCTCCTTCGTCCTCCTCACCAATGTGGCAGCTCTACAACACAAAGACAAGAAAAAAATTAACATTACATACTGTAAACAACAAAACAACAACACATGAATATACAAATAACCATAACACGCTAAAACGTTACCTGCTAAAATGTAATTCAAACAGAAAGATAGCTCACCTTTGCCATAATATCAGCATATGCCATATATAGGTAATCTGTATCAAGTTTACTGTAACAAAGAGAAGAAAGAGGCAAGATGTCAAAGGTGGAGATGTGTATTTACTGTTGAATTCAATCCAAAAGCTGCTCAACTAAAATGCTTGAGGGAGAAAAGGAGTCCCACCTCTTTTCTGTGAGAGCAGTACGACTGAAATGCAAAATGAGCTGGTGAAGGGGGTCTGGCTTGGTCTCCGTCTCTTCCTCCTCCTCTCCTTCCTGCTCCATGGCTTTCTGGGAAAGAGAAAGAGATGTGGGAGTGAAACTATAGGAGGAAACTCACAGATCCTGAAATCCTCAAAAGGTGAATCAAGAATGCGGCGGCAGAGCTTACAGACAAGTCGTCTATCATTCTGTCCTCAAAGGAGTAGCCCTCAGTATGGATCCAGTTGCGTTTGTATCCTTCCAGGAACATATTGGAAGCTCTATGCCTGTGAGTCAGACAAAAACGATGTTAGTATCTGTCTTTTACTTGTGACTGTGTGCTACTAACTATACAGTGAGTGTACGAAACATTATGAACACCTCCTCTTTCCATGACATAGACTGACCAGGTGAATCCAGGTGAAAGCTATGATCCCTTATTGATGTCACTTGTTAAATCCACTTCAAATCAGTGTAGATGAAGGGGAGGAGACAGGTTAAAGAAGGATTTTTAAGCCTCGACACAATTGAGACATGGATTGTGCATCTCTGCTATTCATAGGGTGAATGGGAAAGACAAACGATATAAGTGCCTTTGAATGGGGTATGGTAGTAGGTGCCAGGCACACCGGTTTGTGTCAAGAACTGCAACGCTGCTGGGTTTTTCACGCTCAACAGTATACCGTGTGAATCAAGAATGGTCCACCACCCAAAGGACATCCAGCCAATTTGACACAACATGGGTCAGCATCCCTGTGGAACACTTTCGACACCTTGTAGAGTCCATGCCCCAACGAATTGAGGCTGTTCTGAGGGCTGGGGGGGGGGGGGGGGGTGCAACTCAATATTATGAACATATTAATAATATGTTCTTAATGTTTTGTATACACAGTGTATATGTGTTTGAATACAATACTGTTGTAATCTCTCTCACCTGGGTAGGTTGTAGAGTGGCGTCATCCTAAAGCAGGCTACCACAGCCTTGCGTCTCTGCTTGGACAACAGTTTGTGCCACACCATCTTTTTGGATTTGAAGGGGTGCTCCGTCTAAGTGAGAGAAGAAAGAATTGAGAGAAACGGCACCACTGACATCATGCCATGTGTGTGAAGTAGGATTATATTGACGCTGTAGGATTATATTGACGCAGTAGGATTATATTGACGCTGTAGGATTATATTGACGCTGTAGGATTATATTGACGCTGTAGGATTATATTGACGCTGTAGGATTATATTGACGCTGTAGGATTATATTGATGCTGTAGGATTATATTGATGCTGTAGGATTATATTGACGCTGTAGGATTATATTGACGCTGTAGGATTATACTGATGCTGTAGGATTATATTGATGCTGTAGGATTATATTGATGCTGTAGGATTATATTGACGCTGTAGGATTATATTGACGCTGTAGGATTATACTGATGCTGTAGGATTATATTGATGCTGTAGGATTATATTGACGCTGTAGGATTATATTGACCCTGTAGGATTATATTGATGCTGTAGGATTATATTGATGCTGTAGGATTATATTGATGCTGTAGGATTATATTGATGCTGTAGGATTGAAAATGGGTGTACTACTCTACTCACCACCTCAATGTGATAGAGCACAGCAGACACCTCCTGCACCCTCTTAACCACTTTCTCTGGAGCGTCAGCATCCTCAGCTTTCCCTGCCATCTCCTTATATAGGGACATCTGCCAACGCATGGACGGGTTCTCTACCTGAACACAACACACACACACACACTGCAGCTGGAGGAACACACTGCAGCTGGAGAAACACACACACACTGCAGCTGGAGAAACACACACACACTGCAGCTGGAGGAACACACACTGCAGCTGGAGGAACACACTGCAGCTGGAGGAACACACATTGCAGCTGGAGGAACACACTGCAGCTGGACCATCACAACAGAACACCATGTATCACTTTACTGTATAAACCCACTCCAACTTACCTTTCCTTGAAGATGCAGGTTGTTTTGCAAGAACTCCCTTACTTCCTCATCAGTGTCCCTCTGGAAGAAAATGTTTTTATATTTATTTTGGAACAAGTTCTCTGTCTAGATATACAGCCCTATGGGTCTGGCACATAAGACTAGTCTGATACATGGTTACTATGGCAGAGTTATTTAAGACAGCCGAGGACACACTACCAAAGAGTATCGGATCTTGGCCAGGTTGATAAGCTCCTGATCAGCAGGGGAACACATGTTGAGGCCGATGGGGAGCATCTTTTTCAGGGCAGCCACAATAAGTGACGTCTGCACTGAGTAACGGTCTCCCCGTCTCTTCTTCTTGGTACGCTCCACGTCTGAGCCACCAGCCTGAGAACATAAGGGGGGACCAAGGCGTTACACATGTTTTCTTCATACATACGGTTGGCGCCACAACCACTATGCGGGGCACTGTACCACGTATCAATTAACACTGCTTAGCATTGAACCCACGACAGCACTGATTCAATGGCACAACACTCACAATCACTATACTTTCTCAATAAAAGTCCTGGTCTACCTAATCATTATGAACACTACTACAATAGAAAAACAACTACTTCTACATTGTACTGTATATTTGACATTAAATGCACTAATCTATATACATGAACTTTGTGCAATCTACTAAAACCATAATGTGCTCGTCACATTATTCCCAGCTTGATACCTGTAATCCAGTGGAAATGTGACCATTTCTTCTCATTTGAATGACCTGTTGAGTTACACAGTGTCCCCCTACCTGTTCACCCGGACAGTAGCTATTACAATACCATTAACCTCTAATATCAAGAGCCATGGACTCCTCTCTGAACCCGTCATCTAGGTCAGTTCCTTCACATTATCATATCCTTCAGTATTTGCTGCAGGTGGACAGGCAATGAACAACCTACGGATGCCCAGAATGAGGGCTACATCTCAGCACCATAATGATCTGTTTCTCTGAACTCTTGGCTGGAAATGGGAGGGGAATGTGAGAATGTAATAATGTATTGAGAAGGACAGGGATTGGCGCTATGGTGGAAGGAGGGGGTGTTGGGGTTGGGGGAGGACAACTGAAAGGAATCATTCTAATCTGTAGGACAGGAAATCAGTAAAACGGCACAGATAAAATCATGCTTACAAAACACACATTGCGTTCACATGAAAAATCATTCAGCATTCGAAACACTGGTTAAAAACAACCTTCTACAGTATGTTTCTCAGGTGGGTTTGGCACCAGCAGCACTAGGTGAAGAATGAATACGTTACATGGTGTTGGAGAGTAACAAAAGCTCCTGTTGAAAACACAAAAAACTATTTGCTGTTAGTAACATCATGTTGATGGGAACTAGAATCAGACTAAGGTGTTAGCTACCAATTAGCAAATCACACAAGCAAACCAAAATGTCCATGTGATACGTCCCATCGCCCCTGTGCTCTCCTCCCACTCTCTTGTGCTGTTTCTGTGAGGGAACATTATTGTCTGTTGTCTGCCGTCTCTGACGTCCCCAGCAAGCTTGTATGTGTGTGTGTGTGTGTGTGTGTGTGTGTGTGTGTGTGTGTGTGTGTGTCATACAGCAGGCTGAGGTTGGCCAAGGGAGTGAAGATAACAGACGGCCCCACAGTAATGGCCACCCCATAGAACAGGAGAGGATGCAAAGCCCATAGAGATCCTATTAAATGAGTATTCTAATTGCTACTTCTATGGCAAAGTCGCTACAAACAGAGAATGTGTTGTGGATAAATGCTCTGAAGCACTAAGGGAATCCGCAGTGTTGAAAAGTGAGAACAATGTGTTACATTGAACTTCTCTAAGTATATGTATGTCAGAGAACGCCCCTCACGCCAAAAAAGTGCACCTAGCTTTTTTTCCCGTTACGTTTCCCTGTGAGTGTGTGTGAGTGGTAGGAGTGTGTCAAAGCCACAGATAAGTTCTCCAAACCAGTACTTCAATGCAAGGAGTGTGTTATGAATAAGGCTAGTTTAGAGGAAGGTGGGTACAACGTTTTTAGGGGAGATTATAGAAGACAGGTTTGATTAAAATAGATTGGGGTGAGGTCAAGTCACATCGAGCACTATAGAGCTTGTTCCAGAGACCTGCTTCAGTCCTGTTAAATATAGTGACAGGTCAGGGTTAAATGGGGACAGGTGGGTGGGTGGAGACTGACTGGGGGATATGATGAAGCTAAGCCATGGTCTGACACGGCAGTTAAAGGGAGGAGGAGTGAGTGCTGAGCAGCATCCCCTTGTGGAGGGAGCTCGATCACAAACGCTATAGACCAACCAACCTTCAACAGAAAAGTAAAAGACATGAAAGGATGACTCCAACCCAACTACAATCAACTAAGTGCAAACTCATTGGCAGGATGATGGCACTCTGCTCCCACTGCTGCTTTGGGCAGGCCTGGTGCGGAGCCTAGTGCCATGAGCCCGCCTCTACGGCAGAGCACTTTCATCAAGCGCCTCCAGACTCCCCCCGTCACACACTGGCAGGACTGAGGGTGGCCCACGATGGCCCGCCCCTTCGTCCAATAGTGTTGTATCAGTATGGTGCATGTCTGCTTGAAAGGTGCTCTTGCTTTTTCTGTCTGGCATTGTGTGGAGTATTGTGTCGGTCACCTGACCTCACACACAAGTGTGTTTACGAATGTAATTCTATGCAGTTTATCAGTAAATGTTTAATGAGAGATTAAGAGTAGACGTCTAGCTGAGCGTATGTCACTGTCTAGATATGTGAACACAGGCCTGTCCACAATGTTGCTGACAGTGTAACTGGATCCAAATGGTATCAGTGACGCATGAAAGTAAACTCACAGCAACTGTTTTCTATTTCTGTGTGTCATAGTGCAGATATAAACATGTGAAATGCTGGACCCAGTTTATTCCCATTGGTGTTGCAGTGTTGTGCAAAACACGTAGCTAGTTACTGAGTGGACATGCACAACTGTATCTATATGCAAAGTATTTGCCGCTAGTTGTGTGTGGGTGTTGTACTAGAACATGCTAGAAGTGTGGTTGTGGTGTCCTGGTGTGCCAGTGTGTCGGAGGAGTTGATGAAAAGCCCCTCAAAGTGAGGTGCCATGCGGTCAGCACAGCGGTCGTGCAGAAACAAAGTCTAACCTCTGAGTCGCTGCCCTAGAAACCCAGCGTCAACACAGAAAAAAAGGACAAGGGACAGTCAAAGAGAGAACACTGTTAACACACCTGCTATAGTCACAATACTCAACCTCTACTGACATATACACTGCCTCATCTTATAGAGGTGCTTCTCTTAGTCCTCAGATGGCGAGACAGACATGAAATACAGGGCTAAAAAGTTATCAAAATGATCGAAAAAAAACACAAACCGTTTTTTAAGCTTTCCAATATACAATACCTGCTGAAGATTGTGTAGGGAAAAGACTTGAAAGAAGAGCCTTTTCTGTTGGGTTATTGTCAGTGATGATACAATATTGTGCTATGCAGATATCAAGTACACAGTTTTGAAAAAGATCCACCGATTTGTATAGGTAAATTAAACTCAACATGGTTAGCTACAATAGGTTAGGAGGAGATAATAAATCAATTGCCAATTAAGTATGTGAAACATATTTTTTGTTGATGAAACATTTGAAAGCAAACGATGCAGGATGTGAAACGAATTGCTGGCTACATTGTTTCTGCAGTGAAAATGATGGCCTCATTTATGATAGATGTTTCAGAAATTCATAGTCTTCCCAAATCTGCTGACATCAGTCCAACATGTCACAACATTTCAACGCTGAAGGTAACTGAATGGCTTTTTAACCCCAGATGGTCTGTATTGGCTCACCTTACTCATCTTTTTAATCCCAGATGGTCTGTATTGGCTCACCTTGCTCATCTTTTTAACCCCAGATGGTCTGTATTGGTTCACCTTACTCATCTTTTTAACCCCAGATGGTCTGTATTGGCTCACCTTACTCATCTTTTTAACCCCAGATGGTCTGTATTAGCTCACCTTGCTCATCTTTTTAACCCCAGATGCTCTTTATTGGCTCACGTTACTCATCTTTTTAACCCCAGATGGTCTGAATTGGCTCACCTTACTCATCTTTTTAACCCCAGATGGTCTGTATTGGCTCACCTTACTCATCTTTTTAACCCCAGATGGTCTGTATTGGCTCACCTTACTCATCTTTTTAACCCCAGATGGTCTGTATTGGCTCACCTTACTCATCTTTTTAACCCCAGATGGTCTGTATTGGCTCACCTTACTCATCTTTTTAACCCCAGATGGTCTGTATTAGCTCACCTTGCTCATCTTTTTAACCCCAGATGCTCTTTATTGGCTCACCTTACTCATCTTTTTAACCCCAGATGGTCTGAATTGGCTCACCTTACTCATCTTTTTAACCCCAGATGGTCTGTATTGGCTCACCTTACTCATCTTTTTAACCCCAGATGGTCTGTATTGGCTCACCTTACTCATCTTTTTAACCCCAGATGGTCTGTATTGGCTCACCTTACTCATCTTTTTAACCCCAGATGGTCTGTATTGGCTCACCTTACTCATCTTGCTCTTGCTGTCAGCAGTCAGGAAAGACATGTTATTAATCTCATTCATCACCACAAAGTTCTGCTCCTCTCGCTTGAAGTTCTACAGAGACACAAGAAAGAAAAGGTGGTAATAATAATGTATTGGGTTTATATAGCACCAACTGAGGTACTCAAAGCGCTTTACATAGTAAGGGGGAAACTCATCTCATCCACCACCAATGTGTGGCACCCACCTGGGTGACGTACGGCAACCATTTTGTGCCAGAACACTCACCACACGTCATCTAGCATGGTGGAAAGGTAAAGAGTGATACATGCCAATTTGGAATGAGGGGGATGATTAGGTGGCCATGATGGAAATGGGGCCTGGTTGGGAATTTAGCCAGGACACCAGGGTTAACACCCCTAGTCTCACGATAAGTGCCATGGGATTTTTAATGACTACAGAGAGCCAGGACACCCGTTTAACGTCCCATCTGAAAGATGGCACCCTACGCAGGGCAATGTCCCCTTCACTGCCCTGGGGCATTGGAATTAGATCGTCTTAAGACCAGAGAAAAGTGTGCCCCCTACTGGCCCTCCAACACCACTTCATGCAGCATCTGGTCTCCCATCCAGGGCCTGTCCAGGACTGACCCTGCTTAACTTCAGAGGCTAACCAGCAGCGGGATGCAGGATGGTATGCTGCTGGTGATATGACAGGATTTACACTCACATGAGATTTGGACCAGAAGATGAAGACCTCTCCAACCATTCTGAAGAGCTCCTCTGCATCTGGGTCTGGGCATGTCAACCACCTCGCCCTGAAAATGGAGGACATCTCTTTAAGGTTCTAGTGATCGAGAGGCCGTGTACATTTCTCAAGAAAAAACATGACTGGCCACTAGTTCGCCTGTGTGCTGTACCTGTTATTGTCCACATAGCGGATGAGGAGAGGGTAGAGGGCGTACAAGTCCCTGCAGAGCACAGCAAACTCATCCCTGATGGTACCCTCCTCCTCATCCCCCTCAGCCTTCCCCTCCATACGCAGGTGGTCCTCTTCTGCCACCACCTTCCCTGTCCTCTTCTTCAGCTTCTCCATGGTGGGGATGAAATGGGACTTGAGCATCTCTGGCTTGGCCCTGCTCACAATAGGCTGGGAGAAGACTAGGGATAGAAGAGGAGTGGCGATGGTGAGATGGCAAGGAAACACACACACGGGCATAGTACACACATAGCATTGTGGCAACCTCACCAGCCAGCCTCTTCATCCAGGAGGCCTCGTCAATGCCCAGGTTGTTGACCACGATCTTCATGATGCTGCCCAGCAGCTGGTTGAGCTGGTCAGAGGTGACGTCGGTGCAGATCTGGCCCTCCAGCTCAGGGAAGTTCTCTACTCCTCTCTCCCACCAGCGGGGCAGGTAGTTACACAGCATGGGCAGAGTGATCTCGATCACATGGGGCATCTCAGTGTAACGGGCACCTGACTCTGCCAAGTCCCCAATCTCTTTCAACAGAACGTCTAGCTCTGGTATGTCCTGGCATAACTCCTGGACCTCGTTGGGCAGACCCAAGACTTGACATCAAGAAAGAAAGAAAGAAAGAAAGAAAGAAAGAAAGAAAGAAAGAAAGAAAGAAAGAAAGAAAGAAAGAAAGAAAGAAAGAAAGAAAGAAAGAAAGAAAGAAAGAAAGAAAGAAAGAAAGAAAGAAAGAAAGAAAGAAAGAAAGAAAGAAATAAAGAGAGAGTGAGAGAGAGAGTGAGAGAGTGAGAGAGTGAGTGAGAGAGTGAGTGAGAGAGTGAGAGAAAAGGTTAGAGGAGAGTGTGTTGAGGAACTCGAAGTCAAGGTTGGACAGAGAACAAGTCACAGGAGCAGATGGACACTCACTGGCTCTTTCTCTAGGGGTCTTGGTGGTGTAGACAGAGAAGGCATTGTACTCATTGAGATGGGGCTCCAGGTAGGCCACAGGCATAGCAGCGGCCAGATGGGCCAGACACTCCCCCAGAGCTGGCCTCTGCCTGGAGGAGGGACGACAAGGGCAGTCAAACTCACAGATGATCAGCTTTGTATTGCTGTACTGTTAACACAGAGAAACAGAGCCAGATCCAGACTCACCTCTCCACATGAGGGTTCTTGACACTGCCCAGGGAATAGATGGCACACATGATGCGGTAACATGACGTCTGGAGATCATCCACTGACCACCAAGAACACACACACACACAAACACGGTTAACAAAGTCAACAAGACACTTTTTCACAGTTTTGAGAGTAAGTCAACTTGAATGCTGTGTCATCACATGAATGCTGTGATGGCATATGACTCACGCATGACATCATCTCCAAACTGGTGCTGAGAGATGTGGTCAAACAGGGAGGTGAGGACTGGGAGCAGAGCGATGGTGGTGTAGTTGATGTTCTGGGACACGCCTTTCACCTGCTGTAGACGGACCATACAGTAGGACAAGACATTTCAGACCAAAAGGCAACAGTTAGTTCTGGAATTGTTCAATTCCTACCTGTTCTCTTGTAGACACTTACCTGGTTGCCTTTAGACACCTTGCCCAGTTTGAGATTCTCCACCATCTTCTCGATATCATCAGCTGCACCCTCAAAGAACGACCGGAGCCCTGCCTTCACAATCTCAGGCCCAGACTTCATCACCGTCCTGAGGAATACAGAGCAGGGAACAGAGGACGGCTATGAGAAAATCTTGATCCAATACCTTTGTATTCGGATTGTGAACACATTTCAGAGTGGCGATTACCTTGCATCGAGAGACCGTGCCAGGATGTGAAGACAGTTGACAATAGCAGGGGCGTCATTCCCTTAAATAGTGCAGAGGAAAATATAAAGGAATAGACAACAGCTGACTGGTCGAGACAGAACTAAATCATCAGGACAACGCAGATGTCTTACCGAAGAGAGAAACTCTATGTCTCACCAGAGCAGCCATTTTACAGAAGATACTACAGCGGGAGAGAAAACCAATAGAAAAGAGGAGGAAATGCAGAGAAAGATAATGAATGATGGAAATAAAGGTAAGAGAAAGGGAGAAATTACAGCACAGAATCAAAAGAGAGACTTGAAAGGATGAAGAGAGATAAAAGTGGCTAACTACAGTGAGGCGTAACAATATACTTAATACGACGTGACAGAGAGTTACCTGGCAATCATCTCTTTCTCCTTGTTAGAGGAATGTCCTCCACTACCCAGGACTTTGGCCGGTGTGGACAGGAAGTACAGACAGTGGTTTTTAAAGTACTGGTTGATCAGGGGCAACAGGATCTGAGACAAACACAGTTAATTTGTATTTGTTTTTATTAGGGATCCCCATTAGCTCTTTCCTGGGGTCCAAACACATTAAGGCACTAATATTACATATAAAACAGTACATCATATAACATTATTACTCCACTACATATCTACAATACAAAATGTATAATACCACCATACAACAATATTACAATGTATGTGTGGTTCATCATTATCCCATCTATTCTTATACCCCTGCAGTAAACATGGAACAGTTGAATCAAATGGCATCTCCCCTCGAGATCGGCCGTTTCACAGGGATTCTGCTCTCACCTTTGCAAAGAATTTGATCTCCTGCTCATGAGGCGACTTCTCCACTCTGCCACTGCTCACCACAGCCTCTGAAGAAAACACACAAGACAACATTTTGGAGTATTGTTAACAAATTAAATGTCAACTCTGACATTAACGGAGCACTATTTCATTGGTTATCATCATCCACCCTCCTCCCAGAGCCAACTCTACCAAGATGAGCTATGAACTCTTGGGCGATCTCCATCCACTTCAACAGCTTCTGCAGGAAACCATAGGCAAAGCGCTTCTCGATAGATGAGATGTCTGACTCCATGTCTTTCATTCCCCTAGAGAAAGCATGATTTGTTAATACATATTCAGTTGTTTCTAGAACTTCAATGACTTTTCCTTTTACCTGGTGACCGCAAATCCATTAAGTTGAAGGAATTTGAGAAGCTCGTGAGCCTTTTCTCTGTCTCGTGCCTTTTCTTTTGCTGTCAGGGTGTCATAGGGTACTAGCAACGGGTGGGAGCCGCCTCCTAGACACAGTCAAAACACACAGAGCTGCCATTAACTTTGTTAATGAGAAAGGTGACTGGCAATTCTGTAGTCTGTATCCTCCCCTTTTCCCCCCTCAGAACAGAATGACCTCTGACCTTTGGACTGCAGCTCCATCTTCTTCTTTCGACCCCATGTGTTGTGATAGTTCTCTGCAAGTTGTTCTGCCATGGACTGGGCAAATTAGAAATTAGAAGAAGAAAAAATGTGATCAAATAACAATGTAAAGCAAATAAGAGGGATGGTCCAACCTTCAGTGTGATCATACCTGCAGCTCTCTTGACAGTGCCATGTGGGATATTTCAATTGGTTGGGGACTGTAGCCATGGCTGGGGTCATATGTTGCCTGAAATACACATATTTGTATTCATAATATTCATTCACACTTTTTATCATCTCTGTCTGATCTGTAGAACAGTTATTCATCCTTTTGGATCTTCCCATTTCTCTGTACCTGTGCAGTCTGAGAGATCTTCCGAGCTGCCTTCTTCTGCTCAGTCTTTGCTTCCTCTCCTTCCCTCGTTTGATCAAGGGTCCACTCCCATGCAATCATGGCTTTCATGGACTCCTTGATGGGCCAACGGTAGATCTCTTTGTCCTATAAGGGAAGAGATCATTACAGACTGAGGGCATCAGAGAGCAGCAACGTAAAGATCTGCGGTGGCTGACAGAAATGACTATGCTTTGCATAAGAAAATGATCAACTGTGCTTCTTACCTTCTCTGAGAATGTTTTGTACGGTCGGAGCATGGGGTGCGTTTTAGAATTTTCATCCAAAATCTCTCCATACGTCCAGTTATTCTGAATCTGCAGGTGAACAGACATACATCACATTATTTCAGTTACACAGTACAACTGATGTTTATACACAAACACTTAACATTGATATTTTTACTGACCTTTTCAAAAGCCCACTTGTCATGTGTGTGCTCAGCATATTTGTTGATGAAGCCGTCCAATCTCTCAGGGATGATAGTACTACAATACAAAATGTAGTAGACTTCAGTACGCCATAGTCATACCTTACCTTATACAGTGGCTAAAAGCAGAGGATATTGCATAATATTTATGAAAATATCAAAACTGTCCGTCGATACTGTATCTTATCTAAATTGTTTTAGAGTATTCTCCTATTGGTTTACCGCCCTTCCTTCACCTCTCCACCCTCTCCCATTCTACGGTCTTACTTTGTGGTCTCCACTGGTTTAGGATCAAAGTTTCCCTCTGCATCCACCAAAGCTTTCTTCTCAGTCTTGGAGGAGTAGCTGGCATCTACATAATCTGGAGGGATGGCCCCAGCAATGGCGCATATGCACGGCATGGCAATTTTGAACAGCTCAGCATCAAATTTCTGAAATCATAACCAGAGGACATAGTGAAATATTTTTCTACAATGATATACCGTATCAACGTTTTCTTATTGTAGCCAAACATTTCCTAGTGGAAAAGTTTTCCATGCAGCTGATATATCAGTGTAATAGTCTAACCTTGTGGGCCAGGGACTCAAAAATGCCCCAGAAGAGTTTGCGGGTGAGATGCAGCTCTTCCTCTGATGACACTCCAAAGTTGCCCCAGCCGTTGGGCAGGCAATAGTACTTCCAACAACGCTCATAGTGATTGGTCAAAAGCTGCAGACAACAAAAGAACATTATGAAATCAGCTTAATTTTACATACTAACATCTGGATGATCAGTTCATTGGCTGTATCTTGATCTTCATTTCTTTGTTTTGTTTCTATAAAGATTGGATTGTCTAATGACCGGTTAAGTCATGTCCATACCTTGAGAGGCATTTTGGCATATTCATTGAGAATTGGCACATCAAATACCAGCCTTCTCAACAGGTGCTGTAACATGGACGGCCGCAGATTCCTAAGAAATAGAGGCAAATAAATAAGCACATGTAAATAATCTAAATAAATAATAATAAATACATCTATCAAGCATGGTTAAACACCTCACTAAAAGTTCACTGTACAAACAGTTTACGGAAGAGGACATCCCAATGTCCAGGAGACATTAACATTAACTTAGAGGGAATAAAGAAGAAATTCCACTTACACAACGCAGAAAGACAGACGTTAGATAACAACAGTTAGAAGGTCAACCGTGCCAGGGTAACAAGTCCAACTCACTTGCACAAAGCCATGAGACACTCCTCTATAACATCTCTCTGGGCCTTAGTGAAGGCTCGTCCGCGGGACAGACGGTAGATGGTGTGCAGCATAGAGTCGATCATAATGGCCCGGTGGTCAGTGCCAGCGAACAGGAAGGCACACTTGGTGATGAGGGGCAGCACGGCCAGAGAGAGGTAGCGGTTCAGAGCCAGGGCCATCTCTGTGGTGCAGAAAGCCACCTAGCGGGGAGAGATCCATTTAAACGGTCATATTCTCTGCATTCAAAAGACCACAAACTACCTATTCAATTAAAAAAGTGTTTATATGACATCTAACTCAAAGACGAGCATAAGACCAGACAATGTTAATATGAGTAGTGAGATAGAGAGAGGCTGACTCACTGTGTCCAGAGAAGCAGCTGCCCTCATGTCAGGCAGGAAGCCCACCTCCAGCACATGAAGCAGGAAGTCTTGGTTGTCAATACCATACACTCTGTCAAGGAACAGCACCATTGGAGCCTTGTGGTCCGGCACAAAACTGGAAGACATCTTGGGTTCAATGACGCTGTTATCTAGACATCCCAAAAGACAGGAGAATAATGGCAGGACTCACTTTAATTAACAATTTTGACTAATTACAGATATAAAAGGGGATACATTATGATCAAACTAAACTTAAACCCTCTTTAGTTCCATTTCATCATCAAGACGTCAAGATTCTCTTTCCTTGAGCCAACACAACAGTTCATTTAATCCAAATGGTTTCGCCTCTGGCTCACCTTTTCCAAAGTCTGGTATCTGGACAGACAGGCTGATGACTCCCACCAGGTCCTCTATGGGCACCAGGGACCTCAGGATGGCCCTGATCCTCAGCGCCTCACCCTTCCCAGCTTGGATCAACTGGGGGATGAACAAAAAATAGCAACGTCTTAGAATGAACCACAGCAGCTTGCTAGCTCCATTCCATTAGCCTTAGCTTCTCTCTTAAGGTTTTCCAATGCTCAGTACTCACATGCATCTCTGGAGCGCAGCGTCCCAGCAAGTCAATGAGAGCAGAATAGAAAGACATGATGGCATTCCCCAGGTGAACCTTGTTCTCCTCATGCTGCTCCTCCCCACCAGGGAACCTACCAGGAGAAAGGAAGAATCAACACATGTAGGCCCAAAACTTGTCAAAGGAGAACAAGTTCTCATCTACTACGCTAGTAAATACTGTAGATATTCAATCAGCCGAGTCCCTCAGTGGTTCTTACATGCCGGGGAAGCGTCTGTCTTTCTTGACAGTGGGGCCGTCCCTGGCAGGATCCTCAGAGATCTTGATGGCCTCCTCTATAGCAGCCAGCAGACCGTTCCCACCCTCTCCTCTCAGGGCCGGGCCAAAACACTCCGGCCGACGGATCAGAAGACGCACCACCACATTGGCGTTCTCCTCTACGCTCTCTCCTACAGGGGGGCATAGAGCCAAACCACACTCAGTGATGAAAGCAAACGGAAAGACTCCTAAAGACATCATCCCAACAGTAGTGTATTCCATTACGAGGTCCGCAAACACAGACCATTGACGAAGACAGCAAAGCGGAGGAAGTCCAGGTATTTCTCCCCACCGCAGGGGTTCCAGCCAATGTCAGGGTAACCCTTAGCCAGGAGCTGGGGACAGCTCTGGAGCCCACAGCCTGCGAGGTACTTCACCACCTGGGAGGAAAAACACAGGACAAAAGAGACAGAAAGAGAGATGACCAATGTGATATATGCGGCTGCATCAGAGAATCTGCATGTGTTTGTTGGGGATGTCCAACCTTCTCCAGGTCTTGTTCCTGTAGAGCCAGAGCCAGCTCATTGTTGTCAATGCAGGATGCTGCAGCCACGTCTAGAGGGGTGGAGCCACGCATTCCTGAAAGACATCCATGACATGTTCAGTCCCAACACACAGCAAAACTATTCTGCCTTTAGAGGAATTATGTCAACCTTTCTTTCCCATTTATAAGAATACAAACTTGTATTTATTATATTTTTATTATTTTACCAGGTAAGTTGACTGAGAACACATTCTCATTTACAGCAACGATCTGGGGAATAGTTACAGGGGAGAGGAGGGAGGATGAATGAACCAATTGGAAGATATCAATGTCCCTCACCAAGGCCAATGCCACTGTTCTGAAGCAGGTAGCTGAGGTGATCGAACATGGAGCGCTGGTTCTGACGACTGATACGACAGAAGTAACACAGGAAACGACAGCAGTTGGTGACCATACGAGGGAATCTGATCTCCTGCAGAGGAACACATGAAGGGTGAATGCACTGACTACAGTGTAATAACATTTAACGCATTTCGAATTTTCAGCCAATCATTGATCCTGTAGTTACGAACCATATAACCACTTTACCTTGGAGTCGCCACCACCCAGCACGTTGACCATCACCTCCATGACAGTCTCGTGCATGCCCAGCGCTCGCATCAGGTTGGGGTGCTGATAAAACACTTTGTTGCTCATGATGTTCCTGATGGAGAGAGAAGGCTCAAGTTGATTCTCAGTTCCTCCAGTAGATCCTCAATCCATCCTGTTCTCTGTATAGTATATTGTTTTACTAGTCTACTGTGTACTACTGACCCGATGCTCTGAATCATCAGCCTCTCCTCCTCAGGGCCCATCTGGACGATGAGCAGCGAGCGGATCTGTCCCAGGCACTCCAGCAGGTCCATGGTATCCTTTATGGAGATGGCGTTGATGGTGTAGGCCTTGGGCAGGGCCCGGATCAGCTCCCCCAGCCCGTCATACTGACGGTGAAGCAGGCTGAACATCAGACGCACCAGCTCAGGGTTCTGGATGAACGACTCCTGGGCCCAGTGGATCATAGTGTGGGAGATGAGCTCCTGGAGGGTGCCTGGAGGAGAGAGTGGGAGGGGGGTTATAAACAAGACGCATCACTTGATTGATTGTTTGATAGTTGTTTTTGTGTTAGTAGTGATAAATGCATCGCAACCTGAAAATATTTGATTGTTGAAACCGAATGAAATTATCCCATGACTAGACTGAAATTTCAATTTTGTAATGTTGTCTCCAGCTGGAGCAGTCTACTGCTTTTAAAGGTACAATCTATGCAGGAATCGCTATGCCATTTCCTGGTTGCTAAAATTCTAATAGTTCGCCTAATTTCAGATTATGTGACAAAACAAGCACTCAGAGTCTAGAGAATCATTGCACAATCTAAACTGCTGTGAAATATATTTTCAATAACCAAAAATATTGTATTTCCAGCTGTTTGAAGCTAGTGTAAAAACTGAAAGTAATAGACGCAAAAACTAAACTTAAGATCTATAACTCCCATTTCTATGTGAATTTGGTCGGGTCACCCAAAAAGTTACATATTGTATCTTTAATTATCCAATAAACGTAATCAATCATTCAGATTGTCTTCTGGCATTGAAGGTAAATCTTTGGCTTGATTTTACCGTTTTTCATTGGGACAACTGATAAAGAGTGAGACTCACTGGGTTTAGTCTCTTCCACAGGTTCCGGCGCCTCCTCTACCTTCTTCTTGCGGAGGTGCCTCAACTTGTCCACCATTCTGAAGAGTCGTCCTTTGAGAGACATATCCAACTCCTCCTCCACCTCTTCCTCTTCAATATGTACACCTGACGGTGTCATGAGGGATGAAAGATCATTGACATTTAAGCCTGATCACCTCAAATGTATTTGTATACAAGTGGAAGTTATAAGTTACATTTGGCGATCTAGGTACTGAATGAGTTTGACTGACCGCAGTGAGCAAGCAGGTTCTTGTGAAAAGACAGCAGAGCATCGCGGACCTCGTCAGGCACAGGACACTCCTCATCGTCCGCAATGCTCTTAAAGTTCATCAGCATGTTGACCTGCATATGAAAAACAAACTGTTCATTTTTGTTACCATTCATGTACTGTTAAAAGTGTGATAGTGCTCTTGATCCTCCAGGAGACAGTAGCTGAGGCTGAAGGTACCTGCTCCTGTGGTGGGGAGCGGAACTCGCGGGTCTTGCGGGCGGTCTCGGCAGCGCTCATGGTGAACGCCAGCATGAGCTCGTTGTAGCGCGCTCTCTGGTTGGCCTGCACCTGGCTCACAAACTGGTCTGAAAAGGCTATGATGGCCTCCACCCTGTGGCGCAACTCACAGTCACAGAAATACTGCAGCAGAGTGCACATCTGACAGACGGAAGGGAAAAGACATGAGATGTAGCAACATAGATTCGTGTAATTGGTCAAACTATGAAGGATATTGAAAGTTACAGTGAACTGAAAAAGGCACACACACCAACCTGTAGTTTAACAGACTCTGGTAGCTTCATGTGCAGTAATCCCTCTTCCAGACCTACTTGTTCTTTTGCCTCTCCATCCGCCTCACCAGGCTTCGCCGCCTCCACCGTCTCCTCATCACCTTTCTCTCCATCCTCCCCCTCTTCTTCCTCTTTTTCTACCAGCTCCAACTCCTCCAGCTCTGCCTCCAACTCCTCATCTTCCTCACCCATCCCCTCATCCTCCATTTCATGTCCACTCTCTACTGCCCTCTCCTTTTCTTCCTTAACCTCCTCCCCCCCTTCTTTGAGCGCCAGTGTTTGGTTCCCCGCTCCGTTGGCTGTGGCTTCAGCTTCTTCTGCAGAAGCTTGTGCCTCTCCACTGAACACCGTGGGCTCTATCATCTTCAGGATGTGCTTGACATCTTCATTCTCGAACACACCCATGATGAGCAGGGTGCTGATGAGCTTGAGGATGGGGACAAAGTGGAACTCAACACTGCCTCCTACAGGATCCCTCATGGCCTGACCACCATCTTGTACAGCTTCTGTCAGCATGGTCAGGGCCTTCGCCTTCAGCACCTACAGGAGAGAGAGAGGGAGACATTAATGACCATCGGTCAGTTCAAACAGAAAACCCTTCCGCTCTCCCTCCATCAGTCTGAGGCTCCTTACCTGTAGGGGGATGAAGGGGCTGAGGGTGTAGATGTCCAGGTCTGTCCCCACAAACCCAGTGGGGGAGAAGTGGAGTTTGGGGCGCAGACAGGTAGTGAGGCCCACCCCTGGTAAAGCATGGGAGTTGTCAGTGTTTGAGTAGAGGTTGATGCTGCGTGTCTCGTCTGTCATGGGCACGATAAACTCCTTGTTGGTCATGAGGCGGTTCCTCTTGGCCGACTCCAGGTGCATGCTGATGAGCAGGTCGTAGTAGCCGCTCCTCATTGGTCCAGGCAGGTAGGTGTTCTCTATGGCGTAGAACAGCTGGGACTCATCAACATGACTGCACAGGGCGTGAGCCACGCGGTTGTTCCCCAGAGCACAGACCGAGCCGTACAGCTTCAGAGTGTGGTAGTGGAACTTCAGCAAGTCCATACGCTCCGACAGCTCCAGGACGTCAATACATCTAGAGGGGACATATGGAGAGAACTGTTAGCTGTATAGACTCACACATCTATTGCATCAAAGCCAGAGCGGATGGCTATTGGTTATATTTATTTTCCAATACTATAGGCAACACTGAAATCAACGAAAGCATTTCCATTTCATCATGGTGATCTTTGTCAAAAAGGTACAGTGCCCTCAGAAAGTATTCACACGTCTTGATCTTTTCCACATTTTGTTGTGCTACATTCTGAATTTTAAATTGATTAAATTGAGATTTTTTGGTCACTGGCCTACACACAATACCCTATAATGTCAAAGTGGAATTATGTTTTTCTACATTTTGAAAATCCTTGAAATGAAATGAAAAGATGAAATGTCTTGAGTCAATAAGTATTCAACCCCTTTGTTATGGCAAGCCTAAATAAGTTCAGGAGTAACACTGTGCTTAACAAGTCACATTATAAGTTGCATGGACTCACTCTGTGTGCAATAATAGTGTTTTTGACTGACTACCTCATATATCTGTACCCCACACATACAATTATCTGCAAGGTCCCTCAGCCGAGCAGTGAATTTCAAACACAGATTCAACCACAAAGACCAGGTTTTTTTTTCCAATGCCTCGCAAAAGGCAGCTATTGGTAGATGGTAAAAAAAGCATGGTGAAGTTATTAATTACACTTTGGATGGTGTATCAATACACCCAGCCACTACAAAGATACAGGCATCCTTCCTAACTCAGTTGCCGGAGAGGAAGGAAACCGCTCAGGGATTTTTGCCATGAGGCCAATGGTGACTTTAAAACAGTTACATAGTTTAATGGCTGTGATAGCTGAGAAAACTGATCAACAACATTGTAGTTACTCCACAATACTAACCTAATTGACAGACTGAAAAGAAGGAAGCCTGTACAGAATACAAATATTCAAAAACATGAATCCTGTTTGCAAAAAGGCACTAAAGTAATACTGCAAAAAATGTTTGGGGCAAACCCAATACAACACATTACCGAGTACCGCTATTTTCAAGCATAGTGGTGGCTGCATCTTGTTGTGGGTATGCTTGTATTCGTTAATGACTGGGGAGTTTTTCAGGATAAAAAAGAAACGGAATGGAGCAAAGCACAAGCAAAAACCTAGAGGAAAACCTGGTTCAGTCTAAAACACAAGGCTAAATCTACACTGGAGTTGCTTACCGAGAAGGCAGTGAATGTTCCTGAGTGGCCGAGTTACAGTTTTGACTTAAATCTACTTGAAAATCTATGGCAAGACTTGAAAATGATTGTCTAGCAATGATAAGCAACCAATTTGACAGAGCTTGAAGAATTTTGAAAATAATAAATGGGCAAATACTGTACAATCCAGGTGTGCAAAGCTGTTAAGAGACTTACCCAGAAAGACTCACAGCTGTAATCGCTGCAAAAGGTGATTCTAACATGTATTGACTCAGGGGTGTGAATACTTATGCAAATTGGATATCTATGTGTTTCATTTTCAATACATTTGAAAACATTTCTAAAAACATGTTTTCACTTTGTCATTATGGGTTATTGTGTGTAGATTGGTGAGAAAAAAGATATATTTTAATTCATGTGGAATATGTGGAATAAGCCGAGGGGTATTAATACTTTCTGAAGGCACTGTATGTTCTCAAAATAGGAACAATAGCTACCATTCTTGATTACTTGATAATCAAATACATCAAATACAATAATCATCTGCTTAGAGGTCAGTAACTGTGGCCGTGTTCTGACCTGTTCTCCTCAGGGATGTGCAGGGCCATCATGGTAAGAGGCTCTCTACACTCCACCATCCAGCCATGCCTCTCATTCACACGGCCCGTCTCTGGGGACAGGAAGTGGTTGGGCATACGGCTCCAGATGACTGGGGTCAGCATCTGGACATCCAGCCTGGGAGGACACTGGGGGACCGGGTTCTTACGCTCACTGCGGAACATGGCTGCCGAGATGGGCATGATGTTCTGCGGTGAGAGGAGAGAACAAACATTGACTTTGGAGAGTAGAAGGGTGGTCGCTGAAGTGAAATGATCGGCTGAGCGAGAGAATTAAAGGAAAAACCACATCCATAACAATGTAAAAGCAGACAGTAATGAGTTAACACTGTAAAAGCAGACAGTGACAAGTGTACTTGAGTGGTTCTCTGTGAGTCTGACCTTGAGCTTGCCCAGCTCCACTTGCAGCATGTTCTGACTGGAGGGCAGAACAAAGACAGCTGGGAACAGTTTAGTGTTGGGCTCCACCTGGAACAAACCACTACAGTGTCACATATGAAGCCCATAGTTTGTACCTTGCCCAATAAGTCCATTAACCATTGACATGCTTCTGAGTAAATAAATACATGTTTACACTGTGAATGCAGCATCTCACCTGGTAGAAGGTGTTGATCTCTTTCCCGTTGGCTGTGAAAGTCATGAGGCCTGTGTCCAGGTCAATAAGGCAGCCAATTACAAAGTCCTCCTGACTGACACGGGTTTGCTGGGAGCTGCTGAACTCCCCCCCCCACACCATGTAGCAGTTACTGCGCTTCATACTGAGGGAGACAGGAGAGAGAAAATAGTATGCTAAGATATTATCTGTGTGAACACTGTGTGTGTATGTGTGTGTGTGTGTCTCACCTGTCATGGATGTTGCCTTTGTCATCTCCCACGGTGACAGTGACATTTCTGACTTTGCTGAGGTCAAAGTGCAGGTCATACTGGTGGTAGTCAGGGGTGATCCAGCCCACCCACACACCGCTGGGTTCTTGTCCCGCAATCACTCGCACTGAATAATAGTACTGCACACAGAGGAAATGGACAGAAAACGTTATTAACAATCTCTCCAGCCAAAAATGTCCTGGTGAAGAGAAGTGATTTTCCAATCAGAGAGTAAGGTTTAGACACTAGGGTCTGAAGAGGTCATTTGTAAAAGGACGTACTGTGGTGGTGTTGAGGATGATGTCGTCGTCATCTCTGTCATCTGGGACCACTTCCTCCATCAGGCGGGGCATGGTGGGAACAACAGGGGGCGGAGTGAAAGCTGCCTTCTTGGCCTTGAACAGGAACCTGAGGGGTACACAAACAATGTGTATTAGGGCCTCCTATTCAATATGACTGAGAAAACATTATGATTACAGTTAAACTGAAATTCCAATTTAATACTGTAAAAAGGGGCATCTGTGTTCAACGATTTCTCAATTAACTGAAAAGGAGAAGCTATTTATATCAAAAGTTTTTTCAATTTTTTACTTGTAAAATTCAAATCGATTCCTAAATTGCCTTCAATTCAAATTGACCCCAACCCTGGTTTTCAGCATTCACTTTCTACTTTTTTCCAACAGAGTTGATGTAGTCTGTCCAAAGCCTATTGTCTTTCTCTTTAGCTATCTGACCCCTACTCAGTACTCACCCCTTCTTCTTGCTCTTCTCTGTAGAGGCATCTTTCACATTCTCTCCTCCTTCGATGACAGGGATCTCCTTAGGCACAGAGGGTTCCTTCTTCTCCTCCTCCTTCTCTGTGCGGCTGGCAGACTTCTTCAGCACCTCAAAGTCAGAGTCGGGGTCAACCTCCAGAACCTCGTCCTCAGGGATGGTCAGAGCTCGGGTGAGGGGGGTGGTCCCGGCCATAACCTTAAAGGTCTCGTGGAACTCCACGGGCATGCTGAGCCTCAGGAACAGCAGGTCTGTATTGGCGTTCTGAGAGCCAAAGGTCTTATGGGTCAGCTTCAGACAGGGAGCACTGTCCACAGTCCCATCCACACGGGTCACCTACACAGGGGACATGGGAGGGTGGAAATCTAAGAGAAACATTACTTTGACATTTGTCAATTTATGATCATGTAATATGGGAACAAAAGCCATTTCTAGGCATAACGAGCCACTGTTACTGAACAAGATGTGCAGTACCTCAACGTGAGGGTGTTCTGTAGGTACAGCGATGAACTGGGGCAGGCTCTTGCTGAACCACATGGTGATGTCTCTCTTCATGTTGATGGCGAAGGGCTCAAAGCCCTCCTGCAGGCCACAGATGGTGAAGTAGCGAAGGCTGCTGACGTTCTGGCCCAGGTTGAGCCGGCCAACCTGAGACAGGCCCAGACTACACACAGGAATGAAGCCTGGAGACAGACAGACACAGTTTAATAAATAGCATAGATCTAAATCAGTGAATCATACTGAATCATAATATCCACCTCCTGTACAGCAGACCCAACCTACAAGGATTTACCTCCCAAGCCGCAGCCGTCACTCACCATCTCCTATGTCTATGTCCTTGAAGGCCATCTCAGAGCCAGAGTCGCTGATCAGCATCTCTCCGTTCAGGGTGAAGAAGATGTTCTGCTCTACCAGGTCGATCATACAGCCCACCACGTCACCTGGCAACCAGCTACGACCAAACGGCTCATTGCCCACATGCCAACGCTGAGCCTAAAAAAGAAAAGTCAAAGTTAAAATAGGATACATTAGTAAATGTTTTCCCTGAAACAGACAGAGAACAGAGCATTTATCACCGACCATACCTTGAAACCATTGAAGACATAGGCGAGCTCATCCGCCCCCAGCTCTGTGTCAGCGCGGACACTGGGTCTGGCCCAACCCACTCTCATCTCCCCCACAGTCACAGCCTCAAACTCAAAGTACCACTTCCCCTGGGTCACTGCGTAAGACTTCTCAGCCCGGAACACACGGATCTTATTTCCACGGGAATGACCTTCCCCATTACCACCTAGCACAAACAGAGATACAGGTGACATTATTAAGATGTTATATATATAGCAGTCAGGTACATCATTACTGGTACCCTTGATAAATATGAGCAAAAAATACTGTATAAAATAAATAATATACAAATACTGAGCTAAATTGTACGCTCCAAAAATATCGTGGATATCGTTCATCTGAGCTTATGGACTGCCCTCTTCAATTCAAACCACAAGTTTTCAATGGTCAGTATTTGTTTTATACAGTCTTTTTTGCTCATGTTTATCAAGGGTGCAAATAATTTTGGACCTGACTCTCTCTCTGTGTGGTGTGTGGTGTGTGGTGTGTGTGTGTGTGTTTATATGTATATATACAAAACCAGTCAAAAGTTTGGACACACCTACTCATTCCAGGGTTTTTCTTTATTTTTACTATTTTCTACATTGTACAATAATAGTGAAGACATCAAAACAATGAAATAACACATATGGAATCATGTAGTAACCAAAAAAGTGTTAAACAAATCAAAATATATGTTATATTTGCGATTCTTCAAAGTAGCCACCCTTTGCCTTGATGAAAGCTTTGAACACTCTTGGCATTCTCTCAACCAGCTTCACCTGGAATGCATTTCAATTAACAGGTGTGCCTTGTTAAAAGTGACAAGGTAGGGTTGGTATACAGAAGATAGCCCTATTTGGTAAACGACCAAGTCCATATTATGGCAAGAACAGCTCACATAAGCAAAGAGAAACAACAGTCCATCATTACTTTAAAGACATGAAAGTCAGTCAATCCGGAAAATTTCAAGAATTTGAACGTTTCTTCAAGTGCAGTCGCAAAAACCATCAAGCGCTATGATGAAACTGGCTCTCATGAGGACCGCCACAGGAAAGGAAGACCCAGAGTTGCCTCTGCTGCAGAGGATAAGTTCATTAGAGCAGACTGTTCATAGGAGACTGTGTGAGTTAGGCCTTCATGGTCGAATTGCTGCAAAGAAACCACTACTAAAGGACACCAATAAGAAGAAGAGACTTGCTTGGGCCAAGAAACACGAGCAATGGACATTAGACTGGTGGAAATCTGTCCTTTGGTCTGTAGTCCAAATTTGAGATTTTTGGTTCCAACTGCCGTGTCTTTGTGAGACGCAGAGTAGGTGAACGGATGATCGCCGCATGTGTGGTTCCCACCGTGAAGCATGGAGGAGGAGTGATGGTGTGGGGGTGCTTTGCTGGTGACACTGTCAGTGATTTATTTAGAATTCAAGGCACACTTAACCAGCATGTTTACCACAGCATTCTGCAGCGATACACCACCCCCTTTGGTTTGCACTTAGTGGGACTATCATTTGTTTTTCAACAGGACAATGACCCAACACACCTCCAGGCTATGAAATGGCTATTTGACCAAGAAGGAGAGTGATGGAGTGCTGCATCAGATGACCTGGCCTCCACAATCACCCGACCTCAACCCAATTGAGATGGTTTGGGATGAGTTGGACCGCAGAGTGAAGGAAAAGCAGCCAACAAGTGCTCAGCATATGTAGGAACTCCTTCAAGACGGTTAGAAAAGCATTCCAGGTGAAGCTGGTTGAGAGAATGCAAAGAGTGTGCAAAGCCGTCATCAAGGCAAAGGATGGCTACTTTGAAGAATCTAAATATATTTTGATTTGTTTAACACTTTTTTGGTTACTACATGATTCTATATGTGTTATTTCACAGTTTTGATGTCTTCACTATTATTCTACAATGTAGAAAATAGTAAAAATAAAGAAAAACCCTTGAATGAGTAGGTGTGTCCAAACTTTTGACTGGTACTGTATATCTATATATATATAGTGAGGGGAAAAAGTATTTGATCCCCTGCTGATTTTGTACGTTTGCCCACTGACAAAGACATGATCAGTCTATAATTTTAAAGGTAGGTTTATTTGAACAGTGAGAGACAGAATAACAACAAAATAATCCAGAAAAACGCATGTCAAAAATTTTATAAATTGATTTGCATTTTAATGAGGGAAATAAGTATTTGACCTCTCTGCAAAACATGACTTAGTACTTGGTGGCAAAACCCTTGTTGGCAATGACAGAGGTCAGACGTTTCTCGTAGTTGGCCACCAGGTTTGCACACATCTCAGGAGGGATTTTGTTCTACTCCTCATCTCCAAGTCATTAAGGTTTCGAGGCTGACGTTTGGCAACTCGAACCTTCAGCTCCCTCCACAGATTTTCTATGGGATTAAGGTCTGGAGACTGGCTAGGCCACTCCAGGACCTTAATGTGCTTCTTCTTGAGTCACTCCTTTGTTGCCTTGGCCGTGTGTTTTGGATCATTGTCATGCTGGAATACCCATCCACGACCCATTTCTAATGCCCTGGCTGAGGGAAGTAGGTTCTCACCCAAGATTTGACAGTACATGGCCCCGTCCATCGTCCCTTTGATGCGGTGAAGTTGTCCTGTCCCCTTAGCAGAAAAACACCCCCAAAGCATAATGTTTCCACCTCCATGTTTGATGGTGGGGATGGTGTTCTTGGGGTCATAGGCAGCATTCCTCCTCCTCCAAACACAGCGAGTTGAGTTGATGCCAAAGAGCTCGATTTTGGTCTCATCTGACCACAACACTTTCACCCAGTTCTCCTCTGAATCATTCAGATGTTCATTGGCAAACTTCAGACGGCCCTGTATATGTGCTTTCTTGAGCAGGGGGACCTTGCGGGCGCTGCAGGATTTCAGTCCTTCACGGCGTAGTGTGTTACCAATTGTTTTCTTGGTGACGATGGTCCCAGCTGCCTTGAGATCATTGACAAGATCCTCCTGTGTAGTTCTGGGCTGATTCCTCACTGTTCTCATGATCATTGCAACTCCACGAGGTGAGATCTTGCATGGAGCCCCAGGCCGAGGGAGATTGACAGTTATTTTGTGTTTCTTCCATTTGCGAATAATCGCACCAACTGTTGTCACCTTCTCAACAAGCTGCTTGGCGATGGTCTTGTAGCCCATTCCAGCCTTGTGAAGGTCTACAATCTTGTCCCTGACATCCTTGGAGAGCTCTTTGGTCTTGGCCATGGTGGAGAGTTTGGAATCTGATTGATTGATTGCTTCTGTGGACAGGTGTCTTTTATACAGGTAACAAGCTGAGATTAGGAGCACTCCCTTTAAGAGTGTGCTCCTAATCTCAGCTCGTTACCTGTATAAAAGACACCTGGGAACCAGAAATCTTTCTGATTGAGAGGGGGTCAAATACTTATTTCCCTCATTAAAATGCAAATCAATTTATAAAAATTTTGACATGCGTTTTTCTGGATTTTGTTGTTGTTATTCTGTCTCTCACTGTTCAAATAAACCTACCATTAAAATTATAGACTGATCATTTCTTTGTCAGTGGGCAAACGTACAAAATCAGCAGGGGATCAAATACTTTTTTCCCTCACTGTATGTATGTATATATATATATACAGTGGGGAGAACAAGTATTTGATACACTGCCGATTTTGCAGGTTTTCCTACTTACAAAGCGTGTAGAGGTCTGTAATTTTTATTATAGGTACACTTCAACTGTGAGAGACGGAATCTAAAACAAAAATCCAGAAAATCACATTGTATGATTTTTAAGTAATTAATTTGCATTTTATTGCATGACATAAGTATTTGATACTTCAGAAAAGCAGAACTTAATATTTGGTACAGAAACCTTTGTTTGCAATTACAGAGATCAAACGTTTCCTGTACGTCTTGACCAGGTTTGCACACACTGCAGCAGGGATTTTGGCCCACTCCTCCATACAGACCTTCTCCAGATCCTTCAGGTTTCGGGGCTGTCGCTGGGCAATACTGACTTTCAGCTCTCTCCAAAGATGTTCTATTGGGTTCAGGTCTGAAGACTGGCTAGGCCACTCCAGGACCTTGAGATGCTTCTTACGGAGCCACTCCTTAGTTGCCCTGGTTGTGTGTTTCGGGTCGTTGTCATGCTGGAAGACCCAGCCACGACCCATCTTCAATGCCCTACCTGAGGGAAGGAGGTTGTTGGCCAAGATTTCACGATACATGGCCCCATCCATCCTCCCCTCAATACAGTGCAGTCGTCCTGTCCCCTTTGCAGAAAAGCATCCCCAAAGAACGATGTTTCCACCTCCAGGCTTCACGGTTGGGATGGTGTTCTTGGGGTTGTACTCATCCTTCTTCTTCCTCCAAACACGGCGAGTGGAGTTTAGACCAGAAAGCTCTATTTTTGTCTCATCAGACCACATGACCTTCTCCCATTCCTCCTCTGGATCATCCAGATGGTCATTGGCAAACTTCAGACGGGCCTGGACATGCGCTGGCTTGAGCAGGGGGACCTTGCGTGCGCTGCAGGATTTTAATCCATGACGGCTTAGTGTGTTACTAATGGTTTTCTTTGAGACTGTGGTCCCAGCTCTCTTCAGGTCATTGACCAGGTCCTGCCGTGTAGTTCTGGGCTGATCCCTCACCTTCCTCATGATCATTGATGCCCCACGAGGTGAGATCTTGCATGGAGCCCCAGACCGAGGGTGATTGACCGTCATCTTGAACTTCTTCTATTTTCGAATAATTGCGCCAGCAGTTGTTGCCTTCTCACCAAGCTGCTTGCCTATTGTCCTGTAGCCCATCCCAGCCTTGTGCAGGTCTACAATTTTATCCCTGATGTCCTTACACAGCTCTCTGGTCTTGGCCATTGTGGAGAGGTTGGAGTCTGTTTGATTGAGTGTGTGGACAGGTGTCTTTTATACAGGTAACGAGTTCAAACAGGTGCAGTTAATACAGGTAATGAGTGGAGAACAGTAGGGCTTCTTAAAGAAAAACTAACAGGTCTGTGAGAGCCGGAATTCTTACTGGTTGGTAGGTGATCAAATACTTATGTCATGCAATAAAATGCAAATTAATTACTTAAAAATCATACAATGTGATTTTCTTGATTTTTGTTTTTGATTCCGTCTCTCACAGTTGAAGTGTACATATGAAAAAAATTACAGACCTCTACATGCTTTGTAAGTAGGAAAACCTGCAAAATCGGCAGTGTATCAAATACTTGTTCTCCCCACTGTATATATATATACATATATATACACACACACAGTATATCTAGCTGTATTTAACAGGACAAGTAACTAGTTCATTACAGTATTGAAATATTAACAACTTGGCAGACAGACAGACTCACTGCTCTCCTGGTCAGGTGGCTCAATGTTGTAACCATAGCCGATGAGAGTGCGGACAGCTGCACAGACAGTGTCTCTGTTGGTCTTCTTGGTCTTTTCGTCCAGCAGGTTGTATGGCACCAGGCGCGGGTTGCGTTTGTTCATAATGTCCTGAACAAGACTTGAAATCAACTCAAACAATTGTGGGAGTCATATAATTATTCTGTAAGTCATGGACTTACATCTTGATAGAGTGATACTGTATTAGCTCCAAAAAAACATTATTATTCTATTTGTCTTGAACAGTTACATAAATGTTGGCTCTGAAAACATCACAACTACAACGACTCATGAGTCAGGTATGAATAATGCTTCACCTAGAGTTCAACTTTTATAAAGTACTATATCTGCATCACTTTAGGGGAGCTTGTTGTGTGCCCACCTCTACGCCTACGAGTGCATTAAAACCCACCCCACAAAAACACAATTGATATTCAATAGTCATTGTCTGAAATGACTTGAGCTACAGTATTATCACAGGTTTGGCCTTACTTGCTGTGTGCGAGTCTCCTGAAAGAACCAAGAACAGACAGAGAGGAAAAGCTACCTGTACAATGCTGTAGGTCCATCCCTGGTGAACCCGGTCACGAGCCCACACATTGTGTCCATTTTCTGACAGTCTCTCCACTAGGTTGGTCTGGTTGGGTGTCAGCTTGACGTGGTTGAGGTCCAGAGGGGCAGGCTTGTATCCACTACTCATCATATATCTAATGGAACAAACGGGATGTTATGATTACACTAGTAACTGAGAAGTCATTATGACTATTCTACTAATCTCACTAAGTGAACAGGCCTTTACTTAAATGACAATCCAACGTTTCACAATGCTTATCTCAGATAATGTAAAACAATACATTTTCAACCATGTAAGTGAATATCAGAGAATAATGACGTCATGTCTAAATAAGTCTGAGATCACAATCTTGAGCTATCACTCACGTTTTGGGCATCTTGATGTTCTTCAGGTTCTCCTCTGCTTTCTCATCTCCCATGCCCACATGACAGCCCAGCGCCAGTAGAGTCCTTTGAGAAACAGAAGGAGAGGTAGTGAATACCTAGCACACACAGACACACTAGGCTGAGAGGGCATGTCCAAGACCTTGAGAGGGCGTGTCCAAGACCTTGACTCACTTGAGTGTTTCTCCTGACATGGCAAGGTTGTAATTCTTCTCTGGCTCTGGCAGGCTCTGGAAATCTACCAGGCAAGGGTGCAGTTTCTTGTTGTCATCTCGGAACTTGAGTAGAGGAAACAATCAAGATGTTTGCCAGATTGGATTAAATAGATATCACTCAGTCATGTAAGCAGTGTATGGGAAGCATTTACATTACATTTTAGTCATTTAGCAGACGCTCTTATCCAGAGCGACTTACAGTTAGTGAGTGCATACATTTTTTTTGGTATTATATTTTTTTTTCATACTGGCCCCCCCGTGGGAATCAAACCCACAACCCTGGCGTTGCAAACGCCATGCTCTACCAACTGAGCTACATCCCTGCCGGCCATTCCCTCCCCTACCCTGGACGACGCTGGGCCAATTGTGTGCCGCCCCATGGGTCTCCCGGTCGCGGCCGGCTACGACAGAGCACTCACCGACCCGTAGGTCCATCCTTGTTCAATGCGAGTGGCGGCCCATAGCTCATGGCTGTTTTCTGCCAGCTTCTCCCGAATGCGCTCCAAGTGAGGCGGAAGTACAATCTGAAAGGACAACACAGTGAATGGAGGCAAGAGAGAAGAGAATGAGACACGCACAGATCATTCAAGGGTTTTACCTGTACTGTGTCCACAGGGCAGGGGGTAAAGGCTGTGTGCGAGAGGGACTGTGTGGGCCCCAACAGGTTACGGACACCATTGAAATCATGCTTATACTCCTTGATGGGCTCAATACGCAAACGGTCCTTGGGCAGCACAGCCTCATAGCACGGGGCATAGCCTGGCGGTGGGAGGAATTTAAAGTCCCCATGACGCCCTCCCAGGAGAAAACGAACCCTTGACGTTTGCGAGAAGAAGAACATGAACAGTGATCACTCATTAGACATCCTCTGTGACAGATTTTCTTAAGACTCATTCTAAAAACAGCAGCTCTATAAGCCCAATCAGTGGTTCTCACTTGACGCCTGCAGAAAAGCTGACAACAGGGAAGAAGAGGCCGTCCAGGTTGAAGTTCTCAAACATGCCTTGGACAGGGTGCCCGTTGATACGGAACGAGATACTGGGCACGCTCAGATCCAGGCAGCAGCTGACCACATCGTCTGCCGCTAGGATGTGCATGTTGGGGGAGGCAACATGACGGAGGACTCGTCCTGTTGAGACACACAGATCAATAAGATCTCAACCACTAATAGAATGATGCATTCTAAAGCTAGGCCCTGCTCACTGTACCTGACCACAGGTGGAGTCCATCAAAGGCATATGAGTAAAGGTCGTCGCCAACCCCGTTGCCGCCCCAGCCCTCACCACCCCCAGGGTAGGGGCTGTAGCCCTCGGTCAGAGCCCAGCCCACACGCAGGTGGAAGGCCTGGGCCGTCAGGAAGGGCTCCACATAGTCCACCATCACCTCAAAATACCACTTCTTATACTGTGTGGATCCCTCACAGGTTCCAAGGAAGATGTTGGGTCTCACACTGAGATAAAACATAGTTAATGGTTTGAAGGAAAAAACTAATTGCAGTGGTTGGATTTTCACAAACGATATATAGTATGACCAGATGTCTATATACCTGGTGACATAATTGATGATGTTGGACTGCAGGAGGAGGTCGCGACCCGGAAGCAGATTCTCTGTGATGAGATTCTGATTGGATCTTACAGCCACACCATTACACACACACAAAGAGCAGAGCACATCCAACACCTAGGCAAGGGAAAGGTATTCTAAAATCAGCTTTCAAATCATAAGGAGATGGACCGTCAACAAGATAACATACGAACACTTCTCTGGATAAGCACAGGCCTAAATAATAAAAATAAACATACAAATAATAAACTTCAATGACCTGCACACATATTCACTGACCTTGTGATTGCGTCCATGCTTATCCAGTAGAGAAATTATAGATTTAATGTGGTTCTCCTGGATGATGTTCAGGACCTCTGGACTCTCAATCAGAACGCAGTACAGCACCTCCAGGATGCCTGTGGTGAGAGTAATACGCAATGAAACACAGAGGACACTCCCATAACACATTCAAGTCCATGTGATTCAGTGCTGGAAGGTGACTGAGTGTGTAGTGGGCCTTAACCTGAGGAGGCCTCTAGACGGTCCAGTTTGCTGACCAGCCAATCCAGGTTATCACAGAACAAAGCACAGTTGGCCCGGTTACCTCTGATGAGAGAGGCTTCACAGAAAGAGAATGAGAGATCAGAGCTAGGTCATGTTCAGATTGAAGGGCATGTTGCCACAGTAACCACAGCAATGCAGAAACATGATGTACCTTGGATCCTGAAATAATGGGCTAAATAGAAGATCACATACCCAGCAGCTCATACAGGAGATTAACGATTTCCTTCCAAGACTCGGCAGCCTCCTCCCCTGCAAACTCGGAGAAGTGGGCCGCCGTGTTGTAGACATTGAGACGGTCAATACAGTCCAGCACCAGAGTGATCATGCCCTGTGTGGAATGACACAGAAAACGTCGGAACACTAAAGGGAGGAGGAGTGCGGGAAAAATATTTTGAAAGTACAGTATATCTTCTTTATCTGTTGCGTGTGAGCATTGACCTCCTCTTGGAAGAGGTTCTGTCGGTTCTTGAGGGAGCGTAGTTTGGTCTGTTTCTCCTCGTGCTCCAGCTCCTCCTCAGGGGGCCGGAAGTAGAAGATGAGGTCCTGCAGGGAGAGGGCCACGGAGTCCATGGGCAGAGACAGGGGGCCTGAAGAAGACTTGTTCTTCCCACTCAGAGAGTCCAGCGCTCTGGAGGCACAGAGAACAGGGGAAAACATTTCACTGCACTGACCATGAGGTCAAACATTAAACCAAGGCGATCTGCCCCTCCTGAAGGATAACAGTAAATCAAAGGGGTCATAGAAAACGCATTGGGAGTGGAGAGGGGCCATACTTAATGAACTGTGTGAAGAGGCCTGCTGTGTTGTAGATCATACGAGCAGCCTGGAACTCCTCCGTCTGGGAGCGGGCCACGGTCAGGGCATCGTCCATGTGGCCCTCCTTATGAAGGATGGCCTGAGAGAGACACAAGTGCATTGACAACATGGATAAACACCAGCTGCACTCCAGGGGAAAGCTGACTGAGTATTTCAAAAGCCAAAACTAAATGCAATCACAGTAAATCACTACATTATGGGGTCTTTATTATCTCTCAGCATTTCCCTGTGTTGTTGTTCTTCCTGTCCATTAGCTCAGGGGGTTTTTAGGCACCTTGCCACACGATTTCTCCATACCTTCCTCTTAAGAGGTCCCAGGCGGGCGGACTTGGCATCGACAGAGGCGTACGTAAGCCAGAGGCCAGTGGAGACGTGCTGCACAAAACACATGGACTCCCCATACTTGATCTCTGGTGTGCCCATGCCCTCCACATCTCGTTTCTGAGCCACCTCGATCTTTTCCTGCAGGTTGGAACATTGAACAACAAGGAGAAAGAATGACACCATCAACAGTTGTAGATATGGAGGGAAGATATGAATGCTGCTTATGTTCAATTCTATGAAAAGGACTGTGTGCGTTTTCACACTGCTCTTTATATTAACAGAGTGCCGTTTGTGACGACCCTGACCTTGGAGATTCTGAAGCAGAAGGCGGACATCTTGGCGTTGGCTTTTTCAGGGTCCACCACCAGCAGTCCTTTCTCTTCATCCAGGCAGAGGTAGCGACCTGTGGTTATGTGACGCACTCGGAACGACTGGCCCCATTTCATGTGACCTCCACTCCATCTACACAGAGCCATAAGTACAACCCCAATGAGAGAACTCATGTAAGACAATTGTAATGGTTTTTGTTCCATAAAGCTGATGGACAGAAGAGCATCCACTCACCCAATCCGGAGGGGTTCTAGTCTCCATAGTGACCGGGCATGGCTACAGACAGCACCGCCCTCATAATGAGCAATTCTGAAAACAGAGATGGGCTGTTAGTGACAGGTGGTGTTTATGCGGTGTCAGATTACATTTCTGATTAACCTTCCTAAATTCTCCCATGTCACCCCGCTCCTCCGCACACTTCACTGGCTTCCAGTCGAAGCTCACATCCACTACAAGACCTTAGTACTTGCCTACGGAACAGCAAGAGGAACTGCCCTTCCCTACATTCAGGCTATGCTCAAACCCTACAACCCAACCCGAGTACTCCGCTCTGCCACCTCTCGTCTCTTGGCCCTTCCACCCACTACGGGAGGGCAGCTCCCGCTCAGCCCAGTCAAAACTAATCTCTGTCCTGGCACCCCAATCGTGGAACCAGCTTCCCACTGAAGCTAGGACAGCAGAGTCCCTGCCCATCTTCTGAAAACATCTGAAACCCTACCTCTTCCAAGAGTATCTAAATAATCCCCCCCACACATAAAAAAAGCATTTTGTACACTAACACTTTCCCCCCTACTAGCACTGCCTTTGCTGATAGCTACTTTATTGAGGAAATGTTTACTTTCTATGACTGACATATGTGGTTGTCCCACCTAGCTATCTTACATCTTAAGATGTAAATGTAGAATAGTTCAACAGTTTTCATCACCTGCGCTGGTCGTCTCCTTGTTCGGCAGCAGGGATAGCCAAGCACTCGTCCATGTGACCATGGAACAGTCTAAGAACATAGCCTCCAGTCAGAAAGCCTGAGGGGGGTAATGTTACATTGGCAATGAGAGAAAGACATGGCAGTCCAGTGTAGTGTTTCTAGATAATTAGCTAAATGACTATGAAATAGAAAAACAAACATATACAAGACACCTTCAGCAAGTTCACAGCCAGACATCACAGGGCTCATGGTCCACAGGGTCTGCATGAAGGAGGCATCCACCATGAGGTCACCACTGGCGTAGGAGAGATGCTGGAGAGAGAGTGGGGGGGGGGGGGGGGGGGGAGTGAGAGAGTGAGAGAGAGAGAGAGAGAGAGAACATGTCAGCTCCATCCATAACCTGGGGTTGAAAGTCCATATGGCAGTGTGTCACCAACGCAGCTCACCAGGTATCTCTCAGAGGACACGCTGACCAGGATGAGGTCATCTCCCACCCTGACCTTCTCTCCCTCTGACCTCTGCTTGGACGCAGGGTGAATGGTCCACCAGCACGCCTCCCCTGTGGAGGAACACATGCATCACTCAACTAAGGAGCAATATGAACACTGTGCAGAAAAGATGTGGACATGCCACTGCTCTTCTCTATGGTAAAAGCCATACCTGTGGAATCTTCCTGTAAACCCACATCAAAGGCCAGTTTGTCTGTGAGTGACCTTGAGGTAGTCAAACAGCTGAGGTACTGCCGCACACAGAGAGTAAAAATTACACACCGAATCATGAAGCGCTCATTGAAAAGCAAACCTGTGTAATATTTGTTTTATTTTATTTTAACTGCAGCACAGTTACATGGGTTAGTGTGGGAGATTGTGTGGGTGTGGGAGATAGTGTGGGAGATAGTGTGGATGTGGGAGATAGTGTGGATGTGAGAGACTACTGGATGAGGTATAAGTAGAAAGCAGTGGATGATAGTGGGTTGGTAAAATGAGAAACATATGAGACTACACAGTGAGACAGAGAGGAGGCTGCTTACCATGCTGGAGTGAGTGTGTTTCAGTAGGATAGCATGGCCATACAGCAGGGTACGGTGGCCCCCTCCTTGAGATGACTGGGCAGAACAGAGGAGAGAGAGAGGTTCAAAAACCATCCAAAGAGAGTAGTGTATGATTCAACATTCAGCCTGCTAAGGTCAGGTACACAGGACTGTTAAAGACTAAGGAGGGAGACAGGAGTTGATCATCCTCCTCTTACCAAACTGGGAACAACATGGCAGGCAAAAGAGAACCTGTGTACTGAACGTATCTGGCTGAGAGGAGTCAGAGAGCCCACCACAGAGAACCAACACAACAACAAACATGTCCACATAGTGGCAATTCAAACCAGGGGTGAGTGGAAAGGGGAATTCACCAAGTTATAAAAAATAAATAAAACATCAAGTCAAATGAGTAACAATACCACAGCAAGTCAAATGTCACATTTTTTCCTGTCTGTAACTGGAAGGGAGGGAAAGTGACATTCAGACAACCAAACAATATTGTTACTTCAACATTTGTTATAATTAGTGGTTATTATTTCCACCGTCAACATTGTTATCATCGTGATTATTCCATGGGTAAGTGCAGAGTCAGAACACAGCGCAAGACTGACTTCTGGGTCAGATTTAGTGGACAATGTGTGAACCTGTGTGTGTGTGAGAGTCTGTGCGTACGTGTGTGCAGCTTGATATTCAAGATTACACTTTGCCCTATATTCCAGACTTTCTGAAGATTAAGATTAATTGGCTTGATGGTTTGGTCAAACCACAGAAACTCAGGGGACGACGTAATAGCATTGATTAAGAAACTGTAAAGGGATGGTATGGTACACATTCAATGAATGGGACTTATGTGACTAAGAGGAGTGAAAATGGGAGTATGGTGAAGGTTGTAGAGGAGACTTTCAGAGGGACAGGGTCACAGGGCAGGAAGAGCCCTGTTTCAAATGTCACCATCCAATACTAGGCCTGTGGTACATGATTCTGATGCTGGACATAGTGTAGAGATTATATTGCAACCAGAAGCCCTCAATGGCGGAGAGCTTCTTAGCTGCTCCTGTGCTGCTGACAGGAATCTTTCCTTGGGTGTCATTTGAAACGCCGCTCGGTATTTCAGCTATGACAACACTGAGCAAAGTGTGGAGTGAGGTAGTATGAGTGAGGGTAGAAGAAAGTGGTGCATCACTGTTGGAGACATTGGGTGAGAGGTGAGAGGACTCTCAGGGTAGACAAGGGGGGGAGAGGAGGGGAAAACTTTGGGGAAATGTGACAGGAAGGGAAACATGAACAGACATACCCATTTGTCCAAATCGACTGCCTATGGTTGGCAGGTGGGAGGTGAGGGGTGTGGGGTCAGAAAAGAGACAAAACGAAGTTAAGTTGCTAAATGAACAAGATACCTTGACATAATATTAATATTTCAAATACATCAGTGATGTGTCATTAGCACATAACTCTATTCACTACAACAGTACTTTTACAACTATGTGTAAATGACATTAGAGAGGATGTTCTCACTACCATATAAGAAAGCCATAACTCTATTTTGTGAAATTTTTTACCAATAGTATTGGTTCCCATATTATGGGAAAAACATGACATCTGTTGTATTCAGAAAGAACTAAGCTCACTGGACACTACACAAAGACCTACTCTATTTTCCAGCCAAAGAAAAACTATTTCCACATACTGTAGAAAACATTAAGAACACCTTCCTAATATTGAGTTGCACCCCCTTTTGCCCTCAGAACAGTCTCAATTCGTCTGGGCATGGACTCTACAAGATGTCAAAAGTGTTCCACAGGGATGCTGGCCCATGTTGACTCCAATGCTTCCCACAGTTGTGTCAAGTTGGCAGGATGTCCTTTTTGGTGGTGAACCATTCTTGATACAAATCTTTTGTCTTTCCCATTCACCCTCTGAACGGCAAACATACACAATCCATGTCTCAATTGTGTCAAGGCTTAAAAATCCTTCTTTAACCTGTCTCCTACCCTTCATCTACACTGATTGAAGTGGATTTAACACGTGACATCAATAAGGGATCATAGCTTTCACCTGGTCAATCTATGTCATGGAAACATCATGTTTTGTACACTCAGTATATACTGTATAATTGTTTAACATCAGATGTAAAAGAAGCTCCTTTAATCCCAACACACAGCAGAACCATCAGCCCCTCTTCTAGTCTCCTACCTCATTGAGCTCCATTGTGTTGGACAGCATCTCCTGTAAGGCTCGTACCGACAGGGACTGCTCCAGAATGAAGCAGCAGATCGCCAAATCAGGTGGCACATTCTACAACACAACACAGACATCCATCAGCAAAACCCAGCGAATGGCAACAACTAGAATATAGATGTAATCAGAGAGTATGGAACGTGGCTCTTTCTACCTGAGCATTGGAGGTGGTCTCCAGGAAGCAGAGGCGGTTCCCGAAGCCCTCACATGACAGACACAGTTTGATCTGTTCTTTCAGAATGGAGGCAGTGCATTGTAGCACAACCTGGTCATCCTACATAGAGAAAAAGTGGTCAGAGGTCAAAACCAGATGACATTAATCCAACCTTATCAAATAATCAGTAGTCAGCTGAGCTAGCCTATATCATAATTATTATTTAATAGTTTTACATTAAGATGTTTCATCACTTGTGTAATATTTGTTAAGTAGTATTTCATAAGCATATTTAACTTGCCATTCATAACCTTGATAGGCCCATATGACACTAATACTGGCCAGGGGTAGAGTTACAGCCAAAACACTTAAGTGTGGATGTGTAATGGTTGTAGTGGAAGACAAAATAGTAAAAGCGTGAATCTGATTCCTGTGCACCAAACAGGCATATTTTACATTACGGTACATAAGAGCAAGGCTGCAACCCTGACCAACATATGGTAACAATTGCAAGAGTGTAAATGTATATGGTATGTATAAGCTGGAAGTAGAGGCCTAAGCGTTGTTGTTCACTAGTTTACTCCAATTAGGGAAAGGGTGGTGGGGTTGGAAAGTAATAAAGGGAAATATTTTTTTTTAAAGGATATGTGTATGTATGTATGTATATAAATTATATGTATTTGCGAGAACAAAAAATATCTGGGGGATTGGAAGTGATGCAGACAATTCCATTGATGGAAGTTACAATCTACCTGCAATATTAAAGCTGATCTAACCCCCAATTATTATTATTTTTTCATATGAAAAAAATATATATATAAAATAATAAAAGATAACAATAGCAAGAACGGATACAGCCGAGTGATAAAGCATTCGTAACAGGGAGTCTAAACATAGTAGGTCAAAACGCAAACAAACAGCTGTCAGTAGACCCTCTCTAGTCAGCAGACCCTCTCTGGTCTTGAATCTCACATTCCTAATCTTCACTCCCACATCTTCTTTGTCATTCCTCTGTGCCTGGGCCTGCCCCTATCCTAACACTAACCTCCTTGGTACTCGGACTGTGGGTAAGCACCCGCTCCTCCCGGTCCTCTATTTCAGAACCCTGCACCTGCTGCTCACACATTCCCCTCAGTCGAGCAGTGGATATTTGAGAGCCAGCCAGCCTGGCATAATAATTTGTAATGCACTCACACAGAGAGCAGTGAGACAGACAGACCGGTGTCAAACTATTATTCTTAGGCTGACAGCTCAAGACACACTAAACCTGGCCAATGTTAACCATAGAAACCAGCCAAAAGTGGCCAAAGAAACATACTCCTTAGTCATGACAGAAGAACAGTGGACACTGATAAGCCATTGTAACAAACCTTTTATAAAGCCTACAGTCCTGTACAATTCAGTGAACTTTAGTTAATTTGTACTAGTACTACCACTGTCAACTATACCAAAACTATCAGAACACGATGCCATCACTCTAACCTGGCAAAGATAATACAAACAAAAGCACTTCATCATACTCAATGTGTAGGGTGAGTACAGTTCTCATAGGGACAGAAATAAACAGGTGCTCCAATGGCCCTGGCTATAAACCTGCTAATCCCAAGACTCTGTAAATATAGAACTCAGCAGAGTTCAAGATGAACAGCATCAACGCAAGTGACCTTTCTCACACCTCCACATTCAGCTGACCAACTCAAGATGGTTCACTTCTTTGGCGAGAGCATCATCTTCAACACACTGCTATAAACATAGCCATGGTATACTCACAGATATACACAAATGCATACATGAATACAGTAGATTTCTTTACATTACTTTATGTTCATAGTTTGTACTGTACTTCTACAATAAATGACATGTCAGCGGCTCTCCAATTAAACTCCTATAAGAATCTAACCGACTCAAGTAATGATCATGAGGGAATCACTAAACAGACTTAAAAGGCCCAGTGCAGTCAAACATGTGATTTGCCTGTGTTTAAAGATACACTGAGTTGTACAAAACGTTAGGAACACCTGCTCTTTCCATGACATAGGCTGACCAGGTGAATGCTATGATCCCTTATTGATGTCATGTGTTAAATCCACTTCAATCAGTATAGCTGAAGGGGAGGAGACAGGTTAAAGAAGGATTTGTAAGCCTTGAGACAATTGAGACATGGATTGTGTATGTGTGCCAGAGGGTGAATGGGCAAGACAAAAGATTTAAGTGCATTTGAACAGGGTATGGTAGTAGGTGCCAGGCACACCGGTTTGTGTCAAGAACTGCAACACTGCTGGGTTTTTCACTCTCAACAGTTTCCTGTGTGTATCAAGAATGGTCCACCACCCAAAGGACATCCAGCCAATTTGACACAACTGTGGGAAGCATTGGCGTCACCATTGGCCAGCATCCCTGTGGAACGCTTGAGACACCTCGTAGAGTCCATGCCCTGGCAAATTGAGGCTGTTCTGAGGGCAAAAGGGGGAGCAACTCAATATTAGGAAGGTGTCCCTAATGCTTTGTACACTCAGTATACACAGAGTATACAAAACAGAAGGAACACCTTCCTAATATTGAGTTGCCCCCCCCCCCCTTTGCAGTTCTTGACACTAACCGGTGCACCTGGCACCTACTACCATACCCCATTCAAAGGCACATACATTTTTTATCTAGTCCATTCACCCTCAATGGCACATACAACCCATGTCTCAATTGTCTCAAGGCTTAAAAATCCTTCTTTAACATGTCTCCTCCCCTTCATCTATACTGATTGAAGTGGATTTAACAAGTGACATCAATAAGGGATCATAGGTCAGTCTGTCATGGAAAGATTTGTATACTCTGTGTATATTTCCACTCTATGAGGTTGGAATACCTCCATACCTTCAGGCTCTGATCAGTCCCTACACCCAAACGAGGGCATTGCGTTCATCCACCTCTGGCCTGCTGGCTCCCCTACCTCTGCGGAAGCACAGTTCCCGCTCAGCCCAGTCAAAACTGTTCGCTGCTCTGGCACCCCAATGGTGGAACAAGCTCCCTCACGAAGCCAGGACAGCGGAGTCACTCACCACCTTCCGGAGACATTTGAAACCCCACCTCTTTAAGGAATACCTGGGATAGGATAAAGTAATCCCTTACCCCACCCCCCCCAAAAAAATATATATATTGTAAAGTGGTTATCCCACTGGCTATAAGGTGAATGCAACAATTTGTAAGTCGCTCTGGATAAGAGCATCTGCTAAATGACGTAAATGTAAATGTAATGTAAATTAATAATACTGTGAAATTGTGATAATGATAATAATGCCCTTTCAGTGTAAGAGCTGTTTGAAAAGACTGCCTGAAATTTCAGCCTGTTATGGTGGGATGGAGTTTTGGCCTGCCTGGTGATTAAATGAATAGACCAATAACATTTACATTTCAGTCATTTTGCAGACGTTCTTATCCAGAGCGACTTACAGTAGCAATTAGGGTTAAGTACCTTGCTCAAGGGTAGATTTTTTCACCTAGTCGGCTCAGGGATTCGAATCAGCAACCTTTCCGTCACTGGCTCAACACTCTTAACCACTAGGCTACCTGCCACCCCAAACGTATCAGCCAATAACAGCTAGTTTTCCATTTCCCCCTCCCCACTCAGACCACTCCCAGACAGTCCTAGAAAAATCATTGCTAGAGAAATTGCTCTTTATTAAGAAGCTATTTTTGTTTGTTTTCAATTAAAATGGGCAAAAAGAATAACAGTAAGGCACTTAATTGTTACCCAAAATAGATTTGATATTGATATGAAAACAGCTGCACTGGACCTTTAACAAAGCAGAGAGGCAATGGAGCAGGCATGATACAAATAAAGTGGTTGTGTTCTGTGGTGATTAATAGCTCCACGAATACACCCAACATCCCATCTCTGCATGGCATCACTCAGGCTTGACACAGCAATACATGTTATATAAAAGCCTTTGAAATATGATTTCGCCTCACTCACGTCAGTATTTGAGTCCCTACTGAGGAAAAGAGCACTGCATAAAAACTACACCAAAACAGAGAGCCCGTTTCAGAAAGGCATGTTGCATGCCATGTTCTATGTCAATGTCTTGTTGTGATTGTACAGTCAATGTAGCATACAGGTAGTCTTTGAGAGAGATATGGTCACTTTGAAAATAATGTTGCGTACAGTATCTAACACAGTATGCCAATGCCAGTTCCATTAAATATCAGTGCTTAGAGTTGGTACATTTCTTTTGTTTCACTCTAATTACTGTACAGGTGAAGACTGAATTCCATCTAAGAACAGGTCATAAAACACCATTAGGGAAATGTGTCGAACACAATACCTCTTCAACATTCAGAAGATGAACAGTGTGGAAATCAGCATCTTTAGCATGCTGGTCTCGATGGTGTCAAAATGTGCAGTAGTCAGTCACTAAATTGCTGTGAAGATTTGCCTTTTCTTGACTGGGCCAAATGATCTGATGCACCAACGCAACCTACCACTCCTTTCCATCATACTGCCATCTCATGACCTGATGTGTCAGTAAACCCATATTACTGCACCTAAAAGTTAAAACCAATATGATAATCAAGTCGTTCTTCAAAATCTGATTTCACATTCCATTACAAGAATCAACCCAATTCGTATGCATCTTTTGTTCATCATTCTTAGTTTCTTGTATCACTACACTCGTTTTCATGCATTTCTATTAGCCAGCGTCAGCTGTTACTTGGCATCCAGCAAGCTGCCCAACTACCAAACAGCAACATATCAAGCTCCTCTGCTATATAAATAGATAACAATACAGACAAACCCAGCACCTGTCCATGTCAATCTGGTCTTTCCAAAGTCAAAGGGAAGCCATTAACAAAACGTATGAAAGTTAATACATTGGACAACAAGTTATACTTATTGTAGCTATACTGCAGCATGGTTTCTCTCATAGCCTTTATCAGTTACAATCAAAACGAATAGAACTAAAAGAATCGAGCATCACTCACCGTACGTAAGAACTGAATCTCCTCCTCTCCATCTCCTCCTTCTGCCATCCTCTCAGTTTATTACTGATCACTCCTTGAGAGAGATGGTAAAATGCCTCTCTATTCTCCCTGGTTGTTCCGCACCCAGCCTTGCTGTCTCTCTCCCACCTCTTTCCTCTCACTCCCAGCGTCTGTATGCGTGTGGGCGAACTGAAGGACAATGTGGGTCCAGTGGCTCTGGCTGTGTTATGAGACAGACAGAGTGACAGTTAACTCCTGCTCAGTGCAACAGGGAAAGGGAAAAGTGGGTGGAGCAAACTGTAAAACATTGTGCCACCTTTACAACACACATATTTATGTTTAAACTGTACAGTTAGCCAGAAGTCCTATAGGATTGTTGTACCATATTTACAAATGTACTGGTAAACATGTGTCAATAAGATTTGACATATCTACAATATGTGTCAATGACCAAGCCATACCCAAAACACTTGCAGTGTTGTTGCATCAGTCCCAAAGGGATTCCATTAGTGAGGTCTGCAACAGGTTTGTGAATACAGACAGATTTTTTAAACCTTGGTACTTACTAGGTCAGAAAAATGACATCAACCTCTAAACAATCAGGAAAACACCTCTAATTTAACTAAGAGGGATAGACTAATCTGATATAAATTAATAAATCAAAGAATTAAAATAAATAATTTTATTCAAACTGAAATACATCAAATTACACAAATGATAAATAGTCAGATATATGTAAAATGCAACTTGACACAATAATAAAAACACAGCAGAGACTATAATAAATCAACCACATGAAAACACCATAAAGGGGCAATCAGCAGTTGCTACATAATATAATTTACTTGATATGATCATTATATTTTCCCATTGATTGACAGCTTAGTAACTGTTGTACCCCATCAGAACCCAAAATAAGCTCATTTTACTCCAATGTTTGAAAACAATGTAAACAAACAAACAACCATAGACTCAATACATGGTTAAAACTATAATTGTTATATTATGGACAGGCAGTCATTGCATCCATAGCTCTGTCTATACATTTGAGAGTGGTTACATTTCTCCAGCCCCATCCCTCAGCTTTTTACAAAAACAGAGGCTGGGAGGCCACTTTGTATTGTTTCTACTGCTGACCGCCGCTTTAAAATGCTACTTTTCTAGGATAACCTAACTTGGCATAACAGACAATTACATTTAAAAAAAACACATGGCATTTTTGGTGCGAGTGATCATATTTTCCCATTTTTAAACCCTAATACTCAAGATCAATGCGCTAGTTACTGAGTACCATTCAGTCTGTCCTGTACCTTTCAGATCTGCAGAGGGCCCCCTGTGGCCATGCTAATCTCATTGATGGGCCAGCGGGGCGAGTCTCTGTAGCGTCTCTTGGTGGCTGGGAGCCTGAACTGCAAGGCTGGTGATGGAGAGAGTTCAACAGGGAGAGAACACCCATCACTCTCACTGACCCCCGTGTCTATCTCTAGAAAGTCTAAAGTCGTGACAGAGGAAGGGGAGCAGTTAGCCGCCAAGTGTGCAGTGTAGAGGTCAGTTGATGATGTTCTGTCTATTGGTGTAGGAGAGGGTGTACTGGGAATGGGAGAGCATGTTTCTGTTTGAGAGAGAGGAGGGGCTGGAGGAAAAGGGAGGGAGAGTTTGACGGCTGTTGTTTTGGACTCCTGCTGTAGGGGGGCCATGGTCTGAGGTGGAACATCTAAGATCGTGTCTGTCTGAGACGGTCTATCCAACTGCATTGGAACTGTAAGGTCTTGCCCTTGCTCCTCCTTTGGACAGCATACATTCAAGTGCATCTCCAGCAGATCTGACTCCTTAGGTTGTTCCTCCACCGGTTCCAATTGTCTTTCCTTGAGATGCAATTGTGATTCTTTAAATTGCCCTTGGCAGGATTCCTTGTTCTGCTTTGGATTTGGTGATGGAGGAGTGCACAAATGCTGGATGGTCTGCAAGAGGTTTTCCTGTTGTAGTTGAGGATCTGGAGTATGTTGGATTTCAAACTGTCCCTCTTGGGCAAATTGATAAACACTAAGAGTTGGCTCTGGAGATGGACATAGGAGTGGCTCACTGAGGCTTTGAACAACCACTGGCACCTCTTGATGATTTTTAGAAGCTTGTCCTAGCCAAGGTCCGGGAACACCATCATGACTGATGGAGCGGCCAAACCGCCGCGCTCCCTGCCGACGCAGACGTACAACGCTCCGCTGACCCCCCTCCCGCTGACTCTCATGCAGGACATCGTTGAGCTGAGGTTCAGGGGGCCTTGGAGGAACACTGGGGGTACGGAGCAGCGTTGCCAGAGCGTTGAAACGCCTGATGCGCTCTGCCACAGACATGTGCTGGTGCGTCCTCTTAAAACCCAGTCCTGACGTCTTCTCTTTCTTCACCAGCGGTTGAAGTGTGTCCTCAGAGACTCCATCTTCTTTCTCCGTCATCCCATCTCTTTTATCCTTCTTGTAAATATCATCTTGAATCCTCAGTTGGTCCAATGTCACCTCTGGCATACTGATGGAGCGACGAGGGCGACGGGGCTTCTGACTGACACAAACAGATATATCCACTTCTGACTGCTTCTTCCTTAGACCCACGTCTTCAGGGTCCTCTTTTATCCCAACCTGCTCTGAACCTCTCAATACACGGTTTGTTTCATACTGTCTAACGGTTTCCTCTACTGTCTCATTTTCCAACTTGACACCAGAGCATTCACATGATTCCCAAGCTTGTGTCCTGGTAGGTGAGTCCAATGTCGCCAGATCCAGGAAGTGATCAGGATTTTCAGCAAAGCTGTAGTTCAGCAGATCAGGGTCATCCTCCACTTCATTCCCCACTAGAACTGAATACAGATAAAATATCACATTGAGTATTTAAGTTAGATACATGGATGTAACTGAAAAACTGAGAAAAAAAAACAATCCAAACCTCGTCCTGGGCCATCAGTCATTATGACAGGAATCCTGGATGGTCCAACCTCAGAGCTGGATGCTTCAGTCATTCCATCAGTGACCATTCTACTGCCCATCATCCAATTCTCTTTGTCATTCCCAATGGATGTGGGGGAAGGGTCCTGTGAATAAAGTCATAGAGAAAGTAGATAAGTCAAACAATAGAGCTCAGAGTCAAGAGACAAGCATGAGCAATGCGAAGACCCAGTGTTAGGACAGAAGATTGGAGAGCACCAGACTTACAGGGCTGCTCCAGATTGTCATGTTGAAGAATCTAAGGGATGTCCTTCGATGAGCCTTGTCCTCCTGCACCGGATGCCTTCAGGAAACACAGATACACAGTCAGACACAAAAACAAGGCAATAGAAGAACAAGGGTTAAATAGAAGAACTAGAATCAATGCTTATGATGCTTTAGATTTACTCGTTTGATGTTGCATGATCTTTCTTGTAATTCCTCCTCTTCTCTGAGGCACTGAGAGTGACAGAGAGCTCGTGCTCCCTACTGCCCTCCACTCCACTCAGGACAGAGGTGTGACTACGGGTAGGGCTTTGGCCGACTGCCAACTCGGAATCTACTGGGGCAGTCAAAACATAGAACTTGTCATACCGTATCTTATTCGACTAAGTAAAAGCTATACTGTGGTACAGGCTATAAATACATCACCATTGGAGTGTTGTTTGCTCATGGATTGGTTGTCTTCTCTAAGGTCATGGATAGAGCGTCTGTATAGAAAGAAGGATAATATTTGCTCCATAAAGCATTTAAAAAACAGAATCTCCGAGACATGGTTCATCAAAATATTTTATTTACAGCCCATTAAATATAAGTACCTTTTTTTAGCAGAGCCCTCTACATCAGGGACAGGATCTTCGGTCGATTTTCGTTTGGATGTGACTGGTGATTCAGGTGTGGTGTGGCGATCGGTCTTTGTATTTTGCTGACCTATGAAGTCAAGGTTATAAAGTCGGGGCAACACACTTATTGGCTATTACTGACAACTAAATAATTTCAGCATTACTTTTTACTAAAAGCATTTGAACTTTGCAGCCAGTTATTAAGCAGCCAAAATCATATCATTACCACAACATTATGCACGTACTGTCTGGGGGGTGTAAAAGGCCAGTGTGAGTGCGGCCTGTCTTCAATTTACTGAGAGCATCCACAAATATCTCTGGAGAGATCAAGCAAAAAAGTATTATAATCTGAATTGAATTCATGAATTGACAGCAATGTATTTATTCTGAAATTATTATCACAGTATAAACCTCATGATCCAGTAATTGCAAAACTCTCACCTCCAACACTGCGCCTCCTTTGATGTCCTAAACGTCTATGCACACTAAGTCCTGCCTTCGGAAACCTCTCCCCGTCAACTGGGGGTGTGGAGGACTCTGCTACTGTTGCCATGTCCATAATAGAAGGGGGGACAACACCTGGGGACATATAGAAGAGTGAAATTAGTATCAACTTTAAATCTAACAGCCATCATCAGCTACTATACAAATATATAGTTCTCAGAACTTACCAATGCGATCAGCATGTATTATGAGTGTCTTGATCACTGCTGCATGTCTATGCAGTTGTCTCTCTGTACCTGCGGTCAGTTTAGCGCCCCCAGCTGGACAATGTAGCAGATTAGGTGCAATCACAAGAGCCAGATTGCCCACTTCCATACGGTTCTCTTTACATCTAGTGAATGTAAAGGATGGGAGATGGTGGAGAAATGTAGGCACAGAGACACACAGAGCTCCCTCTCTAAGCCCAGATGATCGAAGAAGTCATCATGAATTTCTGGAGACAAACCTTTGAGCTGTCTGTCTCAGGAAGGTGCAGAAGTATCGGAGGGCCCGTGAATGAGAGGGGGGGAACAGGGCTGTGAGAAGAAGAGCTCCATCATTCCTCTGCTCCTGCCCCCCCTCTTCTTCTAAGCCCTGTGCACGACACAGTGGCACCTGTAGATCCATAGGGATGAGGGGCGAGGGCAGCTCCCGTAAGAACTGCTTCACAAGAGATGCCACATCACAGGGCTGCAGAGTGGCTGAATGTGGCAGAGAAAAGACTGGCTCTCCCTGCTCCAGGCCAGTCTGTCATGAGGAGGTAGAGCGTCAACATAAAAAAGATAGTCCCATTGAGGTAAGAAAATTGACATTCCTGCGCCGTCTTACCCTAAGAGCTCGCATCCGACTAAACGACCCGGTCTTTCGAAACAGCCCTTCAGTTTGAAGATGGTGGGATAAAAATCCACAGGCATCCACCAAGAACCTATGGAACAGTTACATCACTCAAATGTAAGTTAAGTCATTAGCAACCAAAACGTTGGGTTGTCAGTTGTACATCGTAATCAGAATAGGCTACATTAGATTTTTTTTATCACATCTCCCAGTTATGATTGTATTTAAAGCAACAATACAACTCAAGTGTACATACTTTGGCACTGTCCCACTCATATCAGTTAAATCACACTGTGGCAGCAATATCAGGTCCCGACCAAAAGCAAATTTAGATTGGTTCTCCTGAAAGACATCCATAAACAACAGATCATAATGATGTGCTAAAAAGGCTTCCTAAAACAATCAATCCCTCAACATTGGTGTTTGCAAATTATGATTAGTAAATTTGAATATTTAAGGAATGTGACCTTGGCAGTAATCAATCACGTAATCAACAAGTCTACCGTGGCAGCATACTGTGTTGCGGACACTGGAAAACAAGCGTTATTGACGCATTGAGGTTGACCGTTGAGGAAACATATTGGCCTTGTTGGTTACCTGTCTGACAGGGTCGCTAGTGTATGGCCCATTCAAGAAGTTCTTCCAGTTTTTAATGCGAACTCCAGATGCTTTCAAAGCGTGTATCACCGCCACCACGCGTAGACGGTCGTCCATGGGGTTTGGCATTGGTACATCCAGTTAAGATGTGTTCTTTAAAAATTAAAACAGTTGAAAGTAGTGGCTTTTGAAAACTACATCACTATAAACAAAAACTACATTTCGTCAGAGCTAGGCAGAAAGAGCTAGTTAGAAAAATGATGTAGCCTATGTTGTTGCACGTCTTTGAGCCTTTCATCCCGCCGCCAACAAAATCAAATACTTCCGGTCACCTGTGCCCAATGTAGGTGTGACCGGCATGGTTCACAGAGACGCTTGTCTGTTCTGAAGTCACAAATATAGTTTCAAATGGTCAGTACATGATGAAAAACAGCCCCATACATACCCGAACGGACATATTTCACATTTATTGACATTGATTCATAGGGCCTTTTCTTAAATGTTAACAGATATTACTGTGCGAGTGGTTTTCTCATGATGACAAAACAAAACCAGAAAAAACTACAAGGAAGTACTTAAGTCTTTATTTAAACAGATACAGCTTGATTACTTTGATATCATTTTGAGAAATATCAATCAAACGATTAATAGGCTCTACAGGTAACAGGTAGCCTAGCGGTTAAGATCATTGGGCCAGTCACCGAAAGGTCGCTGGCTCAAATCCCCGAGCCAACTAGGTGAAAAATCAGTTGATGTGCCATTGAGCAAGGCACTTAACCCTAATTGCTTCTGTAAATCGCTATTTATAAGAGGGTCTGCTAATTGACTAAAATATACATTCTCACGTATTTAAAAAAAAATACAATATATTTTATCCACACACTCAACTTCCTACTTGTCCAACAAAAATATGATTATATAAATCGATTATTGCCTATCCTTCTTTACATATGCATCATCAAACATAGTTATTCAATTTAATTGAAAGTGCACATTCAAATCTACACATTGTTTATGAATTTGACTTTTAGCAAAATGTCAGGATGCCACTTTTGTGGATCTGCATAAATTATGTAAAACACAAATGATACTCTAATCTCCCCCTAATCGAATCTCCCCCCTTGTGGGTTTGTCTTTCTCTCTATCTCCATCTTGATCAATTCTGTCTCATCATTTCAGTCTCGTTTGTTTCCCTTTTTTTCGAGAAAAGTGCCTTCGTTGCTGACCACCCCCATCCACGTGACCCTCCACGTCCTCCTCCACGCCTCCTGCCTCCTCCCTCTATCAGGCCCTCCCACATGGTTGTGAGGGCCTCAATTTCTCCTGGCCGTCCACCCTGGACTGGTACACCGCCCATCAATACCTTCACAGAGAGCAGTTACTCTCTTTACTCTCTTTATCTTCAATCTAAAAGTCAAACACAAACCTCAAGAGTTTTGTGGCGCAGTGGTCTAAGGCACTGCATCGCAGTGCTAGCTGTGCCACTAGAGATCTTAGCTCGAATCCAGGCTCTGTCGTAGCCGGCCGCGACCGGGAGACCCATGGGGCGGCGCACAATTGACCCAGCGTCGTCCAGGGTAGGGGAGGGGATGGCCGGCAGGGATGTAGCTCAGTTGGTAGAGCATGGCGTTTGCAACGCCAGGGTTGTGGGTTCGATTCCCACGGGGGGCCAGTATGAAAAAAATAATAATAATGTATGCACTAACTGTAAGTCGCTCTGGATAAGAGCGTCTGCTAAATGACTAAAATGTAAATGTAATACCTTGTAAACTGCAGTGCTTCCCCTGCCTTTACTGGCAAAATGTCAAACGGATCCTTTCTTGCTGCAAGCAGAAAAGACAGGGAGACAAGGGGAAGGGATGAGAGGGGAGGTATTGAAGCCAGCACTTCACTTCGCTGCTGGTTTATCATTAATATAGCTATTAACAATACAAATAAATATAACTAAACAATATATTTTTGGATATATATGCGTTACTATGAAAAGTCTACATCCATTTGCACTTCATATAATTATGCAAAAAGTTCATGCTTATTCACTTACACAGACTTCCTCATCCTCATTTTCTTGCTGACTCTGTGGAACTGTACTCATCTTCTGGTTCTGACTTCATCACTGCACTTTGGTGCCCCCTTAAGCGCTCAAAACTGTGTTGCTCTTCTGTTCTCTTCCTTGAGCTCACATTCTAAGGACAACTTTCTGCTCCTGACTAACAAAATGTAGTTTAGCGCTGTAAGGATACAGGTCAGTTAACAGGTCCGGGCCCAAATTCCCGATAGGGATGAAATTTAGGCTTAGGAATGTTTTTAACTATGCATCTTTCACCGATTCCGGCACGTCATTGCGCATATGTTACGCTACACATTAAATATATTGAGACAGATTACAGACAGTAGCCTACAAGTAGCAAACTATAACTTGATTGAACATTAAATGTATTTCAATATGAATTGAAATAGGCCTATAGACTACTGTTTATATTTTAATGCAGTCATCTGTTTTCACTTGAAGCATCTTTTTATACATCGCTTGTTTGTATCAATTGCAAAGACATTGGCAACTTTGTATTTGTAGTCAACTTTGTTCTGAAGTTAAGGCTATAAAATTCACTGACATTATTCAGCACTGTCATGAGGAAAACCACCCCCTCCTTTGACAAACTACCCATTGCTCAGAGTTGAGATTGGTGTCCAGCAGAGGCTGTGTCAAATCATGGCAATACAGCAAGACGTGACTCCACCTAAATAGAAAAGTCAGTGTGAGAGAAATGTGCACTGTGCAGTGTATCAACATCACAATTCTGCTGACACTTTTAATATCACATTCCTGTCAGATTCCGAGAAGATTGAGAGAAGACTCATCCATATTTAGGGGTTGAAGCAACATAGCCAATTCACTCTGTTTCTTACTTTCTGTCCCCTTGATCCATCTCCTGACCATCTTCATATTCTTGACACCAGTTCATTATATATCGACAATGCTGGGATCTTCCGCTCTTTCTCAGATTCACCTTAACTCTTCTCATCCTCTGGATGTAATGCTTTATGTTGAAGTATGTGTGCTGCTTGTAATTCTAATACCATGGACTCATGGTATTAAAACCATAAGGACAATAGCATCAACAATACACAACTCACATTAAATCACTTTATTGAAATTTCAAGAACTCCCACCTGCCTAATCTCTCTCACACCAGTGACTTTGTCGAGGAGAGGAGGACTCAGTGTGTCTGTGGTCAGTGCAGCATATGGACAGAGTCGGTCAGTTGGGTCCTCAACTCCCCCACTAGAACAACACCAGTTTTTCTGTCCGAAATGTGCGCACACACAAACGCAACATAATCATCGTATGTGGTCTGTAAGTTCACTTGCTAGTTGCTACCCTTGTATCATGTACAATACCAGAGTTGCAAAAAAAGATGGCGGCCCAATGCTCTTACCACAATTTCGCAGTATTGTACATTGCTCTCTGTTACATTTTTTTTTTGGTACGGTAATTAGCAGAGCATACATGATCCCAATTTTAGACGCCGGCAATTTTAAAAAACGGAAAAGTAGATTGTGCTGATTTATTGGCAAATTGAACAGTGTCGCGCGCCGTAGTTTAAAAACTCAGTCAGATATGTGCATATAATGACACGATACCTATGTCTTCACCCTAACTGTCCACAGAGCAGAAGCTCCCGCCTATTCCTCTCTTTGGATTGATGGATACATCTCGTTATTTTAGCTTTTTTGAATATTCGATGAGGGGTGTTGATGTCAACCGCCTGTATTCAATCGAGAGATATGCTATGCTTCTATGGAACGCCGTTTGGGTCTTTGCGTGTCAAAAAAGATACACGTCATACTTAACCCTGTTGCCCAAAACTAAGCTAAGTAAACTTCATCTGGCTGGTGAGGCTTGACTGGATCGGGTTATGTGTTGTGAAAAAAGCCACAATAAGCATTAGCCATAATAGTAGAATTTGCGGTTTGCCTTCAAAATAAAAGTACATATTTGAAAGTGATGCAGAAGGTTACAATTGGTGAAATCATGCAATATCTAGACTAGATAATGTTAAACAAGGTTGGAATGTGGAGCAATGAAATGGGGTATCAGGCTACTCGGTGACACCCACAGAACACAACTGTGAAGAGTTTACGCAAATATTAGCGTTGTAGCTCTTATCGCGGGACTGTGACTGAGAAATCACCTCCCCAGTCAGCCCATTGTGCATATTGACATTCATATTGCACTGTACAGCTTTACCTAAGGATTGGGGATCAATTAAATGGGGTGTCAGTCTACTCTGTACCAAGAGCTTTTTTTCTCAACGTCCTCCTCAGAGTTATCGGACTCCAAAACATCCAGGTTGTATTGTTTTTCCTCTGGAATAGTGTTCAATACACATAGTAGGGTGACTGGTGCAATAAATGTTGCTCAATTCACAGTGGTTTCAGAGTCCCGCAATGAGAGCTACAACACTAATGGTCTCTGGGTGTCACTTAGTAGACTGATACCCCATGTCATTGATCCATAATCCATAGGTACGGCTGTACAGTGAAATAAATATGCCCCCAATGCAAGTCTAATACATCCAGTGTGATTTCAACAGATTTTTGTCAAAATAACAAATTCGTTTATTTTGTTGAATTTATATAACAACAATCCAACCTAGTTTAGCATGATCCATGGCATAATTCCACAATTTGTATCTATTTGCATCACTGTCAATTACATACTTTTATTTTGAAGGCTAACTGCAAATTCCCCTATTGTGGCTAGCGTCACATAGGTGGGTCCGACCACCATTAATCAAATAAGAACTGTTTTATAAATTAGGGGTATTTTAGATGTTGATACCTAGCTAGATAGTTAGCTATAGCTACTGAAACATATGTCGTTTTGCTATGTTTTTGAGGAAGAACATTGTTTGCCTCCATCAGCTAACGTTAGCTAGCTTTTTTTTATGATCAGCACTGTCCAGAGCTTGGGGAAGACAAAACTTTACCAGCATCATAGCATATGTATCGATGAGTCGTTGTGACAAATTAAATACGAGTGATAGTGAAATCAATGTGTAATAACTACGTAAAAAATGAATGAACGTGTTAAATTGTTATATGACGTGCAGTCATATTCAGGTCCTGATTGGTCAACAAGCTTATTTGACACGTCAAATAGTGTTATTAGACGTGTATCTTTTTTGACACGCAAAGACCCAAACGGCGTTCCATGTCATGAATAGCCATCTCGAGACGTGTTTTTTGTTGCAGGGATGTCACGTGTCCAACTTATATCAGTAAACTCATAACAACCTAAGCATTACTAAACTTCTATTCGATCAAATAAACCTCACGTAGAAAATAAGCCATTACATTTTTTATTGACCAAATCGACCTCCATACAAAAACTCCTCGTTTTCAGACAGTCCTCTATTCTGATGCCAGCCAAGTGAGTAGCGAACAAGGACGCTCATCACACCTGCACCGTCTGACATAGACACTGCTTGTGTATCTGAAAGAATGTGAAAGTATTGACAGAGATTAAGTAATATGTGTAATAAATAGATTGATAAGGTTCAGAAAACACACAGTAGAAAACAATAGCAAACATATGAAACTCAGCCTCTCTAGCTGGCTAGCTTAGCTACATTGTTGTTGTTTATGTGTCAACGCCCATCTGGCACGAGTGAACTACACTTGTGACTGTACTTTTTGATTTAAGAGTAACCTTGCTTGATCAAATGCAACCACAGAAACCATAACTATTCTGGATTTGTGATTAAGAAAAACTTGAATGGCTATTTAGAAAATAAGTGTTCCTGGTTGCAAACTCTTTCCAAAGCTTGTAGCCCAATGTCCGGCAGATGGCCATATTGAGTCGTGTCATTTTACTCAATATCGCCATCTGTCTGCCTTTCGCCTACAAAGCTTGGAAGATGCGACAAGATAAATTGTATAATTGAAAGGTTTTTGTTTTTCAATAGTTTTTCATTTCCGTAGGAATGCAAATAAGTATGTACTGTACATGTCCTATGGGCTGATACTTAAAGCACCGAAGCGGCGCTGGCACAAACTTCCTAACATAAAATCTGATGAATCCTAGCTATCTCGGAAGATTCCATTCAAACTCTAACAGCACCGCAGTGCGTTCTACTCCACCCTACCTTTTCTTACTGCTCACCATGATGCCAATGGTGACTTTAAAACAGTTACAGAGTTTAATGGCTGTGATAGGAGAAAACTGAGGATGAATCAACAACATTGTAGTTACTCCACAATACTAACCTAAACGACAGAGTGCAATAAGGCACTAAAGTAAAACTGCAAAAAAATGTGGCAAAGCAATGTCCTGAATACAAAGCGTTGTTTGGGGAAAATCCAACCAGTCACTGAGTACCACTCTTCAAATTTTCAAGCATGGTGGTGGCTGCATCATGTTATGGGTATACTTGTCATTGGCAAGGGCTAGGGAGTTTTTTAGGATAAAAAATCCTAGAGGAAAACCTGGTTCAGCAGGACAATAACCTAAAACACAAGGCCAAATATACACTGGATGACATTGAATGTTCCTGAGTGGCCTAGTTTTGACTTAAGTCGACTGGAAAATCTATGGCAATACTTGAAAATGGCTGTCTAGCACTTACCAACAACCAACTTGACAGAGTTTGAAGAATTTTAAATAATTATAATAATGTGTAAATATTGTACAATCCAGGTCTGCAGAGCTTTTAAAGACTTACCCAGATAGACTCTCAGCGGTAATCACTGCAAAAGGTGATTCTAACATGTATTGACTCAGGGGTGTTAATACTTATGTAAATGAGATATTTCTGAATTTCATTTTCAATAAATTTGCTAACATTTCTAAAAACATGTTTTCACTTTGTCATTATTGGGTAGTGTGTGTTGATGGGTGAAGGGGAAAAAAAACGATTTAATCCATTTAGAATTCAGGCTAACACAAGAAAAGGTGGAAAAAGTCGAGGGGTATGAATACTTTCTGAAGGCACTGTGTGTATATAAATAATGTTATTTTGCTACAGCATAGTCTCATAAACCCATGTGGGCTGGGGATCCGTGAGAAGATGCATGACACCATAATCAAATCAATCAAATCATGCAATATGGCTTCAACTACCCCTTAACTAGCAATTCAACATTATCTAAATCAGTTTTCAAAGTACACGCGCATACTACCAAGAGCCCATATAGCTTATATTGTTCCTATAGCTATCTCCATTATACTCACAAAACATGTAGCTAGTTATTGCACTTACTGCGAGTAATATTCTTATTCAGTCTTTCGCAAATGTTTAGCTTACAATGATACGGAAACTCTGCACTTCCTGTTTCCGTATGTAGATAATGTATTCAAGATTATGCACAGATGCGAATGTCAAATAAATTATCAAATCACCACACACACACACACACGACATCATATACATGAAATATCCAGTTCTATGTAGTTCTTAATTTTACGTAAATTGCAATTAATTCCCGTGCATTGGGGCATTTGTAATCATATTAGCTGTTACCTGCAGTGTTATATTGTTGGGGGAAAACGACCCATTAAGGAAAATGTGTTTTATAAGAACCAAAAAGCAACATTTGGTAAGATTTAGAATGTACATACATACTGGCTGTCCTAAAGCAAACACATTTTGAAGTGAAGTGGGCAGAAATACTTTTTTTGTTTTAGATCGGGGCAAAAACACCCCCTTCAATAAGGCAAACTGACCCCTGAAGATTAGTGTATTAATCTATTTTAAGTTTTATTTTGACATTTGTGTAATTGACACTTAAAAGCTAAAGTCTAGGTATCTTACTTTAATTAAATAAATTGAATATCAAAGTAAAATGAAATTGCACATCTCACTGTTAATATCCTCATTATGATGGGTTGGGGGGAATATTAGATAAATGAACCTCAAAATCGTTTTGAGATTAGACAAATTACATTTTAGTTGAGGAGGAGTAGTGTCAGCCAATGAAAGTGTGCCAAAAAAATAGTGGTTTCTGTGAGAATTACAGGAAGTTTAACCCAGGGAGGAGGTTAACCCCAAACCACCTAATTACTTCTTTACAATGTGCCTTTAAAACACTAACTATTAGGTGTCCAAGGTTATAGCTGTGTGGTTCTTGTAATGATCCATAATTAAAAGGAGGACTTGTGAGCCGTACTCAAGGAAACAACACAGAAATAAAAAACTAGAGACAAAGTAAAAATCTTCAGATTATATTCTCAAATACAAAAATATTACATTTTGATTGAACACAGAACCACATGCAGATGCTGTTTTACATACATGGTATAAAGTTTTACAATCACACATTAAAACTAGTTAATGATCACAAGATTCAAAAACTACTTGAGGGACAAGTTACAGAATATTTTTAAATGGTGTGAAACAAATGCTGATAAATGTGGGTTTTACAATCACTCTCTCTTTATACAGGTTATAGAAAAAAGTAATCAAAATGTATGTTTTCAAGAATATTCATGGGTGAAATCAAAATGAGAATAATGATAAAGTCCAGACCACCAATTTCTTTAAAAACGTATGATTCTTTGATCTAGAATCTAAAACTAAAAATGTAATGTGTCAACGGCAAAATATGAAAACAAAAACAATGTTGTCCAACAATATTCCATCCCTCTTAAAAACACATTGAAATGTACACATGCAAATCCCAGCTACCTTTTATGAGCTCTAATAAACAATCACTGCACAACACTGAAAAGTGCACTACACCACTGTTGCTCATTTCAAATAGCCAGGGTCTACAACAGGCAAGACAAATAAGCTACATGTTACTAAATTGTTGCAGGACCTACTGCTAAAATAATACTAACGTTGTGTCGTGGCATGAACAAAAATCCTGTATCTAAAAAACAGGTAAGAAAAACAACTAGACCCTTAATAAAACGTGAAAATATAAGCTATAAGAAAGGGAAGACTAATCATTAAGGGTATGAGAACGAAAAGGCAGAGGTGTAGCCTGCAGGCAGGATAAGCAATGGAATGCTGCTGAGGGATTGAGATCCATCTCATCAGTGCACTACTTTAGGCCTACTGTGTGCCCTGGGAGCCCTGAGAACCCTGGCTGTAGTTACCATATTGGTTGTAGTACTGATTCCATTGGCTCTGGTTCTGGTAATACTGCTGCCACTGCTGTGCATACTGGATCAGAGAGAGCAAGACATTATGAACTGAGTTTTAGACAGGTGAACATGATATATGGGCCAACCTAAGAAACTAGCTACTCACCTGTTGATACTGCTGGTTGTAGGTCTGTCCAGTGGCAGCAGGAGCAGCAGCGGGAGTTTGGCTGTAGCTCTGGCTATAACCTGGGTACTGGCTGAAGCTGCCGTAGTTGTAACCCTGGTTGTAGTTGCCTTGATTGTATGTCTGTGGCTACAAATTAAAACATACAATGTCAGAAAGTTTGAAGGAGTGGTGAAGAGTTGACAGAGGAACAAATTCCAGAGGGAGAACCACATGTAGGGAGATGCCATTAAACACAGTTTACCTGTCCTTGGCTGTAACTCCCAGTTGCTCCCTTGTTATATTGTCCTTGGCGGTGCTGATTGTAGCCCCCTCCAGATTGCTGGTTGCGGTTGTAGCCACGTTGTCCTCCTGCAGCACCATCACGGTTGCTCCCCCAGCGGTTCTGTTGGTAGCCTCCATGGTTATACCCTGTAAAGTGTAAAGCGAAGGCAGTTAAGTAGGCACACCAACGCAAAAAAAAAACACAGAAATTCAGCAGAAACCTTCTGCCTCACCTCCTCTGAAGTTGCCACCTTGGGGTCCACCACGACTCTGATAGCCTCCCCTTCCACCTTGGGGGCCACCACGGTTGTCATAGCGCTGGTAAGGTGCACCGCGACCACGGAATCCTCCTTGGCGGTTGTCAAAGCGTTTGTCTGGGGGTGGGCCGGCCTTGCGGCCCTCCTCATTGTACTGCTTTACCAGCGTGTCAGCCTCTTCTCGTTGCAGCTCGATGAAGGTCACATCGTCAAGAAACTCACCAGCTTCTGGGAGCACAAAGTTGGCTACAGGAAGCAGAGGGGTAGGCGTTGTCAGGACGAGTATAGCGGCGCCGTCGAAAGACAAAGAAAATCATTATTACTATCTGATAGACAATACTAGGAAGGGGTAGGAAGGGAAAAGAGGGAAGTGGAGGAGAGTTATACCAGAATTGGAGCAAAACATACAGCAAGGGACGGGATAATTTGCTCCAGTTTAGGGAGGAAAAGGAAATAGAAAAATAACAAAACTAAGGAGAGTTATGAATATGTAGATAGGGGAGAGTTAGCAACTGAAAATCACAAGCATAGCCTACGGAAGCATAGCCTGTGGGCGTATGTCCTCAGTTAGTGCTTAAGTAATAAATGGAGCATTTTTTTTCACTCCCTTGGTACTGGAAATTGCACTGCCAATGGTTTTGGTAAAATGTTCAATTGATCATCTATTAAAATCTCATCCTTCAAGGGTCAGAATCAAAACCAACACTTGAAATGGACGTCACCCTGCACCCTGAGTTTGCAGTGCTAAATAGATGAATGAGAAAGATGACAGAAATGGTTCAAATAAGAGAATGAAGGATGATAGGTGGAAATAGCTCTTTGAAGGGGGGCGGGGGATGGGTGGGATCTTCCAAGTTTTCGATAAAACCAAAAAAAACATAGGAAATGCATTGTCTGTGTGGTTTTTGAATTTTTGTTATCCATGGATTTCCTACCTTTCATTTCTAATACAGCATGATCGGGAACATCCTTCCCTTCCTCATCAGTTCGCTTTAACGTTCGCTCTTTTAAATCCTCGTCCGTGGGACAAATTACAATAGCCTTGCGTTGAAAACCTTCAAAAGGACGCATTTTTCGTCTCTGGGCTGATCCATATACATTTGTCTAGCAATGGTGACAAGAAAGAAGTAGAAGCTGTTCATTATTGTTCACTTGTCTGCTTTTGTTACGGCTTTGCGTTCCATAGGAGGGAAATTGGATTCCTGCAACGATGAAAGTGAGTTTTTTTTTTCTCCATGCCTATATTTACTGTTCTGAAACTACATATGGTTCTCTCTCACAACCCAACAACTTACTTGTGTCTGGAATACATTTCCTGTGAGAAAGAACTTTGGGGACCCATGTTAGCCATTACATTTACGTCATTTAGCAGACGCTCTTATCCAGAGCGACTTACAGTTAGTGAATATTATTTTTTATTTTTTTTTATTTTTATTTTTTTATACTGGCCCCCCGTGGGAAAGCCATCTATTGGGTAAATTCTTGCAAGTTCTCAACTGGTCAACGTTTCCAATGAAAAGCTGAGAACGTTAGCTACTTCAGGCCAGATTCTACATTACAAAAGAACAGTTGCATTTTTTTTTTATTTTTTTTTTAAATTCGGTTACAAAAATATGCTGCATCTTTTAATCAATTTTTGCCATGTTTACAACGCAGTCTTACAAGGTTGAGCAAATAGATGTGGGGGAAAAAAGTATTTAGTCAGCCACCAATTGTGCAAGTTCTCCCACTTAAAAAGATGAGGCCTGTAATTTTCATCATAGGTACACGTCAACTATGACAGACAAATTGAGATTTTCTTTCTCCAGAAAATCACATTGTAGGATTTTTAATGAATTTATTTGCAAATTATGGTGGAAAATAAGTATTTGGTCACCTACAAACAAGCAAGATTTCTGACTCTCACAGACCTGTAACTTCTTTAAGAGGCTCCTCTGTCCTCCACTCATTACCTGTATTAATGGCACCTGTTTGAACTTGTTATCAGTATAAAAAGACACCTGTCCACAACCTCAAACAGTCACACTCCAAACTCCACTATGGCCAAGACCAAAAAGAGCTGTCAAAGGACACCAGAAACAAAATTGTAGACCTGCACCAGGCTGGGAAGACGGAATCTGCAATAGGTAAGCAGCTTGGTTTGAAGAAATCAACTGTGGGAGCAATTATTAGGAAATGGAAGACCACTGATAATCTCCCTCGATCTGGGGCTCCACGCAAGATCTCACCCCGTGGGGTCAAAATGATCACAAGAACGGTGAGCAAAAATCCCAGAACCACACGGGGGGACCTAGTGAATGACCTGCAGAGAGCTGGGACCAAAGTAACAAAGCCTACCATCAGTGACACACTACGCCGCCAGGGACTCAAATCCTGCAGTGCCAGACGTGTCCCCCTGCTTAAGCCAGACAAAGAATGCTGAGTTGCATCCAAAGAACACCATACCTACTGTGAAGCATGGGGGTGGAAACATCATGCTTTGGGGCTGTTTTTCTGCAAAGGGACCAGGACGACTGATCTGTGTAAAGGAAAGAATGAATGGGGCCATGTATCGTGAGATTTTGAGTGAAAACCTCCTTCCATCAGCAAGGGCATTGAAGATGAAACGTGGCTGGGTGGTTCAGCATGACAATGATCCCAAACACACCGCCCGGGCAACGAAGGAGTGGCTTCGTAAGAAGCATTTCAAGGTCCTGGAGTGGCCTAGCCAGTCTCCAGATCTCAACCCCATAGAAAATCTTTGGAGGGAGTTGAAAGTCCGTGTTGCCCAGCGACAGCCCCAAAACATCACTGCTCTAGAGGAGATCTGCATGGAGGAATGGGCCAAAATACCAGCAACAGTGTGTGAAAACCTTGTGAAGACTTACAGAAAATGTTTGACCTGTGTCATTGCCAACAAAGGGTATATAACAAAGTATTGAGAAACTTTTGTTATTGACCAAATACTTATTTTCCACCATAATTTGCAAATAAATTCATTAAAAATCCTACAATGTGATTTTCTGAAGAAAAAAAATCTCATTTTTGTCTGTCATAGTTGACGTGTACCTATGATGAAAATTACAGGCCTCTCTCATCTTTTTAAGTGGGAGAACTTGCACAATTGGTGGCTGACTAAATATTTTGTTTCCCCCCACTGTACCCATTAATCCCTTCTGCCACACAGCTCACATTCACTTCCATATAATTAAACAGTAGAAAAACAATCTGTCAAATCAATTAAATTTTCTCCAGGTAAACCCTTAAGGACAATCAATTACCTGTTTTTCTAACTATTCTCTGTGGAGCACGTATTTGTTATGCCACTGCTCTGATAATGACCTCTTTAAATTAACAAATAATTAATTGTTTTTAAAGTTGTGTAATATTTCACCTACAATAACAGGGTCCCCATTTACTTACCCATTTGTCAATAGTCCATCTGTCTCATGACAATAACAACACACACTACCTACCTGTTAATACTCACTTACTCCATGGCATCCTTAAGAATGTCCAGGACCTTACCTACCTTGAGTAACTTGAGCAAACGCCCTGTAAATTCAAACATGTTAGTTCACTTACCGTAAGGTTTTATTTATTTAACATACAACATTCAAAAGTTCCATATGCTGTCAGCATGTATAAATCAGCTATCTTACATCAAATGTGATGTGAGTTTAAACTTGAACTAATCTTACAGTTATAGAACAGAAGGTGTATTTCTTACTCACCACCAGGCAGTGTCTACTTGTTTTTCAACATCTTATTATAGACATGGACTATTTGTACAGCTTAGAGCTCTTTCAACAGGTCATACAGAGGAAATCCAAAAATATTGAGTAAAAACATACAATTGCAATACTGCTTTCATTTAAGCAAAACAGAAAGAATGATTTCAGCAGCATGTTCAGCACAATGAAAAGGGTGATAACTTCCAGGAGTTCAGATGTTGATCAGGGCCTCTACACTAGAGAGACCGCATCACAGAGTGCAATTAATGGACATGTGCATCAGTGAACAGCAGTGGGTAGGGGTGAGCACAAAAACATAGTATGGGGTGAGAAATCAGACAGTACCTGATCCAGGATGTAGTTACGCTTCTTGCGGGCAGCGATCTGGATCAGCCTGTTCAGACACTGTGTGGCCTGCTGGATCAGGACATCCCAGCGACCAGAATAGTTCTTCTGACGCCGCAGCCCCATCACCTGAGGGTGGCGGTTTTCATTACGTTAGAGGGGAACTTGACACTAAAGACCAAGACTGAAGGATTCTGTGTTCAAACAAAGATAACAACTGACCTTCATCTTCTCCATTATGGTGTTGGTGCCCAGGATGTTGTATTTCTTTGCAGGGTGCTCCTCCGCGTGCTTCAAGGCCCAAGTGGTTTTCCCAGACGCAGGCAGGCCAACCATCATCAACAGCTGAGGTAAAACAAGAGGGTCAAACGTGCAATTGGTCATGGCATCTCACAGCTACTGATGACAGAAGCAATCTAGTCTAATGAAGAAAAACATTTAAATGATCCACTTGACGATCCAACATGGCTGGCACTCACCTCACAGTCAGCCTTGGTGGCAGGCCCAACTGTTCCCCGCATCCTGTTCTCCAGAGGGACGTTCTGAATGAAGGTGTATCCCTCGGGCAGGGGGAAGAAGGGCTGCTCTTTCTGGCCAAAGTTGAATTCAATGGCACAGTTCTTCACAAGAACGTGGGGAAAGAGCGGCCGCTCAGCCAACTCCTCCCGTGACACACGGAAGCCCACATCCAACCACTTCCCGTTCTTTGAGAAGGCCATCTCCACTTCCTCACCGCTATCGAAGTCCTGAACAAGACATGGAGAGGAAAACGTTTAGGCTTATTGAGTACTTAGCTTCTATTAGGCAGATGAATCTAAGTGAATCTCCTGCACCATCACAAACACTTACAATGTAGCACCCAAGGACATCGTTTTCACCAAACTTTTCCCCGTAATCCTCAAATTTACACTTGGAAGATTTCTTGCCAGTTCCTCCATAGCCATAAGAGAATGGTTCTTCACCTGGTACAGTGGTAAAAGTAGGAGTTTGTGTGTTAGTTTCAAATCACATAAAATATTGATAATAACTATGACATAATCCTGAATGTTCCAGCTCAAGTACAGAAGCATTTTTTTTAACTGACCGAGCTGTGTGTTGCAGGTGTCCAGGGACCAGCCAATGCGCACTACATGAGGATCAGGCTCACTGCTGGGAAGGTGCTTCACAGAGATCTCCTCGTTTATCTGGGCAAGAAAAACATCCACCAAATTACTATTCATAAAAATCGAATGAGACTCCTCAACAGCAAAATAAACAACCTGAATATTCCATCTGCAAAGCACCTAAGTGAAATGCAACTTCATTTAAAAAGGAAATACTCTACCTTCATTTCAAAGCAGACACGCCCTTTGTTGACGCCATAGGAAACCCGTGCACCTGACCACAGGTATGCAAAACCTTCGATGGTGAGCGGGTATCCACTATACCTGTCACGCGATACCTTGAAGTGCAGATCGCAATTATCTGTGAAAAACAAAACCATCTCATTAAGAGTCAATAATAAACCATTTAAACAAATAAACCATTCAAACAAATCCTACTACCATCCCAAAACATAGTACATTCACTCACAAGTATCAATAGCCACAAGAGTGTCATCAAAATCTTCTTCCTCTTCCTCTGCTGGAGGCTGGGGAGAACGTGCCCTGTGTGACGAGAGAGTGGAGCATAAGCTAGGGGTATAGTTCTGAAGAGTGTTTTCAAACTAGGGATATGCACGGTTACTGGAATATCCGAACGGGCGTTAGTATTGGAATACTTGTGTGAGTATAATTTTTTTGTGCAAAAACATTTTATGGGCCTGTTTTAACACTGGAAATGCTTTTTCTGAATTAAATTATAATATATGTCATACAAGGATATACCATGACATTTAAAATTATTAATTTAATAAAACATAATTCTGGTAGCCTTCACGTTTGTAGCTTGTTGTTTATGTTGGCCAATCAAAGCGGCAAAGAGGCTCAATGTGTAGCAAGGGGAGTGAGAGTTCACTAATGCAATGCAAAACTGAATAAAATGACAGAATTAAAAGTTAGCGAAATTAGAATGAGTAGGCTACAACAAGCAACCAACAGGTAGGCTGTTGATTTAGCCAAATGGGGTTGGGGAGAAGGCGCAAAATGTGGCCTCAATTAGCCTAGCTAGCTTCTCTAGGCTACTCCAGTCAAGACAGGCACTGTTAGATTGGATGATAAATAACATTGTCGCTGCTACAAGTTAGGTAGTCTTGGCTGTACTCAAGTATTCTCTCTCTATGCCTCCATCTGCTCGCTCCAATCTCACAGGCACCTCCGCAGATGCAGCAATAGAGATCCAGCCTTTCACTTGCGCAGCATGCTCAGGTTAAAAACTTGCATTTCAAATATCTGGATATTCGACTATAATTCATGTTAGTATTCGAATAGTGAAATTAATTTTAAATCCCCATCCCTATTTCAAACTTGTTCCACTTAGAAAAGTTTTTCAACACATATATACTGTACCTTCTTTCTTCCCGATGTTCATAGTATCCATAGCCACGGCCTTCATCGTATGGCCTCTTACGGCTGTATCGGTCATCCTCCGTTTTGGCCTGGGTCGCCTGCTCAGCCTCCCATTCATTGGCTGGCTCTGAAAGATGAGCCTTTGGCTGCTGTGGCTCCTTCTCTTCCTTCAACTGCTCCTGCTCCTTTTTCAACTCCGCTTTCATCACAAACTCCTCTGCAACAAAGACGACAATGTTGTCAATAATTACTGCTTAAGCAACAGTGTGAATTGAGAGAATATACTAAGCATGAACAAGTTATTACTGACCTGGCTTAATTTCAGGCATCTCCACAGGCTTTGCTTCAGGCTCAATTGATGCCGACTCCAGTGGTTCTGGTTGCACTGGCTCTGGTTGCACTGGGTCTTCCATCTCCGGTTCTTCCATATCTGGTTCCTCCATCTCTGCTTCTAGCACCTGCGGCTCTGGCATTGCTAACTGTGGCTCTTGTCTTTTGTCTGACTCACACGCCTGCGGAATCTGTGGCTTCATCACATCTTCTGTGAAATCGACCATCCCATATCCCATTGCAGGGACTTGACCATACATCTGTGCCCCATCCTGGCGGTCTTCTTCACTCTGTTCACCATCACCATTCGCCTCATCAAACTGTTTCTCTTCTGCCTGCGGGACGAACTGTACTTCATTGTCCTCAATATCTTGTTCTTCTTCCCCATCATCTTTAACTAGTAAGGAAAACAGTGTCAGTATCACAAGCTGCTTGTTTTACATATTTGGAGTAGTACAGCAGTTTCATCTGCATGTTACAATTGACAGCCCACCAGTCACGTTGAAACAAACAGTACCATCCCTTTGAAAACGACAAATCTGTGAACAACAGTGGACGTGGCTGTATTGGTGCAATCTTACAACTGTCTACATACACTTTGAACCCCCAATATGTGTACCTTCATCGGAGTGGCCATCACCATCTCCAGCGTCTCCACAAATATTGTGTTGCTCATCCCCCTCCTCTCCAACATCGGCACTCGGTGGCCCGTCCCCTTCACCTGCAGCCTCGGCCTCAAGTGCCGACTGCAACCTTACGACAAGATCCGCCTTCAGCCCACGAGTATCCAGGCCTCGCAACTGAAGCTCCTCCTTCAGCTCGTTGACTTTGAGCTTCTTCACATTGATTCCACTCATCTTTCATGCAACTTCTTCAGTGATCAGAAATCCCAATCTGTATGAAATGAGTGCACAGACAAGGAATTTAGTTTAGAAATGTACCTAACCGCCTAGTACATTGATAACGTTAGCTAACTAGCTACTGTAGTTAGTTACATTAGTCACACATCTTGGTGCCGCATCTGAGCTAACGTTAACTAGCTAGCTATTTTCTTTTACACGACCATGCATGGACATCGCTAGCGTAGCAAAAACATACAATACACTGCGAAACAACGCACGTTTAAAAAATGCCAACAGTTTTCATAAAGTTAGCTAGGTACATTTTTACTGGAGACAGCAAAGGTCTGACGTCACCACACACGAACACAACTAGCTGTACACAAACGTATCTAGTTATACATGCTAGATAGTATAGTGTAGCTAAGTCATGTGAATTTACATTCAAAATACACTAGCGTGCATTCCTAACCTCTTTCCTCACCCCTATAATGTCCTTGCTAGAGATTCATGCAGCGACCAACTCAACTGAAACAAAATGGACGACTCTGTAGCTACCGAAGCCTTCCCTCCCTCCGTCGTCGTCCTCCTCAGCGAAGCTGTAAACATCTTTGCGCTTGCATTTTATGGGCGAATCGCAACCAACTGACAGGCGCATACACCTACTGTACTGGAGTGTGAGGCCGGTCATGACCTATCTATGCCTCTATATTCTCTTAACTAACCAATCATTTCTAATAAAATAATTCCCTACAAACCTCATTACTCCATTCCCGTCCAACCTCTCTGACCCTGTCAAACAACCTATCGGTATCTACATCATACATTTCACAAAAATAATAATACATTTTCAACCGTTTCCTCTACCAGTACACACTCCAGTTTCCTTATCAATTTCAAAGAGGAATTCAATCCCCTATGCCCTAATCTCATTCTACACAACATAATTTCCTCCCTTCTGTTCCCATTATATGACACTATCTCCCATACAGATTTCCTTGTACTATCCCATTGTCTCTACCAGCAATTTAACCCATTTATCCGAATCAATGTTTTAATTTCCCGTCCACCCAACTGCACCTGTATATCCACAATATTATTTTTCACTGCTTTTTTGCTATTATATCTACTATATCGTTTCCATAAACTTCTGAATGAGCTGGAATGCAACATAACTGAATTTCAATACCATTTCTTTGTAAGCCCAGCAACAGCATTATTATTTCTAACCATAAATCGTCACGTTCTGACTTTCCAGATCTTAAACTACACAAAACTGAGTCTGAACATATTTTTGTAGTTTTAAATGCACCATCGCACATCCTGAGTGCCTTCGCTTGCATCCTATCAAGCCGCAACAGCGATGTAAAAGCAGCAGAACCATATACACCCATAATCTATGGACGATCTCATCAAAGTAAGATACATATTCAGTAAAAATTGCCTATATGCCCCCCAATCATGCCCAACTATTGTCCTTATAAGATTTAATACTTACATTTAGTCTCAAAACATGTAATTTAACATCTCCAGGTAAGCGTTTCATCAAACCATAGCCCCAAATACTTAAATTCTGTTACCCTTTCCATTCATTCTCCATATAATTGAACACTGACATCTTCCTTCATCTTTTTGTTAGTGAACAACCTGTGACAAGATTTAGATACAGATAACTTGAAGCCCTATGATAAGGACCATTCCTCTACTGCTACAACAGCACCTTGCATTTTCTCTGTTACATGAGAAATATTCCTTCCCCTTTTCCAAATGGCACCATCATCTGCATATAAGGCCGCCCCTATACCCTGTCCGATATCCCCAAAGACGTCATCAATCCTCAACGTGAATAAGATAGGACTAATAGCACTACCCTGTGGAGTTCCATTTTCCACCTCATATTCTCTTGATAACTCCGATCCCACCCTGACCTGGAAGGTTCAGTCAAACAAGAAATCCATAATCCGTATATACATTCTCCCACTAATACCCATTCCATTCAATTTAATCAGTAGATCTCACTACCTTCATTGCCAAAGCTTTGGTCACCTCAGTACTATTTAACCAATGCATCAAGGGTAGTCCTTCCTTTTCTGAATCCACTCTGGTATGGACTTAATAGACCCCTATGTTCCAGATAATACATCAATCTTCCTACAATCAACTTTACCATTAATTTACAGAGACTTTATGTAAGTGCAAATGCAATAGGTCTATAACTAGCAGAACTGGATGGATCTATACCAGGCTTCACAAAAGGCAACACCACAGCACGTTTCCATCTGGATGGTCGCACTCCTGTCCTCCATATTTTGTTAAATAAACTCAAAATCTTTCCCAAAACTTCTGTAGGCAGATGTTTAAACATAATGTAGAATAATTTATCCTCACCTGGAGCAGTGTAACTCCCCCCCCCCCACCACCACCCCCTTATTGGAATAGCCAATATGATTGAATTCACAAGTGTAAAAAACGTCCCAGTTCGCTATGTCAAAGCACCAATTTGAAACCAGTTCCTTTTTCTGAAAACATAGGTCAAGTTGTTGCACATGACTGGGAAATGATCACTCTTGCCGTTTGCTCTTTGGTTGGCTACAGGCCATGTACGTTGACAAAGGCTGGATACCTTCTAGCCATGACCGTGTGGGCGTGGAAGGGTTGCTGTTTGTTACAGCTTAATACAATTATTGCAACCAGTTCAGTTCAGACGTTATTATATAGTTTCAAGTTTTATTGTCACATGCACAAGTGTAGTAAAATGCTTCACTTGCAAGCCCTACCCAACAATGCACTATTCAATATCAAATAGAATACCTCATAAAAATATATATATACATAAAAAACATGATAAATAAGAGAAGAAGCTACATAGAGTCAGCCTGGACCACATTTACAATGTGCAGGGATACTGGAGTGTTTGGTAGATATGTATATTTAGGCAGGGATTAGGAGAAAGTGACTGGTAGCATAATAGTAGTAGCAAACAGTATGGCAGCAGAATAAGTGTGTGGGTGTGTGTGGTGGTAAGTGTCAGTGTGAGGGTGTTAGTGTGTGTGTGCAAGAGTGTCAGTTTAGGCATGATAGGCGGATATACACTGAGTGTACAAAGCATTAGGAACACCTTCCTACTATTGAGTTACACCCCCTTTTGCCCTCAGAACAGCCTCAATTCGTCGGGGCATGGACTTCACAAAGTGTCGAAGGCATTCCACAGGGATGCTGGGCCATGTTGACTCCAATGCTTTCCACAGTTGTGTCAAGTTGGCTGGATGTCCTTTGGGTGGTGGACCGTTCTTGATACACACGGGAAACTGTTGAGCGTGAAAAACCCAGCAGCATTGCAGTTCTTGACACACTCAAACCGGTGTGCCTGGCACCTACTACCATACCCCGTTCAAAGGCACTTCAATCTTTTGTCTTGCCCACAGTGGTGGAAAAAGTACCCAATTGTCATACTTGAGTAAAAGTAAAGATACCTTCATAGAAAATGACTCAAGTAAAAGTGAAAGTCACCCAGTAAAATACTACTTGAGTAAATGTCTAAAAGTATTTGGGTTTAAATGTACTTAAGTATCAAAAGTAAATGTAATTGCTAAAATATATAGTACTTAAGTATCAAAAGTAAAATTAAAAGTATACATTTACGGATAGCCAGGGACATACATTTCAACACTCAGACATAATTTACAAACGAAGCATTTGTGTTTAGTGAATCCTCTAGATCAGAGGCAGTAGGGATGGCCAGGGATGTTCTCTTGATAAGTGCCATTATATTCATTATATTCAAATATATATTCAAATATAATGAGTACTTTTGGGTATCAGGGAAAATGTATAGAGTAAAAAGTACATTATTTTCTTTAGGAATGTAGTGAAGTAAAAGTAAAAGTTGTAAAAAATTTAAATAGTAAAGTAAAGTACAGATACCCCCCAAAAAGCTACTTAAGTAGTACTTTAAATTATTTTTACTTAAGTACTTTACACCACTGCTTGCCCATTCACCCTCTGAACGGCACACATACACAATCCATGTCTCAATTGTCTCAAGGCTTAAAAATCCTTCTTTAACTTGTCTCCTTCCCTTCGTCTACACTGATTGAAGTGGATTTAACAGGTGACATCAATAATGGATCATAGCTTTCACCTGGATTCACCTGATCAGTCTATGTCATGTAAAGAGCAGGTGTCACACTCAGTGTACATGTACAAAACATTAGGAACACCTGCTCTTCCCATGACATAGACTGACCAGGTAAACCCAGGTGAAAGATATGATTCCTTATTGATGTCACCTGTTAAATCCACTTCAATCAGTGTAAATGAAGGGGAGGAGACAGGTTAAGTAATGATTTTTAAGCCTTGAGACAATTGAGACATGGATTGTGTATGTATGTGTACCATTCAAGTGAATTAAAATATGAATAATTCATATTTATCCTGTTTTTTGTAGCCAACCTACCCTCAACACTGGCCAAGTCTCAGGTGAGCAGTGTACGCAAGAATCTGAAGCTGCACCTGTTGGCAGTACTCAAGCACCCCTACAGCCTGGAGTTTCAGGGTCAAATCAGCACTCTCCTCCTGGACCTGGAGATGTCCCCGAATGAAATAACCTGCAACACCCCAGCCCCAAATGAACAGTGCAAAAGGCCCCACCATGAGCCCTACACAGAGGGCATAAAGATCAAGATTGGTGAGTTGTGGAGATATTGCACTGGTTACCATTTATTTTAGACTGATACTTTTTTAGAAGTACATAGTTGACTCCCACACCCCATAAATCCTGTTATCAACCTGCAGTTCCATACCATCTCTAATCTACAGTTGTCTTACTTTCAAAGCATGCTCTTATAGAATATGATGAAGATAAAGAAGAGCCAGCCCCCTTCGGTCCCCAAGCCCTCCTCTGTGCCAGTAGCACAGTCAGCCATCGACCTCACAGCGGAGTTCCTGCACCCCCTGCTCTCCCCAGAGAAAGTGGCCAATCTGGTAAACTGCTGTGGTAGACTGTGATTCATTCATCT